CTGCAATCTGACTGATCAGAAGAGACAAAGAAAGTCACTCCATACATGTTAAAGGAACAATCCAAGAGGAAGAGATAACAATCATAAATATAGACACACCAAATGCCAGCACACCCAACTATATAAAAACAAACACTAGTGGATGACCAATCAGATAAGCATTAATAAAATTGTAATGGGGACCTCAGTATCCCAGTTTTACAAATAGATCAGCTAGATAAAAAAAAAAAAATCAGCAAGGAAATACCAGAGCTGAACCAAACCTTTGAATAAATGGACTTAGTAGATATCCATTGACTGTTATACCTCACAACAACAGAATACACGTTCTTAGCAGCACACAGAATTTCCTCCAAAATAGACTGTACTCTAGCTCAGAAAACACGCGTAAGTAAATGCAAAGGAATTGAAATTATCCCAGGCATATTATCAGATCATAGTGTAGTGAAATTGGAAATACATGCCAAAATAAACCATAAAAACTGAATAAACATATGTAAAGCATATAGTACTCTTCTGAATAACCAGTGAGCCACAGAAGAAATTAAAGATTTTCTATAATTAAACAATAAGATGATGTGACATATCAGAATTTGAGATGCAATGAAAATAGCCCATTGAGGGAAATTTATAGCAATGAATTCCTGCATTAGAGAAATGAAGCAAGATCAAATAATCTAGTATTGGACCTAAAGATTCTAGAAAAAGAAGAACAAATTGAGCCCAAAGCTCATACAAGGAAGAACATTATCAAGATCAGAGCAAAAGTAAATGCGGTTGAGAATAAGAAAACAGTACAAAGAATCAGTGAGTTGAAGACTTGTTTCTTTGAAAGATTAAAGTAGATAAATTCTTATCCAACCTTATGAAAAAGAAAAGACCTAAAATCCATGCCAATAGGAATGCAAAGAATAAAATCACAATGGATCCTGCAGAAATCAAGAAGAGCATCATTACTCACATTGAGAAACTACACTAATTAAATGAAAAACTCTGACGTGGGCAGATTTCTAGAAACATACAAATTACCTAAACTGACTCAAGAAGATGTAAATATTCTAAGGCTGGGCATGGTGGTGCACATCTGTAATCCCAGCACTTGGGAGACAAAGGGAGGAGGGTTGTTGTGAGTTCGAGGCCAGGTTGAACTTCATAGTGAAATTCTGTCTCAAAAAAACACAAAAACAACAACAAAAACAAAGCCAGTATCAGTCAAAGAAATTGAAGGAAAAAAAAATACCAACAAAAACTCATGTCCTGATGGATTGACTGCTGACTTCCACAAGAACATCAAAGAAGATCTAATACCACTACTCTTCAAACTTGTTCAGAAAATTGAAAGAGAAACAGTGTTCCCAAAGCCACTTCTGGAACTAAGCATTACCATAATATCGAAATGAGAGAAAGCTCCAACCAAAAAGTAAAACTACAGGTTCATCATCTGACCATACATGAAAAAGATACTGGAAGTAAGAAACAATGCAGTAAATCATCAAGAAGATTATACTCCATGAGCAACTGGGATTCATCCCAGATGCAGAGGTCATTCAACATAATGCAAATCAATAAATATAATATACCACATTAACAGAACCAAGAGGAAAAAAACCTCATGATCATCTCAGTATTTGCAGAAAAAAATTTGACCAAGTGTAATACCCATTCATGATAAAAACCATCCAGAAAATTGAAATAGATAGCTGATCTTTACCTCAACCTGATAGAAGCTATCATTTGCAGGTTAACTGCCAACATCATAGTATAAAGGTCAAAAACTGAAAGCTTTCACTTTAAAATCAGAAACAAGAAGTGGATGCCCACTATTATCACTTATATTCAATATAGTTCTGAAAACATTACCCAGAAAAAATTAGACAAGAGAAAGAAAAAAGGAGTAAGGAAGGAAAGGAAGATTGTTATTTGCGGACTGATTGACACCTCTACAAACTGGTTATTTGTGGATGATATGATATTCCACATAGGAAACTCCAAAAAGTCCACCACAAGGCTCCTAGAATAACCAAATTTAGTAATGCATGAGGCTACTAAGTCAACGTGTTGAACTAAATTGCTTCCTTGTACACAAAATGAACATTTGTACAGAACTCACTGAAAGAAAAATCAGAGAAACATCTTTCAGAGTGATGCCAAGAAAAATGAAATACTTAGGAATCAGTTTAACAAAGGAAGTGAAAGACCTTTACATTGAAAACTACAATACTCTGAAAAAGGAGATCAAAGAAAATATTAGAAAATGGGAAAACATCCTCTATTGTTGGATAAGCAGAGCCAGTACAGTGAAAATGGCCATACTCCCAAAACTGTTATACAAATTTAGTATAATCTTAATCAAAATAGCTATAGTATCCCTCACAGAAAAGGATAAAACAATCCTAAAATTTATATGGAACCAGAAGAGACTTAGAATAACAAAAGTAATTCTGAGCAGTAAGGGCAAGGCAGGAGTATAACAAACTTAGACATGATATTATACTACAAAGCTATAGTGATAAAATCAACAAGGTATTGGCAAAGAAACAGACTCAAACTTCAGTAGCAGGAAATAGAAAATGCAGAAACAACTCCAAGCATACGTCATTGACAAAGGAGTCTGGGACCTTCACTGGAGAAAAGATACCTCTTCTGATATTTCAGTTTTTTTGAGACAAGGTCTTGCTATGTAGCCCAGGCTGGCCTTGAACTCATAGGATAGCCTAGGCTAGCCTCAGACTTGTAGCAGTCTTCCTGCGTCTGCCTTCCAAGTGTTGGGATACAGGCATGTGCCATCATGACTGACCCAAAAGATAGCCTCCTTAATCAGTTGATTCTATGAAAACTGCCACAGTTTGAATCTAGACCTGTATCTCTTACTATGCACTAAAAAATTGAAATAGGTGACACATCTAAATACTAAAACAAAAACACATAATCTTCTGGAAGATAGAATAGGTAAAACTTATATAGGCAGAGGTATAAGCAAAGAATTCAGGAACAAAACCCCAACTGCATTGGAAATATTACTAAGAATCAATGAATGATATCATATCAAATTAAAAAGATTTTGTACAGCAAAAGAAACTACCAATAGAATAAAGCGACAACTCACAGAGTGAGAAAAAGTTGTTACCAGCTAACTATTCCTCAAACACAGGACTACTGTTTAGAATATTTTCTTAGTTACTTTTCTTATTGCTGCAACAAAATACCCAACCTTAAAGGTAAAGGAGGAAAGGTTTATGTAGTCAGAGTTTGTAGAGGTTGGTGGCTCCAAGGCAGAAGGGCATTGCAGAGGAGAAACATCAATGCTAGCAGAAGTCAGCAATGCAGTAAAGCAGTTAAGTAATCAGGAAGCAAGCAGCAAGAGGCCCTCTTTCTGTTCCTTCTATGATATGCAGGTTACATGCCCTTAGGGTGGCTGGCTAACCCTCACATCCAGGGTGGACCTTCACATTACCCACCTTAGAGCTTTTCTAAACCAACAATGGACTAATTTAGCAATCACACATCCTTAATCCCAGTATCACACACTGTAGATACAGCCAGCTCTTAAAAAAAAAAAACCACCTATAACTTCTTGAAGCCTTTACTGGGGATGTCTAGATACAAACCATCACAAACATGTAAGAACTCAGAAAACTCAGCCCCTGCTCCATATTTAAAGACCCAATCCCAAAATGCCCATCTGAAATGAATAGACACATCTAAAATAAAGAAGTACAAAGAGCTAATAAGTGAAAAAAATGTTTAACATGACTGATTTGACAAATGCAAATTAAAACAACCCTGATATCTCTAGATAGAATGGCTATCATCAAGAAATCAACCCATAACAAATACTGGAGGGGCTGTGGGGAAAATGCTTTTCTACTGCTGGTGGGAGTGTAACTGGTACAACCATTGTGGAAATCAGTATGAATATTCCTCAGAAAACTAAAGCTAGAGATTCCATTTGACCCAGCTATGCTTATTCTGAGTATCTTCCCAAAAGAGTTAAATGTATTGTTCCACAATGCTACATGCACACAAGTTTATAGTGGCACAATTTAATGTTGAAAATAGCCTGTATGCCCCAAAACAGAATGGATAAAGAAAATGTAGTATTTATGTACAATAGAGCAGGATTCTGCCATAAAGCATAAATTTCAGTGATTTTTTAGGTGAGTCCATAATGTTTTGTGAGGTAAATTAGACACAAATTATAAAAAAATATACACTTTAGAACTAATGCTTTTTTAAAATTTCAAAGTTTAAAATCAAAATTCAGTACATATGTGAGCCAGTTACCTCAAACAGTGTAAGTCTTTGGTCACAGATTGAGGCTGATAACAGTATATAAATTATTTCTACTCATATGGACAAGCTCTACTAGATGTTACATAGATATATTAGTTCTGCTTGTACTCTGTTTACCCTTGTCATCGAAATTCTTGGACGTTAAGTAAATTGTCTGAGGTCCCATAGCTAATTCAAATTAAACAATTGTAAAGAAGCAGCTTTTAATAAAAGAAAAGCAAATTGATAGGTTAGAGAATATATAACAAATATATAATATATGTATGCAATTAGTAAACTATATAACATGGTAACATTCTGTGGAAACATTAAAAAGTAAGTATATACTTTAGGTCAGGAAATGTAAGATAGTAAAGAACAGGAACAGTATTGTAGCCCAACAGAATACTATGAGCAAAGAATTGAGAATATGAAAAACATGATGTGTATACTATCAACTGTGGACATGAGCAAACAATGCTAGGAGATGAAGCTGGTCCAGTAGACTGGGTCAGTTGATGAAGAAACTTGCAAGCCTTCCTAAGATCCTTAGAACCATTAAAGATTCTCATTTCTTTGCCTTTTTGGTTTTGCAAGCATGTGAATGTGTGTTGTTAGTTTTTAAAAGCAGCAGTGCAAATAATGGATTATGGAAGTAGGCAGAGGATCAGAGAGTACCATGGTAGCACAGATGAGGGACAGAGATAAAGGGAATAGAAAGGAAGAGCTCAGGCTAGTAGCTTTTATTTTTTCATATGGGAGCATGGAAGACTTAGGAAAACCTTTCCTTGCTACTGGACAAAATAGAACTCAAATCTTCATGTAGCTGCTGATCATGATGACATCATCACCATTATCGTCGTCGTCATCTTCTTTCTCCTTTTCATCTTTGCGCTCCTCTGCCTCTTGCTCCTCTTCCTTCTCCCTTCCCCTGCCCATTCTTTAAAAAAAAAAAAAAAAGGATTCAAGTGGAATAATGAAACTCTCAGCTCAACCCTAAAACCTGACACATGAGCCTCAGTTATTAATGAAAGTGAGAGTATTTCTGATTGTTTTGTCAAGGGTGAATTATATGAAAACGTGGAAGCATTTAGAATCAAATGTGGTAAGTACTTAGTAAGAAGTACTTTTCTTCTTATTTCCTCAAATGAAGCATATGAAGCACATTACAGCAGTCTTACACACTGGAGAGTTTATTGACAAGCTTTTTTCTACATGCAGAAAGTAGGTTATTTTTCTGGGGTATTTTTTTGTTTCATTTGTTTGTTTTGATATTGGAGTTCCAACTCATGACCCTGCTCTTGCCAGGCACTGTGACTCTGAGTTATATCCCAGGCCCTCTACATATAGTTTTCAGATTGTCTTCATGAATTTTAAAGAATATTCATATTATGACACACACTTTATTCTTCACCTACAAAAAATAAAAAAAAATTAAGCATCCAGTTATATGATGATGTATCAGTGAAAAAGCTAAAGTTAATTAGTGTTGGTCAATTTTAAAACCTATTTAATCCTTTTTGAAGATATTACAAAACCTGTGAATAATTTCTGAATCTGATATATAAATACACACACATACATATAATGTTACCTTGTGAAGTATAAGATGCTATGCAAATGTAAACTATTATTCAGAATATTAGTTAAAAGTAATGAGGCATAAAATCAACATTTAAAAATCAATAGCTTTTCAGTAGACCAATAACCAGCTAGCTGAGAAAGAAATCAGAAAAGCAGTTCCTTTTGCAGCAGCTTCAAAACAAAACCTAGGCATCAACCTAACCAAGGAAATGAAAGACCTGTGTGTATAATGTAAATTACAGAACACTAAAGAAAACAGTTAGAAAAGACACTTGAAGATAGAAAGATCATGCATGTTCATGGATTGGATAAATTAAGTGTTTATATGGTGATACCACCAAAAACAGTCTACAGATCCAATGCAATTTTTGTCATAATTCCAACAACATTCTTTGTGGAACAAGAGAAAACAGTTGGAGAATTCGTATGGAAACACAAAAGACCCTCAATGGCCAAAGCTATCTAAGGGGAAAAAAGCATTACAATGCTTGATTTCAAGTTATATTACAAAGCCATAGTAATAAAACAAACCAGCATAGTTCTGGAACAAAAATAGAGCAACAAAATTTATTAGAGAATACAGAAACAAACTCACACACCTATGGTGATCTGATTTTCAACAAAGGAACTAAAAACACATGTTGGAGAAAAGGCAGCTTCTTTAGCAGATGCTGCTGGGTAGCCTGGATAATGTGAATTTTGAAACTAGATTACCTTCTCTAAAGCTGTGCAAAATTCAAAATGAGTCGAAGGCCAAGCATAAGACCTAAAACTTTGAAAGTATTAGGAGAACATACAGAAGAGTATTTGAAGGCATCAGCACAGGGAAAGATTTCCTGCCTACAATTGGAATCACACAGGAAATAATAACAACAATCAATAAATGGGACTATAAAATTTAAACATTTCTGTATAACAAGGGAAATAAACTAACAAAGACAACAGACTGCGTCCAGAATGGGAGAAATATTTTGCCAGATACTCTCATAAAACTAATATTCAGGATATACAAAAAACAACAAAAAATCAAATAGTCCATTTAATAAATGAATAAATGAATTGAACAGAAATTTCTATAAAAAAGAAAAAATGGCCAATAAATGTATAAAAAATTCTCAACATCTTTAGCCACTAGGAAAATAAAAGTCAAAACAATGTTGAATGTCATCAAATAATCAAAAAACAAAAACAAAAGAAAAATTAAATACTGGAGAGACCGTGTAACCCTTTTATAGCCTTGGTGGAAGTGTAAATTAATATAATCTTATGGAAATAAGCATGGGGATTTCTATAATTTGAGCTACCATTTGATCCCACTATACTACTTTTGGTGTATACCCAAAGGAATTAAAGCCAGCAAACTATAGAGATTCTTGCATGCATATTCATACTTATTGTACCATAATTCACAAAAGGTAAGATATGGACCCAACCTAAGTGGCCATCAACAGCTGAAAGGTAAAAAATAGTGGTGTGTGTGTGTGTGTGTGTGTGTGTGTGTGTGTGTGTGTGTGTGTGTTGTGAAGAATATAGGAATATAGCTGTAAAGAAGAATGAAATTACATCACTCATAGAAAATGGATGGACTTGACATCATCATGATAAGCAAAATAAGCCAGATTCATAAAACCAAATATCACATACTTTACCTAGAATGTGAAATCTAAGCAAGATACTAAAGTATGAGGGACACTCTTATTCCACAAGAAAGGAGTAACTGGGAGGAGGACAAGTGTATGAGAAAGGGTAATAGGGGTGGATATGATAAAAATACATGTGTACTGCAAAAACTTAATATTTTGTAAAACATTAATAAAATACATTTTTAAAAGAGTACTTGTTTTTTGGTTCCCTACCCATTTGGAAAAGCTATATTTTCATTTTTCCTTCAGTTATTTTTTTCTATCTCTTTTTCCTCTATTCCTTTCCTTCACCTTACATCCCTTGTTCCCCTTTTCTTTGAAAGTGATCTACTTCTTATTTATCTATTTTCTGTTTTGTTCTTTATGCATTTTAAAATTTTTTCATGTAAGAGGAACCATACAGTATTAAAGTTGATGTGTATTATTTCATCTAATATTTTAAAAATGCATCTAGTGGTTGGTAATAACTTGTAAGGTGAATTGAATATGGCACACAAGGAGTGCAATTTTTAAGCGGCATTTTTGGGACCTACCTAAAGTCAGAGTTGATGTGACTTGGTAACAGACCCTAAATACGAGTAAGGAATGTTGGTACACTTCATGGGATACATAATGTCATGGTTTATGTCAGTGGCCCCCAAGCCTCATGCAATTATGCATTTTTGATTGATTGGTTGTGCTTAGACAATGGTCTAGCACTTGGATTGCTGGTGTGAGTGCTACACCCACCTAGGGGTGGAGCCAGGATATGATGTAGCGGTAGGAAGCTGTGTCTCTCTCTCTTGCTGGTTCACACCTTGCTGTTTGGAACTGCCATGAACTGCAGCCCCACCATGCCACCCTGCGTTGGAGCCAACTGAGTATGGACTGAAACCTCCAGAACTGTGAGAAATGAACGTTTCCTTTCCCAACTTTGAGACTCAGATACTTTGTCTCAGTGGCGAGTAAAAAGTAACTAAGACACATAATGTTTATGGTGTTGGTTTCTTTAAATAGTGCCAGATTCATTTACCAGTACTGACTGGAGCTGTGGCCATGGAACTCCACAATTTTACTTACAACTAGTAAAATTATAAAACATAGGGGAAAGTGGCTAAAATTAACTAGAAGTTGGAAATATGTATGTATTAGCACCAGTAATAGATGCTAAGGAAGCAATTTATCATACTCTAAAAAATAGTCTTGTATATACATTCTTTTTTAAAAAAATTGTTCTGGACTCTGGTAGTGGCTTTGTATCTTACAAAGTTGATCAACATCTTTACTGACAAATCTTAAACCATAGATTTCTAATAAACAAATGAACATTGTGCAACATGCTTTATATAGTATTTCAGTTCATCTCAACAACAATTCTGTCAGTAGATATTATTACCCACATTTTGGAAAAGGATAAATTGAGGTCTAAAGAAACTAATGAATTTGCATAAAAGCATATAGCTAATTAATTGAGTGGCACATAATATCCAGCTTTCTTATCCCTGCTCCCTGGGCTACATTAGCTCTAGATGACATGTTCAGAGTCATGTCTTACCCATGCCCCCGTGTTTGATCCTTCATCGCCCTTGTTTTGATATAGGTAGTCCTTCAGTGGTCAGACCTAGGAAAGATGCAGAACAAACAGAAAATCTCACGTAGGATAATTTACAACGCAAAAAAGAGCTATCAAATAAAGACCGAAAATCAAGTAAGACTTGTCACTACTCATTAAGAAACTTTGTCTTTCTTAATTGTTATTCTGAGAATGTAAAATTTCAAAATATGTTTATTTTATTGTCATATTAATGGATCATTTCTGTATGTCTCAAGCATTTCCTAAGTAGCAGAAACTCAGTGATACTAGAGTATATGAGGTTCTGTAGCTTAATTATGCCATTTAAAGACTGATCAAAAATATTAAATAATATATTTACGTTAATTTCTTTCACATGTATTTGCCACACAAAAATTTTTTAAATGGAAAGTTCTACTTTGATTGTAAGAGATTCAAAATTATATACATTTTCTGCTATTCAAAATTCTCTTTCCAATATAGTTAAAATTTCTCCACTTTTCACTATAGTTAAAATTTCCCAGTGTACCTTAAAAGAAATACACAGTCCATCAAACAAATATGTAAGGAAAGGAAAAACTTGTATAAATTATATCATGAGATTAATATAAGTTACCTTTGGCCTTTTCAGCTACAAGAGGTGCTCAGAGTGGTGGTCATTAGCATGCAGACATTTATTAGCATGGTGAACTGGTGAAGCATGTATACATTGTTCGAGAAGACTTTCTTTCTCAATACATATATATGTGTATGTGTATATATATCTGATGACTGATAGTCATCTTATGTTTCAGTTATCAAAATTTGATTCATAAACAAATCATGTTACCAACACTTGCAGTGCTGGTACAAAGCAATGGCAGGGGACCCTTTGCACAAATCAGGCCAAAGTTCTGCATTGTACTCTTGCTCTTCACTACCAAGCACTGACTGTGACAGCAGACAGGAAAACTCACAAAAGGAAGCATCATTTCAGAAGCACTAGACATTATTAACTTCATTAAATCTCAGCCTCTGAATAAAATCTCTTTAATATTATCTGGTTAAATGATGAAGTATATGTAATGAAATTCCTCAGCATACTGAAGATTCATGGTTGGTTTGAGATTTATTTCACAAAAATAAACTAGAATGAATGACAACTTTTTAGGGGGGTACTGGGTATCAAACTCATGACCTAGCACTTGCCAGGCAAGCACTTATGCCACTGTACTGAACCCCCAGCTAGTATTCACTTTTAAGAATTCAAGAAGATTCTCAAAATGAATGGAGTGAATTGGTCACTTCAGGGAAAACCACTGACAGTGCTTCTAAGACTCAGACTGAAGCATGCATTAAGATTTCGAGGCGCGTTTACCCACACAAATAATCTTTATAACTCAGTCCACTAAAAGGAAAAGAATTTTTTTCTAGATGACCAGGCCTGTTGTTTAATATTCACGCTTGGGTGAAGGATCTGTTCAAACAGCATGATAGACAGAAGGTTTGAATTTGTCAGAATAATTTCATTGATTGGGTTTCAGATGCTACATTATAAGTAACTTCTAAGAGATTCTCATTTGTGTAGTAGCAAAGAGTAACAAGTATTATGTGAAAAAAGTCTATTAAATATCCTGCTCTCCAGCCACATGGCTGCTGAAGTCTGTACATGCTCTGTGTGACGGTCAAATGACTTATATGACAGAATGAGTGCAGACGCAAAGCCCAGCTTCTCTTGAGGTAAACATTGAAGAGATTGGCAGAAATGTCTGTGTGCCACTAGTTTTTGACAGTACAGTAAAATATAATGGATTTATTATTTTAAATATATTTTAAAACTATTCAGCTTTAAGTGCTGGCATAGTCACTACAACAGAAGAGAGATAAATGATTACATCCCATTTAATCTTTCCCAAAATGCCATGAAGTGTAATGCCATGAACTGTTGCCTTGAATTGTTTGAGAAGAAAGGAAATTAAAAATTTGCATAAAGTCACACATTTTATAAATAGTAAAACTGAGTTTGGGTGCTGGGTATTGAACACAATGCCACTGATTATTATAATGATCAGGTTCCTCTTTTCATTCTGTGGAGATGGAAAATGTATGTATTATTAGCAAAGTAGAAATTATATAGAATCAATTACGTGAAATGTAGGAATGATTAGAAAATTTATGTTTCAATTTTCTCATTTTGCTGGTAAGATATATTTCAGGCTACACAAATATAACAGTATGATTACTATCTTACTTTAAACCTGGCAGGTTTTTTCCTGTGTTGAGAAATATTGTCTAACTGTATAATCAAGCCAGGTCTGGAATGTTGGATCCTCCTGCTTCACCTTCCCAAGCTCTGGGATGACAGGTATGCAGCAACATGACCAGCAAAACCTGGCAGTGTTTTTTAACGTAATTTTTAAAAGGGAACTCTATAGTCTTCTGCTATTTCTTTTTGCTTAGCCAGACTAAAAGCACTCAAACACTTTGGTAAAACCCTTCTTACTCATCCCATCCGGATGCTAATGAAAATAAAAACTCAAAACAAAATTAGAAAGAGGACTGAAAAATTGTGATAAATAACCAAGGTCCCTCTGTGGCTACTTACTGACTTTACTGCTTCCGTTTATATTTTTTAAAGCCTTAGAAATGTGGTAATGTAATTACAAGTTTAGCTGAAGTGACTTGAAAAGGGAGCTTGGGGGAGAATTGGTGTTGCACGTGAAAAGCAGCTGGAACTGGAGGGCTTGGATGAGGCAGGGTCAGACCAGGATCTCCTCAGGGGATACCTTCAGGTGCAGTGCTGTGCTCTGGAGGGCTGTGGAAGTGGTGTGTATGGAAGCCCCAAGGTGCTGAAGGAGAATGGGATTCAGGTTTGGGTTCACCACTTCATGATATTTATCCATTCTTTTTGGGTTTCTTCATAATAGCTTCCCAATTTACTAGCGTTAAGTTGAATTTAAGAATAGTTAATTGAGTTAAAATTCTGAGTCAGAGTGAAATACATTTATGTAATACATTCTGTGTGTACAGTAAGCTCAAGGAAAATGTGGATTATTTCAAGGCTACATTAGTATGTTAATTTGGGGAATTCACAGCTGCTGCTTGCTTTGGGCTGTGTGTCATGCCCGTTTCCACTCCACTGGTATAATGTAGTCTCCTTTTTGAGTCAATTCAAATTCCTTTCTCAGTAAACTCCTTAATGCAGACTCTCAAATTTAAGGAATTCGAAGGATGTGTAATGTTCCCTGGATCTCTTAATGTAGGCACTGGCTTTAAAATTTGCTTGAAATTAGATGGACAAAGACAATCAAGGGTTTAGCTCAGCAGCATAAGTGCCTGCTTGGCAAACACGAAGTTGTGAGTTTGGTCTCCGGTTTAAAAAAAAAAAAAAAAAATCAAGACAATCAGGAAATCCAAATATGTGTCTGTGTATAATGCATATATCTATGTGTGTTTATGTTTGTTTCCTGTGTTAACATGATCACCTGTATGAGTAATTTCCTGTGTCTTCAGCCAGGCAGTTTGGGTTTTATTCCTGCTGTCAGTGGCTAATTAAGCTCTTCAGCAATGGGGGAAAGGGATAAAATAGCCGTTTGTTGGATTCTTTATTACGAAGGGTAGAGTTGGCAGTAGGCACAGCCATAACATGTTAGGGTATTTCTGAACTACTTTGAAGTTGCCTGAATAGTCACGACACTCTGCACCTTACTCCTATCTTTAGAAACATCCTCTGTCACTCTCTTTGCTCATTCAGGGAATGCGGTCCCTGGAAAAGCAGTCACTATGTGGCACTGCTGTGTTATGGTGTGGATGCAGAGTTATTTTCTTGCAGCAAATTTCCAATCATGACAGGGTTATTCAGCTGAGTCTTTTCTAGAGATCTCATGAATTCATTCAGTATTTACCTAACAGCCATATCCTGATAATCTGCATTTACTGCCTCAGCCTTATTTGATAAATTATCACCGTGCTGCTTTCCCAAACAAGCCATTCTGGAAGATTCAAAGTCAGTAACATAGCTAGGGCTTAGAAATCGTAATTCCTCCACCTGTTTGGAGTCTGGTTATCCTGTTACACGTGTGATTTGGCCTATTGTAAGAGTCGGTGCTTGGTTACATGTTTGGTATATAAGTTATTACATTTTGATATGAAGGCACAAGCATAAGCTTCTCAGGTTTCCTTTCAGGGCTCTCCTGCTTTTTCTTTCAAATGCATTCATTTTCTTTGTCTTAAAGTGCTTTTTCAGTTGAGCTGCTCTGGATCTTTGATCATAACCCGGGGAGGGCCCTGTGAGGCACACTCTCCTCTTGGAAGGGCTGGCAGCCCTGGCTGCCCATCTGGGTATGTGAGCAGGGGTGGAATCCGGCAGACAGGTGGTGGCAGCTCCCTGGAGACAGCAGGAGGCAGGAAAAAGGCCACAGGCAGGAGCTAGTATAGGTGAAGGGGCCAAGGAGGAGCAGTTCACACCTGGCGTTCCCTTGCTTCTGGTGGGCTGGGAGTGGGGAGTGACAGAGAGCTGTCAGAGCCTTCAAAATATGTTAGTTTTGGAAAAACTACTGCCTTCTGGGTTGGGAGACAAGAAAGGAAGACAAAGGGCCTCCGATGGTCAGAGCTGCTCCTCGCCGCTGTGGTTTCTCAGCCCACTGCGGGTATCAGGAAGACTTGTGGGTTTGCTGTTTCTAAGGGCAAAAGGAAAGCTGAAAAAGGGGTGTGTGTAGACAGGAAGTGCAGTGGCCATTCTGCACTGGCCGTTGTGACTATGGAACAGACGTCACAGTGCCCAGGGGATCTTCCTGTGTCCAGGCTCTGGCCCTGGGTGTGAATTCAGGACCTGGATGACAGATTTACAAAAGGAAAAATGAAAATATTCTGAGTTCTAGCTTTTTGATCACTAAAAGCTAAAACTGCTGGAGGGTCTGTCCAGCAGCAAGACATTTTTGAGGTTTGGAAAATACTGGAACATTTGGCCAGAAGAGAGACTTTGTGGGAATGATTTGTTGCTTGTGGGTGTCCACTCTGGACATATGTGTTTGTGGAAATACAAATTCTTGTGAATAAGTGTTAATATTATTGATAATGAATTTTTAAAGCTTGAGCAGATGTGGTTATTCTAAATAATGAGAAATCTATGACTGCTAGGACCAAACTGAGAGGCAGACTTTTTAACCTTCACTGAGAACCCACTCATTAATGCCAAGACCTTCTTTCTTCCTGTTACTGTTATTTAAATTGAAAACGTTTCACACTTATTTTGCTGTTTGTGTTTAGTAGAGACATTAAATGACTAATATGGAGTGAATTTTTGCTAGTTTTTTGTTTTACATACTAGTATTTCCATCTTGGAAAGCTCTCTGCCATATTTTCATGCCAGGACAGTTAATACAGACAGTCAAAAATATATAATACTTTCTTCAAGATCACTGGACATTAATGTGAACTAGTTATTTTCCATCATTTTTTATTTATAAATAGATGTTTATTCTCTTGTGAGTTGCCATAGTTTTGATGATATATCAAAAACTTACATGTATTGATATTATTTTATTGTTCAACTTGTCAGTGAAATAGAACAGAAGAGATGATATTGGAGAAAACATTAAAGGTTTCCTAAGAGGTAGCAGTAAATTTGATGTTATTAGCACAAATGCTTTTGAACAATACTACTAAGCAATAGATCTAATGAGATTTGGGATGTATTTAAAAATTAGTCAGCCTTAGTATAATATTCCTTCAGAGAGCATTTGTAATGCCCACAAGAATGTGTTGGTAAAGGGATCAGATTCCAGGCCAACCTGCAGGTACTTTTCAATAGTTGACATAACACACACCTGTGTATTCTTTTCTCTGACCTCAGAATTCTTTTGAAAAGCTACTGACATATGGAACTGTGCAAAAGAGCAGATTTTTGTTTTCTGACAAGTAGGAAAAATAAATTCTTAGTGAAATGTTTTGCCTATATATGGTGCTTGCAGTAAGAGCTGTAGTTTATCTTATACTCCTTATCACTTGTGGAATAAAAAAACCTAAGGATCCATGGTAGTACATTTACTTGTACAGTGTTTTCCTTAAAGTATTTTAACATGCTGACTATATTACCATATCTGTGTATCTACCTATCTATCTATTCAGAGCTTAATTTTTCCATGATTTTGAAAAAGAAGGCTGCGTTCGTGTTTGTGTGGAAAAAGTGACCGCAGTTATGTTTGTAGTGTAGAGTTTGCAAACAAAAACAAAATTTGCCAAATGTTTTTGTTTGCAAAACAAATTGTTCCCAAACAGAACTATTCATTAACTGAGCTACCACTGTGTGTGTATATTGTTTTATTTTTTACAGTAAGTTATAAAATAATCCCCCATGGGTTTGTTTTTGATGAAATCATTTAGACATTTATCTCATAGCAATGAAACTTGTGTGCAGAAATAGTTGTAATAAAGCTAACCCAACTTGACATTTACCTTTTATATAGAGATAGGTAAAATTCTCCTTTATAAAATACATTACCATAAACGTGGTCACTTAAGAAAAAGTGTCAAATGTTGGTATTGCTTTCAATCAAAATACTGTGATAACTTTGATAAAAGAATCAATTGGCCTATAATATGTTATAATTTATATTTTATATTTAAATCATTAAAAAGAAGATTCAGTGTTTGTGTATTTTAGATTGTCACATCCCAAATTGATTTTCATCACATATTTTTCTTTTCAAAATTAAGCTTTATTTAGTTTGTCATCAGCAGTTTATTTCTTGCAATCTACTTAATTGAATAGTTTCTACTGTTTATCTTAAAATGCAGATAAATGGCTCTCAGCACACTGTTTATAGTTGCATGGCTCCCTCAGTGAGTCAGCATTATCAGCTGTGGTCTTCATGCTATAACTAATGATCTCTCTGCTTATACTTTCCTGTTGGTGGGAAACACAACTATGCAGGGGCACGAGCCTGCTCTAGCTGGCGTGAGAGGGTGGTTTAGGGTGGTCCCTGCTGGCCAAACCTTTGTCCTTACCGGTGTGAAATAGGGAGAGGTGTATGTCCTTAACTATGATTTTGCCATACACCAAAGCTGGCACAAAGTGCTGTATTCTAAGACATTGTAGTGAAGAATTTGAAGGAAGTAACTATTAGAGATTTGCTCTATTCCAGATTATCTGTAATAGCATAGTTTTAATACTTTTGGGTTCTTTTGACTTCTTGACATAGAATGGGAGTCACTGGGAAATTTTCACATTACTGCCAAATGGCTACTCTGGACTTAATGATGTCAGTAAACTTTTTTAATCCCTGAAGAAGGACAGAAAGAAAATAAAGTCCATTGACAACTAATCATTTACCATTTACTTTGGGGCTATTCATCCCCAAAGGCCATCATGTTCTTCCACTATAGAAAACAAGACAATGTCACTATGAGAGTTCTCTTTTAGTGAGAATCAGGAGGCTTGGGCCGTAGTACTTAAAGCTGACAGATTTGACCAGCACCTTATTATTGTGCTGGATTTTTACACAGAGAATAGAGCATTGTGCAGCTAATTATAGAGAATAGTTCTTTGGAGCTGAAGTACCAACTAATATATTAGGTAAACTATTTTATTGATCTTGTATCCTCTTTGAGACTGTGGCAAACTTTCTGGAAGAAGTGACTATTGAAGATACCACAGTCTTTGGCCCTTATCTTAGTATTGAAATTGTTCAGAAGTGGTCATTGAAGTATATATTTTTCTATCTTCTTATTCTGCTATTGAAATTTAAGATTTAAGATTTAAGACTCAAAAATATACAACACACATGTATTACCCTTGAATCGGTGAGGCTTAAAATACAGAAACATGAAGAGTTTATGAGCGGTAATATTTCTCATAAAGCATCTTACTCTAGCCTTTTGGTTATTGTTGGTTTAGTGTGAGAGGCCATACTGATGATTATTTAAATGATGAGGAAGGGAATCTGTTGATCTTAGAATAGAATGTGAAGTTAATAAGCATTACAGGCATAAATAGATAAAAGAATATAAAGAAGGAAAATTAAAATCAGTGAGGAGGTCAAAGACTGGACCACTGTCATACCATTAAAATCTAAGAAAATCAAAGTGCTTTTGGAAAATGTTTTGAAAACTAAAGCACTTGTTTATCAAAAGACAGATGATAGCTGGAGAAGCTTCTTGTCTGTATCACAGCCAGGTTTACGGTGACACAATTACTATAGTAACATAGCTTTAATTTGGCTCTCTTGCTTTTTCTGCCCAGAACTCAGCAGAATCATCTTTTGGCAACTGTTTTCCTAAGACTGGAATGAAGAAGATGACAGTTTGGAGATTTCCCACTTTAATGGATAGTTACGTAGAATTAAGGAAAAATTTAATTTTTTCTCAAAATTCTTGTATTCCAGATAGAGATCTGACTTAATTCAGCTGTGTTTACTTTAGAGGTACAGATAGCATTAATGAGAAAAGTTGGGAGAAAACTAATATACCATCTATGGCCACCCTCCTGAATATTGATTTGCCTTCAGTTAGTCTCAGTGTCACTTGGAACTCAAATTATCTGTAACATTACTGTCTGAATCTAAGAAAAGCTGTTAAGAATTGTCAAATTCTGATGAGAAAGAATGTTCTTATGTGTGCAAGAATTTCTTTTGATCTTGTTCCTAATATATACCCTAAGCATGCATATTTTTCATGAAAATTTTAATGTATTGTTTTTCTCTTAATAAGTACTGTAATTAATATCTAAAGCAAACTGCAAATAAGCATATTAATATGTATTTAAATTATGTTTACATTTTCAAATTGAAACAATTTCATTGCAGTTCTTTTTCTGTGTATAAATAAACCTTTTTTTTTTTTAAACCATTACTATTAGGAAAGGATATTTGGTTTTTGGATAAGATTTTAGGATATTTGTTTGAAGTGGCACAGATTCTATCCTCCAGAACAGATGGTTTTGCATTTATTTAGAGCATAGAAGGAATTAGGAGTGAATAGTCAGCAGCTCTTTTTATGACCAAGGAAAAGAACAAAATTGGTAACTTTTATGTCACTATTAGAATTTTAAAGTTTGTGAACATACTGGCCATGATGTCTTTTTTTTTTTTTTAACTTAAAATGCTTCACACACAGCATCTATATGATAAATATTCCTTAAATCAATTAGGACTTACTAGTTGCTTTCTGCTGGTTATAATAAGTATGTCATTTAAACTTTAAAAGAAAGATCTGTAAAAGCCTGTGGGGTTGATCTGTTCGTGAAATTGTGCTTGTGATAAAGTGTGTGACATTGCATTTTGAAATATTCTGAATGTCAAAAGGCTATTAGAAGAATAGATTGCTAAAAATTTAAATAGTACATCTAGATATTTTTCTGCTTTGTGTATTATCAGAGGCAGCTTTTAACCATCTGGAAATGTTACATAATACACTGGACAGCGGCCTTTCTTGTTTTTCTCTCTCCCCCTCTCCCCCTCTCCCCCTCTCCCCCTCTCTCCTCCTCTTCCCTTCTCCCCTTCTCCCCGTCCATCGCCCCCTCTCTCTCCCTCTCCCTCCCCCTCTTGTTGCAGGGTTTTCCCCCCTTTTTACCTTTCTAATGTCATAGGCCACAGATCCCGAATATAGCTCAGTGCTTGACCGAAATAATCTCTCTTGCTAGCTTATAATCAAAGGGAAGACTGAGAAAAACAGCTGAGCTGTATTAGGCAACCTCAGTGTGGACTGCATTTCTTAACTGCTGAATAACACATCACAGGTGCAGGATTAGCGCTGCCTTTGGTGCTGGGCTTTTCGGTGGGAACCCCAGCCGTTCTGTGCCTCCTCTTGATGTCTTCTCTCACGGGGAGCCTGGCAACAGCACATCAGGCACACAGAAATCAAATGTGAGTAGTGGGGAAAGCTTTCTACCTCACAGAGGCTGTTTCCCTCCAGTATTGTAAGCAAAACCAGTAAAGCCAAATCTGGCACAAGTAAAAGTTGTTTGAACTTAGTCTTTCTTGGCATAGGGGTGGAAAAGAACAGTTCTCAGAGAGTGTAAAATTTTGTGCACAAATAGTCACACCACAAGAAAATAGTGCTCTCCTGACACTGTAAAATGTAGGGTACTATTAAGTGAACTTTTTGTATCTATTATTTTAACCTCTGTTCTGCGTGTCTTGGAATGTGTTTTCCCTGTACATTTTTTCAGTACTTTCATGGTCAAAATCAAGTGTTGTGACTGGAGGGTCTTGTGATGTGATGTGTTTACAGTTTTTGACAGTGTAAGTTCTTTCACAGTTGATGGCATTCAACTCATAATTCATAGCTTATGAAAGTCCAACTTGCATTGTTGCAAAAGTGGGTTTTAAAAATGCAAACTTATTTTTAAGGTATAGTGACTATATTTAATAAGGAGGTTATACATACTTTTATCAAAGTGAAGTATACACTTGGAGACCCAAAGGCAAGAATATTTTAGTAATTTGTATCAGTGTGGGTTATCTGTCCTACAAAAGATTTCTGTGAAACACAGCAAGCCAGTATAAAAGACCTATGGATACTTCTGCAGATTTGAAACAATTTATTTGCAGGTTATATTAGCCTTTCATACCTTTATAATATTTAGATTTTTGTTTTCATTATTTGGTTCTAATTATCATTATTATTCTTCATTGATCCAATGGAGAAAGACCTTCAAATTCATTAGTGATGATAGTTGTTGATAATAGTATATCATAAATTTATTTTAGTATTTATACTGCATATATTTAAGTATTTGAAACAGCAATACATTTCAGTATTTTTAGGTCAGACTATGCCATAACTGAGGTGTCTTCTAAGAATTATGCAATCGAAGGATACATTCAGGATTAGAAACAGAAATCCCAAATGCTTTCCAGGGTTTTTTTTTTTGCCCCTGTGGAAAATACATAGAATGAGCATGGTGATTTGGTTTCTGATCTATCTGGTTTTGTTATCATATGTTGTATCTCACATACACACATGTATATGAATTTGTTCAAAATAGTTTTACACATTGGGGGATCTTGATAATGTTTTGCAAACTATGGGGTATGTGTTGCTGTGGTGGCAAGTTGAACATCCATTCTGATTAGCGTCAGAACTCTGCAAAGCAGAGCACTGATAGAAACTCCCCTGGATAAAGCTATAGCTCCTGACTTAGAAATCCACCAATTTCTCGCTGATCCTTTGACATTTTTGTCAAAGAGACTGTTGGCTCACTTTCTTTTCCAACAGAAAGTGGACCTGATCTGATGTATTAAGTATTTTAAAATATAGAGACCTTTGAATTTTATAATCATTCAATCAGCCAGAAGTTATTCTATGTGTTATATCATAGGTATGGATTGAATTTGTTAAGTATTTTTAGCCATCGTAATTGCCTGCTTGTCAGTTGACTTTTTCTCATGTTTATATTTTAAAGCACTTTATAAATTTGTATCTTAGAGTATCTTAAAAGTTTGAGGTCAACATTTTAGTTGAGTTTTTTAAAATTCAGAAGCATAATAAAATGTAAGAAACAATTAGATATTAAATAGTATATATGTGATGTCCAGAGAACTGTAATTACTATACTATTTCATCTTTTTATGACTTGCTTAAATCTAGAATCACTAAATAAAAATTAAATGATTGAAGTTACCTTTTTTACCCAGATTTTTTTGGGTCTCTCAGTAGAGATTTTGAAATGTAACACGGTAAAAATCTGTTTGTCAAACATAACATATGTGCATCCATGAGTTTTGTGAAGAGAAAACATGTGTAAATATTTTATGATAAAACGACTTTGTGACAAAAACAGCACGTCTCTTAAATTTAAAACTTACGTGTTTCTCTTAACCTGCTCAATGTCAATACTGAGCTGTTGGAATGAAAATCTGGCAACTCCCCTTGTGTCAGGGCTTATGTTTTCTCTAACAGACAGTGGTTGATGACTGCTGGCCTGAGTAGCCTGCCTTTGGATACACTCCTGTCTAGGTCTCCCATTTGACAGTCATGTGTGGCACTATGGCATTTGTTTTCTTGTTTTATGTACTATTGTTTGGTTTTCCATATGTGGTTGATTTGTCTATATTCCATTTGCAGTTGAAATGTGTTCCCAGTAAAACTGTCACTTTATTGAGGCCACCTTCAGGTATTCTTGGCTATTGTGGAGTGCAAACGTATTTAGTTATTATTTGATTTAAACCAATGTACTATAAGAAGAAAAACATCTAATAACATATTAGTTATACTTGAAATTTAATATTTCTTAAACCAAAAGCTGTACATATTTAGAGATGTTTTGCTCATGATGTGGAATCTGTACAGTCAAGGTAAGTGAAATGAAACAAAAAGAAAACGGAATTTAAAGAGGTGCAGGGAATCTGGAAGGGGAGAAGAGGAAGAAGAAGGAAAGCTAAAGAAATAGAAACACAAGACATATGGGAAAGAATAAGATGCCAAAAGAGAAAAGAACTTGAAGAATAGAAACAAGGTATTTTCAGCAGTGCAGAAAACAACAATAATTTACTATTATTGACTCTTATTATGTGTAAAGAACTGTGATAGATACTTTAATTGGATTATCCATTCCTTACTCCAGTCAATGAGTGTCTTTATATATTTTCTCCTAAACTTCCATTCTCGCCTTCTTCAAGGAGAGTTAAGTCACTTGTTATAAACACTTAGCAGGGAAGTAACTGAGCTGGGGTGTGAACTAAATTTGTATTACCTGTGTCATGTGCACGTCTGGCTGCATTGCTTGTCCATACCTGACCTTGCCTCACCAACTAACATTTCACACCCCCACTCCCAAAACCTGCACCGTCCTGTGCCTAACTCTTCTCTGACGGTAGTGCAGAGGAGAAAGAGTCCTGTGCAGGTGACGTCTCAGTGTGTACTTATTATCTACATATCATTCTGCTTTGGTGTCTTCGATTGAAATTGTGTTTTGCTACTTCTCTAAAGCAGCTAAGCCTGTCTCCAAATTTTTATAAATGATGCCTCCATACACACACACACACACACACACACACACACACATACACATCCTTAAGTCCTTGCTGGCAACACCATAGAACATTATTTATTTGAAAATGCCTTAGTGTAGTGAAAGAGTTAGGCAATGAAAATAAAGTTCAGGTCTTTTGAATTGAAAAGCAGTGAATTATACCCTTTAAAACTGAGGTAAATTATTCAGTTTAAATGGTAAAAGTATAAATTAGTTATCCGTGTGAACTCACTACTTCACTGAAAGTTGTTTTGAAAGTCAATATTGTTTTGAAGGCCAGATACATTTTGTTTATGTGAGAAATATACTCTTTAAAAGTGCAGATATTTAAACCAGTTTGTATTGAGAAAGGAAATTGATCAAAATTATTGTTATAACTATGTGAACGAGTAGGTTGGATCAGTTTGAAAGTTCAACAAGTCAGAACTTTCTGCTAATCCCCATCTCAAAGCACAAACGCCTGTGGTGTGAATTTGTTTCTCCTCTTGCTCCTGTCTGCCCTCTGGTGGAAATGTTGTAATATATTTAAAGCTGTTAACATTTTGTAGTTTTAAAATAGAGGATTAAAGAAATGAAGGAAAAAAATGGAAAAGAATAAGGAGGATATTATTAATAGATCATAGGACACAAAATAATAATGATGTTTACAGTGAATTTTTTAGAAAGACATAACTATTTTTGAGAGCATTGTGTATTGAGATTTAATTTAACTTGAGGTATTTCCATTGGTAAATATATGTTAAATGTGCCTATTCTCTGTTATAACACGACAGTAGATTCTGATGTTGTCATTGTCTATAACATAAAATAATCTTTTATATTACAAATTTAAAATGCTTTATTTATGGTATTTTTGAAGTGAATATTAAGAAAAATAACAATGCACATGGCTAAAAAAACATGCTTTGGGACTTACTAGATAAATATTGACCATTAAATTAGAATTGTTAACACTATGCTTTTCTTTAGCAATATGGTAAACTCTTATTTTACTTTTGTGTCTTCTGGTTTTTCTGTAAGTCATATAGAAAGTCACAGACAATTTTTAATAAAGAACTTATTTATTATTATGAGGAGTTATAGTCTTGTGTATATGAGAGACTTCCAGCTTTTCATTGTTCACTATTTCCAAATCAGTATTTTTTAAAATCTTCAAAATTTTGCATCACTGTATTTAATTTTAACTTCCAGTTTTGCTGTGAGGGGCTCAATGCCATATTTATTTTTGATTTTTCTCCCCTTCTTTCCCCTCCCCTCTGCTTCCCTTTCTCTCCCCTGTCTCTGTAAGAATTTTGCATTTCCTTTTGTCTCTACTGTTACAATTTTTCAAAAAATCTTTTTTGGGACAGGATTTCTGTGTGTAACGACTCATGGCCATCCTGCTGCCTCAGCCGCCCGAGTGCTGGGATGACAGGTGTGCTCCACCGCGCTCGGCATCCTTTGATACCAGTCTTATCTGGTATCTGGTATGACTTATACTAAGTCATATTTTTTAACTAAAGGTTCATGACTTTCAGTTATGAGAATCTTGTATGGTTCATTCATTTGATGGTTGCCTACTCTTTTCTTATCTCTCCTGAGATAATATTATTCAGGTACTGAATTTCTTGGATTGATACTCAAAGTTTCTCACCATTTCTCTCTGTTTTGCTCTATTTCCTAATGTTTGTTTTTCAGCTCATCTGCTAAGATTTTCTTTGATGCAGTACTTTAAAAGTTTCATGTTATTTCCATTGTATAGCAGCATGGTTTTGTTTCACTGATATAGTACAGTTCTGAATAATAATAAAAGCTTCAGTTTGCATTTCCTCCATAAAGTATCTGTTTCTTCCACGTGGGTGTCTCAGTGTGTGTGTGTGTGTGTGTGTGTGTGTGTGTGTGTGTGTGTGTCATTCTCAGCCTTCTATGTTTAGGGTTTCCTTGGCTAGCTGGTCACCCTAGCATCATGCTCATCTGTAAGTGTGCAAGATCTAGCAGCGCTGAGTAGAAGCTCAGAGCACAGGACTGAGTGTTGTCACTGGGGGCTTCTTGTAGGATGACCCTGAAGAGCTACATCACCGAGAAGCCCACAGTACCTCTCTACCTACAGCTCTGTTATTCCCAGTTTCTCAGTGAAAACGCACAGGTCGGGCTGCCATGGGTCAGTGAGCCCAGGGATGGGGACAAGGATGGAGGGCTCCTGTCTAGCACAAAAAGCGAAGATTTATTTTTCCAGACATCCACAGGGTGGGAAGAACAGCTGCCCCGTCATGGGGAGTGGGGAAGGGCATCTTAGTTCACCTTGTAAAAGCGGGTTGTCGGATATGCCTTTTCTTTCACTTTGTTCAGAAAAATTGTACTAAAAACTGCTAAATAGTTTCTCTTCTTGTTCATCTTGGGACTCAGCTTGCTTTCTTTGCTAAACCAGCCACCACTTGTCCTTCTGCTGCCTAGGCTGTTGCAGCTGGTGTTTTGTTCTCCAAGTCTCATCCTTGTTGGTTGTTTCTAACAGTAGCCTTGCTCTTAACTTGTTACAGGGGGCTGCATAGGAGAATACTGTGTGATCTGCCTTTCCCCCCAGACATTACATTTTAACATTCTTTCCTGTTGACAAATATGCTCTGTGTCCACACTTTAAGAGCAACATAGGAATCCTATTTTAGAGACATAATGAACTCTCTGTTGTGGTAGTCATGGGTTGTTGCTAGCAGCATTGCAAAGAACCTTCTTTTTAAAAAATTTTTCTTTTTGCAAAGAAACTTCTTGTAGCTAAATTTTATGGGTAATTTATCCTTGAATAAATTTATGATGTGAAAAATATTTCGGCCAAAATGGCATCTTATTTCTAATCTATGAAAGTATTTCCTTTACTTCAGTGCAGAAATTTCATCAAATAAACTTTACCAGCAGATGGCAAATTCTGGGTATGTTTTGATCATCACGGTGACCCAGGCTGTGCTTGGAACATGGCAGGAATTCAGTGCATATTTGCTAAGTAATATCTCCAGAACAAATTAAATTTTATTATTTTGTTTTAAAACATCAAAGAGACAGGATCTGGTATGGCAGGAAGCAGGAAGGTAGTGAGTCTTAAATACCCTGTTTTCATCCTTTTGCCCGTTGAGGTAGCCCATCAAGTTAGTGAGCTTGATAACTAGAGTTAAGAAGAAGTCACTGCCACAATAATTGAGTGGTGACAGGGCCATTGAGTGAGGTTCACTCTTCTGGGGACAGACTGGGAACAAATGGCTTTCGAAATAAAATGGAAGCAGGAACTGTGTTTAAATTCATTTTATTTCAGTATTTAACTAGAATAAGAATGGTATGTACCTGTAGAGATTCACTGTGTGATTAGATTAAATATGTATTATTTACTTGCTCTAGGATTTCTGAGTGAAGTCTGTAGATCATCTGTCTCAGAATCACATGAGATCCTGTTAAATATGTACTTTTCTTAGCTCTCCTGAGACCTAGAGAATCTAATCACTGTGGGAGGGGTGAGATTTTGCACAGAACAAGCTCCTCGCACACTTCTGCTGTTCACTACAGTCAACATGCATTTTCAAAGCCAAGTTTGTAAAGAACTGTTCAAGAAAGTTATGCAGACGTTATATGTACATTTGTAAAACTACAATAAAATGTTAGAGTCGGTAGTGATCATACACGTTCTATAAGTTGATTTCATGTATTTTATTAATTTGATTGATTGATGGAGATGACTTGCTATGTGGCCACCCTTGAATTCTCTGTGTCACCCAGCCCTGTCCTTGAACTTGAAATCTACCTGTCTCATCCTCCTGAGTGCTAGGATTATGAGCGTGTACCACCCCGTGCCTTCATGGATCTTTATTTAAACTATTATTTTCTAAAAATCTGACTAATTAGCTTGACATGTAGAAAACCAAGAAAAGTTAGGTGTTTTTTTCTGCAACTTTTCATTCTTAATGCCTAGACTCATTTACTTATGATTTTAAAAATATCAAATGCACACTACACATGTCTATAGCATATATATTGCACTTTTTGACATGACTTCAGTTTTTAAATCAACAGTGTTTAAAAGATGTGTTTAAATCAATGTTTAGAATATGTTTAGAAGAAATAGTTTTGAGATTTTAGTTAATTATCAACCAAGTAGATGTATTACGAGAGAGATGTTAAATTGAACATTGGTCATGGCGAGGACCCCTGCCTTGACATATATATAAAGAGCTCTTACTCCAGTTCTTAAGTACCCTAGGCATCACTATGTGACAGAAATGTGCTTCTCTGTGTTCATTAGTACATATTTGTGGCCCGTAATGACTGCATTCATGGTTGGAAGTTGGTATGTATATATAGCAGATCATAGTTCTTTTTACTTCCACTTGTCCTGTTCCCCATCTGTCTCCCTATTTTGTAATACCTACTTTTAGTTTGCTCTTTATATTGTTTATACTTTGTGTTTCTCATGTAAGAGAAGTGATGGGATAGTTATGCTTGTGTGACTGATTCATTTCACTTGATATTATGGACCTCAGTTACATCCATTTCCCTAAAAATGTCTCAGAATTATTTTTCTGGCTGAACAATACCTTGTTGTATAAAAATAGCATATTGTCTTTACCCATTTATCTGCTGATGGGCATGCAGATATAGCTATTATGAATTGTGCTGCTGTAAACATGGGTGTGCATACATCACTGTAGTATGATGTCCTTAACTCTTTCATGAAGACACCTAGGGGAAAACTAGCTGGGTCATGTGGAGTTTCTAGTTTTAGTTTTTTGAGATGTCTCCACACTGGATCCATGCCGTCCATACTAGTTTAACATTTGCACAGTGTAGGAGTATTTTTTTTTCTCACAGCTTCCTTAGTGTTTATTATTGGGTTTCTTGATAATGGCCATTCTTTTTGAAGTAAGATAGAATCTCACATTGTTTTAATGGACATTTCTCTCTTGGCTAATGATGTTAAACATCTTTTCATGTATTTATTGTTTATGTTGCTTCTAAGTGGTGTCTGTTCATTTTAGTTGCCCATGTTCTGAGTGACTCTTTTATTTTGACTCTATTTTTTTTTTGGTTTTTTATATATTCTACATGTTAGTCCTTTGATTGAAGAGTAGCTGTCAAGCGTTTTTCCACATTCTGTAGTTGGTTCCTTCACTCTATTTGTTGATTGCTTTGCTTCATGAAAGTGTCAGAACTTAATATAATCCCATTTACCAATTCTTGAAACTTCTTGTACACATTGAATTCTTGCTGTCAGGTGTAGCTGCTTATGATAATTTCTATTTAAGGATTTTAAAAATGTGAGGGATGAAAAAATTATTCATAAAGTTATCTGAAGACAACTAACCAGTTAATAGTGAAATCTACTGTTTAACCCAGAAAGTATTTTTATGGCATCCAAGTGTCCTCCCTCAGACATAGTAGAAGGAACACTTTAGTAATCTGTGGGCATTTCTGCATGTAAAATCTGATGGGGGAAGGCTTGTCTTTTTAAACATATATTGATGGTTACTCAGTTGTTTCCTACCTAGTTTTGCAAACAAAATAGTTTTGATAATGTATTGTAAAATACGTGATGTCCCTCAAGTAGTGAGACCTCAGGATATGAGGTAGAAAGTCAGTGTTGGGCTTTAAACAGTTTGGATTTAAAATGCTGGATCTGTGATTTCTTGACTATGTGTAGATTACTTAAACTTTGTATAAATTACTTAAACTAAGACATAGGACTGATAATATTTATGTATGAAACTAACACTCAAATTAATCTTATGTTTCATTGACCTCTTTATACCCAGATAAATGAAAATATTATAATTTAATATACAAAACATATCTTGAAAGGGTTATGGGTTACTTACTTATTCTAATGACATGAATACTAAATATGAAGTATAATTTTTTATCAAAAGTCTGAATGTCATGGATACTTTATTTCCCATTTAACCTGACCTTTGGACGGGTGACTGTGGTATGCTGACTTACAGATGCTTGACTCTTATTCTTTCTTCTTTTCAGAAAACTTTGATAACATGCTTTTGAGAAGTTCAGGAAACTTAAATGTGGGAACCAAGAAAGAGGATGGTGAGAGCACAGCCCCCACCCCTCGGCCGAAGATCTTGCGATGCAAATGCCACCACCACTGTCCAGAAGACTCTGTCAATAATATTTGCAGGTTGGTGATACAGATGATTTAAACGTAGCCCTATCAAAGGGTTATACCTTTTTAATCATAAGTGTTCCCAAAATACATTCCGGAGAATAGCGCCCAGTTCATTACCTCACAAGGCTATGCTACGATTAGAGAAAGACAAGACTGCATTTTACCCTAAAATGGTCCTGGGTTTTCTCTGTCCCTTCAGACAACCTACATTCACAGAGATAGCACAGACCCGAGACTCCTTTCAAGTGCAGAAGCCAATTGCTATTTTCCAAACACCTGCTGTACAGCCAGTTCAGAGGGAACAGAGGTCGCCTATGTGTGATGTTTTGACTGTTCATAATGTTGATGGTGTTGGCAATTTCAAAACAACACCTAAACTGTGGGAAATATTAACAAACTGACTCTGAGATAGTATTTTGACAGAATTTATGTGAATCCACCAGATGTTAAGAAAGTACTACAAAATAAGTCAAAGTACTGCAAAGTGCTACAAAATAAACTACTAAGTTGATAATCATGTTTTATGATGCTTTATAACACTTGAAAGTGAACTGTTTGCATTTTTCACATTTCTTTCTTCCATCATTATGCAGCTGTATCCATCTTGCTTATCACAGCAGCTGCATTTACTCCCTAGACCAAGGACAGCAGTGGGTAGCCTAACGAGGCCAGAGTGTACCAAGAGAGAAATGGAGCCATTAACCAGACACATGCAGACCTCAGGCATTACCTGTCTGAGAAGCAGAGCATGGCTTTTGAGAGTTGTGGCCCCAGCTAGGGCAGTGGACCTCTAGGTTAAAGTACAGATAGAACATCTCAGCCACTATTTGCAGCTTTATCTGCCAGAAGAGTATGCCAATCTGAATTAAGTGTATTCTGACCTTCAGAGAGATTTTTATAAAGTTTCCTATTATGCAGAATCCAACTTGAGTTTCCCAGAATCAAAGTGCTTCAAATTCTGAAACTGTAAGAACAGAAGCATAATGCCTCAAATAGAGAAAAATTCCACCCCTGATTTCTACAGTTAGAGCACGGGCACTTTAATGATGTGTAAAACTTCCTTCATGCAATTTGTATAAGGTTTATGTATAACATAAATGAATTTTATTTTTGGACGTGAGTCCCAGCTCAACATGAGTAAGTTAATCAGTGTATCCCAAGGACCCAGCATATTTAGCACAAGAAATAGATATTAACTGATATAACACAAAAAGACATATTGGATGTGACCAAAGTATGTATTTTTCATTTAGTTAGGAGAATGACTCAGCATTGCAGGGAGTGTGTGTTCTGCCTTTCATACAGATGGGACAGGGAATCCAGAGGTCAGTGATAGACACACCTCTTCTCTGCTATACAGTGGTCAGATCATTGAGCTGTGTGATAAAGCACAGTCATTTGAAGCTCAGATTTTTTTTTCCTGGGAAACACTGTTTCTTTAGAGTAAAAACTGTTAGGAAAATTTTAAAATTTCATGAGGAAATAAATTAGCAGGAGAAAGCTAATTAAGGGAGTGTCTGTAAGTCTGTAGTAGTCAAGGTACATTGGCATGTATCATTTGGGCTGTTGTCGTGGTGACTGTATGTTTAGAATTTCCTGCCACTGTCCTAACTTCAGATTCTTGTTCTGTTTTCCTGATAAACCCCTAAAGCATCTGTCTGTTAGGAGAAGGTATTCAGGCAGGGGTCCCCAATGGAAAGGCTGTGCTGTGGGAAGGAGCTGCATGTGGATCCGAAGGAGACTGGCTTCCTGGAGCACAGAGGGAAGCAGCAGAGGAAGGACCACCTTGTCTAGGGGGCGCTGCCAGGAATGTTAGCCATGTGCCCAGGAGCACAGCGAGGTCAGGAAGGAGGGTTTCAGCAGGAGTGACTGCTGCAAATGACATGAATGGATTTGTTTCTTTGAAAAAAGTCCTTTGCTGCAGAGTATTGCCTGTGTGAGAAGCAGACACAAGTGCAAAGAATAATTAAGTCTGAGAATCTGAAAAGTGGATTCAGTAGGAATAGTTCTTGTGAGAGGAAATGACCTTGAACCAGAAGGCACTGGTATGGGAGAGTTGGGTGTCTCTGAGAACAGTTTAGAATGTGGAGTTTTGCGGGCTGATGGTTCGGCTATGGGAGGGGAGACCCATGAGGAGGCTCCATGATCCTGAGCATAGATTTAGATGCATGACTGGGCCTTGTGGTGATTGGGCAGAAGAAAAGAACAAAGTTCCAATGTGGGCACATTGAGTTGAAAGGTTTTGACATTTTTGAATAGGGATGTCAAAGAGCGTGGTGATAGGACACAGATCTGTGCTCTAGTGGACATTCAGGAGAGAACACTAAGAAACTGGAACATTGTCTTGTTGGCTATGTGACCTTAGAATTGCAGAGACCTGTGAGCTGGCACCTGCACCTGCACTGAGGTTTCCAGGCCAGCCACAGCCAGGATGGGCTTTGCCAGGGCTGGGTGACCTGAATGGCAGCCCTGCCCCTAGTTTCTTCATTCTCCTTGGACCTGCAGTGCCCAGGACTTATTTTTGCTCACATGAGTATGGAAAGCAAAACTCTCACAACCTCTGCATGATCATGTCCTCCAACATTCCCTTCAGCAACGGAAGTTATGTAGTTGAACTCAGAGCCAACAGGAAGTCATCTGTAGAATGAAGCATCAAGACTTAGAGTCAGGAATAGAGAGCATGCACCTGAGTGAAGTGAACCTGAAGGCCTTTAATGCTGGCATGACAGAGGGTATCCCAGGAGACTAAGAGGTCCTGTCAAGTGGAGTATTAAGGGTGGCTGTGTTGGCAGTGAGTAGTGGTCAAGGATCAGAAGTGAAAAATGCCAACCAGATGGCTTGATGTTAGCAAGAGCCGTCTAAAGATACTCACTGTAGTAGTGATGGAAGCCAGACTGAGGTGGACTTCGAATAGCATAGTTGTCACTCTTTGATTTATGGAAGCAAAAATGGGGGGAAAAAACTCAGAGAAAAAGTCAGCAATAGTAACAATGGAACACCTCCAGACAACAGCGTTGCACTATTGTAACCAACACAGATGGACTAAGCTATAGACATAAATAGAAATTAATATTTACTGAAGTGTTTATAAATATTAGCATGTATAATTTCACCTATCATTATCTGCTGCGATATTCCTACAGAGAATAGAGCATTATCCATATTTTACATGTGAGAAATTAGAGGCTCTGAAAGCCTGTGCAGTTTTCTCAGAAATCTGAGGTGTGATAATCTGATGAAAACATTGTGGCCAAGATTCTGAAGTCATGAGTCTTGGCCAGCAGCCATTCAGACCCTGGTTCTCAGAGGAGGGGTGTGAAAGGCCCGATTTCTTTGCTAATGAAGTATTTCCTGCAAGAGAATGCTCTTGTGAGCTGAGATCAGTCCTGTGAGGTCATAGGAGATACTTTTGTACGTTGACTTCTGTGGGTCTGCACACAGATGTGTACCCCCACCAAAGCAGTATTTCTCAAGCTCTGTCTAACCCCTCTGTGAGTTGTATGCAGGTGCTTTTGTAAAACACAGTAAAAATTAATTATTACAACATGAATGGAAAAATTTTCAAATTACATGCTTGCTGTCCTCATTTTCTGTTAGTTAGCACAGGTGAATCACCCATGCTTCCAATGTGCTACTCAGGTCTCAGTTTTTGTTTTAACCCCCTCACAGACCAGTGACAAGCTATCTGCGATCTACAACTGTGTATCTTGAAGTCTTGAGGCAGAAGGAAAAGCAGAGGGCTGATGGGCTCTTTAGAGTTTGTATTAATCCAGGCCTTCTCACCTTGCTGAGCACAGTGGTGTGGGTTCTCAGACAGGTGCTCCTGACCTGTATCTTTGTAGAGTGTGAATCTTTAGGTTTGTTGTCTTCTGTTTCTCTCTTCCCTGTGTGATGAACACCACTGTGAGCCATTCAGCTATTGCCACTGTTGCCCAGACTATCTAAACAGTGAACTTTAATTCTTTTTTCCTCCAGTAGAAGATGCTGATTTCAAATAATTGTTCTTAGGAAAATGGTGGGTCCTTCATTAGAACTTATAATTTGGTTGCAAGAGTCTGTGATTACAAATTAACTGATTTTATAAAAAAATTACACTCCCTTTGTGCCTCTCATTAGTCAAAAATGTGAATGTTAAATGAGCCTGATTTTTTGTTGGATTTTAGTGAGTAGTCTCGGGCTCTTTAAAATCACACATAGAGAACCCTGAAGATTGTTGAACAGAAAAAGCAAATAGATCTGTAGAGCAGTAATGGTGAACTGTTTAGAGGTCTCAGTGATACAGACAGCCTGCTGCAGCACATGTGCCATAGGTTTGCCCCCACTGCTATAGAAAATGAGTTTGTGTTGCAGATGAGAAGGGAAGACCTTTCAGAAGGCTCTGAGAAAAATAGTCATTCTCATTTTTGGTCCTTGTCATTAATGTTGTAGCCTTTCCTTCTCTGAATAAAGTGACACCTCAGAGGAAAAGCCAAAGAGGGCACATAAAATCAGATACATTTTATTCGATTTCCTCCCAACCCTGTGGGAATCCATCCATCTAAGAAAGAAAACAAAAACCAAAAACCTTATGATAGTATTACTTTGGTAATCATCATTCTTTGCTTATTTCCCAGTTGACAGGAAACATTTGGGTAGCTTACACTTCCTACTCCTACCTCTTGCAGTTGAGTAGCTGTTTTTCTTCTGGGACTGGTGGCCTTTGTAGACTAAGAGCTCCTCCAGAGCAAAGGCCACAGCTGTTTCCTTGGTGTTCTCAGCACCTAATCTACATGAGTCCTGGTGTGCTCAGCGGATGCAAGGTGAGCTCCTGGTGACGAGGCTGTGGCACTCAGCTGGCTGAAGTATACATGACTGAAACAGCAACTCTACAAACGTCGTGCATCTTTGAATCTACCTGCGACAGAAAATTCTAAAAACTTTATTTCCTTTGTTGTGAAATAAATATTTTAGAACATTGAATTTCCTTAAGTATTTGTTTACAAATGACTTAAAATAAAAAAAAATTAAAATTCAATCTGAATGAAAAGTATAAAACATTAAGAATTCTAGTATTTATTAGATATTGGAAGAAAAAAGGAATCAGTCAAGAGAACTGTTACTCCTTGCAGGCAGATGACCTTGAGCATGTGTCTGTGTATTCATAATTAATTTTGATTGAGAGCAATTTTGAAGTAATGTTTTAAAATTTTCTGATGTCTAATTAAACAAAGCAGGTGAAAACTTTGATAATTATTTTATAATTAATTTATTTTATATAAAGATTTAAGCTAGTGGAAATGTTCAGAAAAGTTCCTTCTTATCTGTGATAACTGTTTGCTGACAAACCTGGGGTTTGAAGGAAACATGAAACCTTAGAAGGAGAGAGCTGAGGGGACCAAAGCTTGGACATGCCCCAGCGCTGTGCCATGCTGAGTGGAGACGCTGTCAGCACACTCAGGAGCCTTGGGAAGTTGCTTTCTTACCATCTCTAATAATGTAGGAAAGAGTCGCATTCCAGAAGGCTATGGAACCCACTGGGTGAGCGGTGAGTGGAGAGAGAAACCTTGAGTCCCTGGAAGCTCTCCATAGACTTAAAAAGGGTATCTCTTGGACCTTCAAAGGCTCAGAGCAGGAAGACCCTCTCCTGATGCACATGTTCACTTGGACACACTGAAAATCTCCTTGAGATGGTCCCTGTCTGATGATCCGAGTTCCAGAAACTCCTTTGCTTTTGGAATATTGGGCAAATTTAAGAATCTGTGGAGCCACCCAATGGTTATAACAAAAGTTGTATTATTACTTTTTTGACCTCATGTGACCTTTAAGTTCTCAAGTGCTTTGAGTTTTGTAAATTAAAGTCATGTTAAGAGGCATTCAACATTCATGACTGAGTATGTAGGCATTCACTCAACTGTTACTCTATTCTAATCACTTTTCTTTGCTTGTGATGAAGTGAGATAGCATTCTGGAAGTGCTGAGATCAGTTCGTTCTTCCTCTCTGTTCATAATCATTACTCTAGTTCAGTGATTTAGCCTATAATTATTTTACTACTAGTATACTATGATATTATTATCATTTTACTACTTCCGGTTTTGTTTAAAATTTTATTTTTTTATTATTCATTTCTTATCATTTTCAATCCTCTGAGGAGAATGGGGTAATAATCTGTTTATATAAAACTAAGATAAATATGGCACTTAGGCTGCAGAACACTCAAGCCAGCAGTATGAGCTGATTTTCCTTTGTGACATTCAGCAGTGTGATCTTAGTGGTGAGCAGAGGTCGCTGGTTTTGACTCTGGAGCTTAGTTTTGTTTACATTTGTGCTTACTTGAGAGTTGAAAGCTCACAAGTAATTCTTCAGCTTCATAAGAGAGCAGCTTAAACATTACTTTTGCTTTATTGAAGATGATATGCACAGAAAGGGCTTTCTCACCTCCTTCAAGTAAATATTTGATTCTTTCATGAATTATAGTGAATGGAACATTGATTCTTGTCTCCAAGATCCTTCTTTCTCACTTTCACTTTTTTATAATTTTGGCTTCTCCCTCTTTGCAAACAGAAGGGTGAATTTTTAGTTTGAGTATAATTTAACTGATGTTTACATTTCCCTGGACATTATAACATTAACTTACCTACAGCTTTACTATCTTTCCTCATCCCTTTTTTTGATTTATATAAATTATCTAAAGTTCATTTCTATATACTCAGATTTTGAGTAAGGGAAACTCATAAAAAGTAGGAAGTGGTCTTGAGATTTAATGTGCATATTGACTGCACAAGCCCATGTATATTTATATGTCAGAAAATTTCTGATAATTTCTAATCTTGCTTTTGATCATAAATGTATGAGTTATAATTGAAATATGTTTAAATTTTTAAAAATGTTATCACAATAAGGGAAACATTGCCAGTAATTCCCCAAAAGGATACTTCCTTGCTTCCAACACACTGTTCCCCAGCTTTGTAGCCACTTTCGGAAACAGTTCTGGTAGGCCTGTTTCATGAGTGTCTTTTGAGAGGTCAGGGAAAAAAAGTGAACATGGCTGCTTAGTGCTGTGCAAAGAGAAGAGAGGCTCACGAAAACATAATGGTGTGTCCTCACCCACCTTATTCACCAGATTCTGTGCCATGTGACTTGGCTCTTTCTCCAAGTCAGCCATGAAAGGTAAACATTTTGAGTCAACCAAGGACATCAAGACTTGTGAACAGAGAAGACGTTGCAATTAAAGACACACAAGAGAACTTTAACTGCTTCAGAAAGTGGCAAGAGTGATGGGATGAGTGAGTCTGAAGTAAGGGGGAGTATTTAGAGTCGGATTAATGGCAGTGTGTCTTTATTGTAATAAATGTTCAACAATTTTTAAACATCATACTTTCTGATCATGTTACATGTGTAGTTTATATGGAAACATCTTTTAAAATCACACAAATATTGTTTATTCATTGCTATTTAAATTTCTAAGAAACAAATTATCTTTAACACTTATACGCTTTACATTTTCATAACACTTTCAGTAAGTTTATCAGGACAGCCCTAACGAATTCAAAGCATGGACTCTTCAGAGGCAGTCTTTCTTTTGTGGCAGTATTCATGCATTTGACCTTCGGCCAACAAAGTGATTTATCATTGGTCCCTCCTCACTATTCATTAGTACATTTGAACTTTGCTTTACTAGTTCTTATAAACCAAGACATGTTGGATCATTTGAGGCTTAGAAATCAAGTAAACAATTCTAAGGATGTTGATGATAAGTGAAGGGCTAATGCATGGCAGAATAGACAAATCTACAAATCATGGCTAATACCGTTCTCACAGCTTTCTTGCTATGTTTCGTCTGTCTTGAATGCTGAGTGTGCATATGAATGAGAAAAGGATGACTGTATAGTTCAGTGGTTTATTTCTGAGGACATGCAGTAGTGGTTCTTTACATATGTTGGGAGTCCACTGGCATTCATCACACCAAATGTGTAGTTCCAATTCTTGTGGGAATGAAGTAAGAAGAACTTGATTCAAGGCCTGATTCTGTCACTGTTTAGTTTTAATTTTTTGTTATATGTTTGCAGTGCATAATAATTACAGTTAGGGGAATTGGTACATACCTTTGTGCAGTGGTGGTGAACCTATGGCAAGTGTTACTTGTTTTTGTTTTAAGACAAAAAATATTAATGTATGAGTTGCTTTTTCTAAACTCAAACTTAAGTATTCAGGTTTAATTGAAGTGTTGGCACTTTGCTTTAAATAATTGAGTTATATTGGGTTTTGGATTGAAGTTTGAGCTTTTGTCTCTCAAAGGTTCACTGTTCTTGCCTAGTGTAATTATGTTTGACTTTGTATAAAGGAATTTCTCAATTTATTGATCTCTAAACTAGAAATATTACTGTCTTGTTGTTTAGAGGACTAAATGACATAAAAAGTGAGTATAAATCCAGGAAAACATACAAAAAATCAGAATTGTTCGTTTCCATTATTATGTTAGAACACCTTGCTGTTGTGTAGCTGTGGCCCCTCCCAGGTCAAGCCCAGATGGCTACAGCGAAGCTTTTCTCTTCTGAGACAGGCCAGCCCAAGAAGCAGAGGAGGCTGGTGCACTGTGTGCACTGCTCGGTTTACTCTGATGACCCAATTCCTCCCTGGCTTTAGCTGTTGTGTTTAGTAGGGAAGGAGCGTACTTCACCAGCTCAGATGCGTAGAGCCAGGCATCAGCATGCATATGTGTGTTGCCAACCATGTCCTCTGCCTCACTGTACCCTTTTGGGAAATTCTACTCTGTGATCCTCAGTTTCCCCACACAGAAGTTGAGGATAGTACTATTTTCCTTCAAATGGTTTGGTATGGGTTTAGCAGGAGAAATTTCTATTTGGGAAGGCCCAAAGTAAGTTCGGTAAGTGATGTATATGGTTGCTAATGGCGGTTCTTAATGTGTTGTACGGAAATTTTGATTCCATCTTTCTCATAAATTTCTAGGTAGAGAAGGTATTGACACATGTATTGAAGACAGTTAAATCCACTTTCATAAAAGCAAGTTTTCAGGTTATCCGAGCAGTTTGTAACCTGTACTGATGACTTATTTTCTCCTCCTTTGCATTGAAACCAAGACGTGCATCCCTGACACACTCACTCATTCTCTGTCTCCCCTGCCCTTGCCTGTCTGGTCTTCAGCACAGACGGGTACTGCTTCACCATGATAGAAGAAGATGACTCTGGGACACCTGTGGTCACTTCCGGATGTCTGGGACTAGAAGGCTCAGATTTCCAGTGTCGGGTAGGGAAGATGACTTGATTTTACTCTGTAACCTTGAATTGACTAGATTTCCAGCAAGATCTCACTGAGACAAAACAGTTATTTTTCATGGCTAACCCATTTTTAGTAATTTGGGAAATAACTGAAAATTCTCACTGGGCCAATTTTCCTTTCATTTTGAAATTGAATATTCCTTTTATTTTTACTGTTAGCTTCTTACTTAGTGTCTCATTAGACTATTTTCAAAATCCAATTTACCGCATTGCATTAAGCCAAGACTTCTTCCTTACTGTGTGTATTCTAGTTATTGCAGATGTCATAGTAATTTTGAAATGCAGAAGTTGTAGTAAGATAGTACAGGATAATTTGAAACAAATTACCTGAAAGCAGATAACATTTTCAAGCTGTAAAAAAAATTATTAGAATTTCATGTAAGTTTTCTATTGATAATTTTTTAATATTTTAGACTCTATGACACTGAAACAGAATACACTTGCTAATAGTTGTGTGGATTCAATTTTAGGACACTCCCATTCCTCATCAAAGAAGATCCATCGAATGCTGCACAGAAAGGAATGAGTGTAATAAAGACCTGCACCCTACACTGCCTCCACTGAAAAACAGAGGTAAGGCGGGCAAGGCCTCCAGGCTGGAAAGGTTTAGCGTAAGGCCAACACATGTTGGAATCATCATCTTTCCCAGAGTTTCTCCAGCATGACTCTTCCTCCGCTCAGCCTTGTTGAATCTCTTTGTCGTTTTTCCCAAAGGATTCTTCCTGTGTCCCACACCACTGCTGAGGCAGAAGGTGCCATGAAATGACAGAATCTGTCCTTCAGAGGCAGGGGAGCAAGTGTCATCAGGACAGTGGCTGTGTGTCCCTCTGCTGATGCACGTGCTTCCTCTCTTCCCTTCTTCGCTCCAAGAAGTCATACTTCCTAGAGCTTGTGCTTGCTCTGACTCCTGAGTGCTTTCAGAAGTGCTGTCTATTTCTAAAACTACCTTTAGTAGTTAATTAATTTTAAAAGTAAAGACCTTGTAAGAGGCTAAATAGAATATTTGCTGTATGGCACTTCATTATATCTGTGCTAGAGTATCTGTGCTTTTTCATCAAAGCAATATTGCTTTGATAAGATGAAGAGGGTGTCTAAAGGGTTTAATTTTAAAGCTTACCCAGTTAACTGTTTCTCACTTAAAACAGCACTTATTGTACCACAAATGACTTCTGGTTAGAAACAACTCCCATATTTGCTTTCCTTCTTTGTTCTTACCATAGAATGAACGACTGTCATCCTAGACTCCTAAGTCCTAAGTCTTACATAGGTGGATTTAAGTGATTCTTTATGATTCATTTTACTTCTTGATTTTTTTATTTTAAAGTGATTAAAAGAAAACAAAACAATGATACAGGGTTTCAAAACAAGATTATCAGAAATTAATGAAGTATATTGTATATTGTTATCTTCAAAATAGTTGCTCAGCTTATAAGATACAGGCATGTAAAACAGATCAAACAAAATAAGCACTCACAGTTTCTTTCCATAAACTAATAGAAATAATAATACAATTATCTTAGCTATCTTATGTGCATATATATACATATGTGTGTGTATATATATATATATATATATATATATATATATTTCCCCTTCTTTCTTTTCTCTTTCATTTTATTTCTTGAGAAGAGGAAATCTCCCCAACAAAATACAGTGGAATTTCTTGGCTTTGATAATGTTCTATAAAGTTTTTCGTGCTATAGCCTGGAAGCTATGTAATAATGATTCATAAGGATTCACATTAAAAAAAAAACAAATCTCACAGTTCTTTTGGTTTTTTCAAACAACATGTTAAGTGTTACAAATACAGAAACGGGTGAATAAAATTCTTCTAAGAAGTATGCACTAGAATATGAGAAACATTTAAGTTATTAACTTACACAGTGATATCTTACTTATGAATTCAATTTATTTCAAATTTGTGTTCAAATCCTGAAAAATTTGAGAACTCAATATATTTTTCCTATACAAAATAATGGAAAACCAAACAATCAGTTCTGAGGCCTCCAAATTACACTTATAAATTCATTTTTCCAGAGGTTCAACAAATTTCACAATTTCTTTCTTTCTTTTACTCTGCTATGGAGCTGGGGATTTACTCAGTGACTCAAGCTCTTGCCTGGTAAGTGTGAAGTCATGAGTTCAAACTCCAGTACCAAAAAAACCCCTAAACAACAAAAAACCAAAGGAATCATTGTCATCCCATTTTATGCGAATAAAATACAAACAAAGCACAATGGCAAAGGTTTGAATTGTTAATGTAGACTGAAGGGCCCCTCTTGGTGTCTTGGGGAAGGGACTCATGACTCAGCCTGTACAGGTGTTTTCAAGTTGAAGCTTCAGTTCAGCTTTTGAGCAAAGGTACCAGCACCAAACAAGTGGTTTTATTTTTGAGCTTTGAATGGCGGAAAGTCTGAGCTTGGACTATCACTGTCCAAGCAAGGTATCACCAGATGTGATTGGGGACATCTCTGTATTCCAGTGAGGCTTTAAAGTGCCTTAGAATACAGCTCGGTGGCATGGTGCTGCCTTGTGCTGCCTGGCAAGCACAAGGTCCTCAGTGTGATTCCCAGTACAAAAACAACAAAACAAAGCAAAACACCTGAATGTCTAAAGTGTCTTAGAGGTGCAAGACAGTGAACTAGCGGCACATACTATCTGGAGCGGGGGGTTCACAGTGGCCTCACAGCCACGGCAATACTTGAACACCTCTGTAAAGATAAGAATTTCCTTATTGGGTGAAGCAGAACAGGCAGCATAAATGAAAACTGAGAAATTAAAACAACCAGTGTCAGTCAAGCATCACAGTAAGGAAGCCCAGGAACCGATAGCTGCACAAGCGAAGGAGGAGGTGTCTGCATGATGGGAAGGGGTGTTCTGAAGTCTCTTCCCTCAAACCTTGCTTCTTATAATCACTTTTTAAAATGAACATTCAGAAAGCAATAAATAACACTCTTGCTTCATTAAGTGGGATACTCTGCTTTGGCTCTTATATAAATTCTATAATTTTAAAAAATAAGTTTTAATGTTTATAGAAATTACTAAAGTACTTTGTGTTTTGACATAAGAGAAAATGTATGAGGTAACCCTTTGTTTACAAATAGGGTAATTCCTGTGTGATGTAAGGAAAACTGTAAGACAGGACTTACATAGTTAAAAATTATTTTATTCTTATTCAATTAAGAGAACTATAGTTTGAGCAGCATACAGATTTGACTAAATGATAGTGTCCAGTGCACATGAGTGAGTGCTAGAATTCGCCTTCTGTTATACAGGTCATGCCTTAGCAATATAGATCAAATCAGAAATCCGAGCTAAAGTTCTTGCAGGAAAGTAGCACTAGTACATCTTGAAATGGCCCATTTTGGAATTTCAGGGTAATTTCTTTTGGTAGGACAGAAGAGAAGAATTTAAAGGTAATTTGTTTTTTTTGAATAAAATAACCTATAAGTAAAAATTTTGTCTTAATGTACTTTGTGATCAGGAATATAACCCCCTAAACAAATTGTGCAGGAGGTGAGGAGACATTTTTTTTCATATATTCTCTGTAGAGAAGGCAATTTCACTGTAACAGAAGTAAATGTGTGCACTCTAGGAGTATGCTTTAGGTACTGTTTGCTCTTCTCAGAGAAAGATGCTTCCTGTTGCCCTGTGCTCCTATCACCTAGATCCATATCAAAATGTCTTTGGGCACGTGGTTATTTCTGGAATTCTTTCTTTTATTTCACATTGCAGTTACGGGCTATCTTTTAGCTTTATAAAATGAATCCTTTCCTTTTGCACACTAACCCCTCTCCTTACCAGAGAGGAGGCAATGCAGCAGAACAGTTTGTTCCCGAACTTCCTGTGAGCCTTACCTGACTGTTGTAGTGGACCTGATTTCCTGGGAGTTTTTGGTCTTGCATTCCCTGAGCAATGGAGGACAGCGCAGGGGCAAATCTGCTACCCAGAGAGCCAGAGACCTGTGCACTCCTTCTGATCTGTATCTGCAAGGGTTTACTTTCTAGCCTCTGGCAGTGACTAAAATGTTTACCTTGTTAGTGCTCAGAGCACAGGTAATGGCAGATTAAACAGGACCAATGGGACCAACAGAAACAAAGTGTTCTTGACAAGAGTCAGCTATTCCTGAAGGAAGCCAAGGAGGCAGAAGATGAGGTTGCAGGGATAGGATTACTGGGGCAAGAAAAATAGGTATTTCTCCCCTTAAATAAAATGCTTGCTGGTGAGGGAAGAATGCCAGAGATCCTCTGAGTTCTCCCTTCTCTTATAAATCAGAAATAACGATAAAGGCCAAACTGGTCTGCAATCTGCATTTCCATGAAAAGTAAACAGCACTCAGATGGACAGTTTTAGTAAAATTGAATCACTGGAATGAAAAAGTATTCTGTGTTCATATACTGAATATTACTGATTATGTGATCAGCTGTAGTTTCAGTAACACTGTTTTGGCTTTCTGCAAAATCAAACTTTTGTTATCTTGAACATTGGTAAGATACCAGTGGCAGTCTTTGTATGTATATGTAAAAAAAGGGGAAAACTTACTAAGATAATTTATTGTATAAAATTTCAGCCTACTTAATTAAAAAAACTGCATATTAGTTCTAAGTTTTCCTAAGCAATGCATTTTATACAAGGAATGTGCTAATTATATACTGCTTCTGACTGTGTGAAGCTGGAATGGCTCTTCGGACAGTATCTAGTGGCTAAAGTTGTGAACTTTTTTGTGGTCAATAGGCAGTGTTTTTAGTTTATTTGTATGAAACAGCTTGTTTTTAATTTCCATCTCACTTTTGAAGATGAAGGCTGCTATCATTAATATTTTGGGAATAGTATGGGTCATAGATGTATGGCTCAACACATGTATTCTGGACTGATGAGTAAGTCCTATCACTGACTGTGGATAGGCAGGGGTGGAGAGAGGATGGAGGACATGGGTGTCCATGCATCTGCTCAACACGAGGAATGCAAGTGCTGTGTGCTGCCAGCGTGGACCAAGAAAATGACAGGGAAGAAACCTTAAAAACAAGTTTGGACAAGAAATAAGCACAGTAATCTGTGGATTATTGTTTTAAATAGCTAACCCAAGCCTTTTCAGCAATCTTTCAAGGTACAATAAAATTTATTTTGAAATTATATGTTCGGGTTATTTTCCTGATTTTTGGTAATTGTGTTACTGTTTGTAAGACAAGGTCCTCATTCCTAGAAAGTGTATTCCAATCTGTTTGTAAATGACAGGAACATTATTCTGTTTATTTGTTTGGTTTTTTTGTCTTTTTCGTTTTTATCGGTACCAGGGATCGAACTCACGACTGCCTGCTTACAAGGCAGGCGCTTATGCCGCTGAGCTAAATCCCCAGCCCCAGGAACATTATTCTGTAACTGCAAGTGATCTAAGATAATACAGACATACACATACACAAGCAAGTAAAATTAAATGTGAATATATATTGTGTACGTTCATGTGTACTTCTATGGGGCACTGATACAGTAGGAGAAAGCAAATATAGAATGTTAACAATGACAGCGGCACAGGTGCCTGGCTGGCAAGCATGATGCTGTGAGTTCGATCGCCAGTCCCAATAAATAAATAAATAATTTTTAAAATGATGTTACTAATGAGAAATCTGGATGAAAGCCATATGTGAGTTCTTTATTTTATAGTTTTTTGTCAGGCTGAAATTATTTCCAATTATTAAAACATTACTAGTGATAATGAAGTAGAAATTATGTGAGTCATTTAAAAGGATATTTGACAATATGAGTGAAAAGATGTGGTGTACATTGAGCTAATAATTCTACTTCTAGATCTCTTGGATACAGACACATGCAAAGATGGGTATATAAATTGTTCACTGCACACTTTTTGTGTGTGTGAAAATCAAAAAAAGATGATTTATTTGAAGGTGGGGGAAGGGGAAAGAGAGATAGTAGACAGCTACTCTGGATGAGTAGGGAATATTTGAAAGTGAAATACCCTTGACTTGTTTGTATTATAATGAAGAAGCATTATAAGTGTGAAATCTTCTAAATATACAATAGAAAATTGGCTTTCTAATGAGGATGTCTTTATGCTATGTAATGTTTAAAAATCATTCATTACTTTTGGAAAATGTCCAAAATATTATAAATGAAAATAATCTTAGAAAACAATATTAATATAACAAAAATATTTTGCTTATGAGCTTTTTTTTTTCTTTGTTCATCAAATGGTATTGAGCTAGCATTGCTCAGCTGTTGGCTTGTGTAGTAAGGAGGTGGTGATTTTGTTATTTTAGTTACTTGATGACTTTCAGGTTTTTCTATAGAACGTGTTATAAATCACTTCAGATACAAAATATTTAGGTGTCCATATATTTACAAATATACAAGATTGTTAAAAAGCCTCTTTGTGTAGAACCAAAGTCTTAAATTATAATACTAATTTTCAAAATTAAATAATAGTAATCAGTCTTCCAAGGATATATGTGGCCCTTAAGAAATAGTGCTAATTCTGTTATTGTAAAATGCACCAGACTTTGTCATTTTTCCACCAAATATGTCCCAGAGACCACCTGCTAAAATTCATAAACGAGAATTGCTAGAAAATAAAATTCTTCACGTAAAAATTTCTGAGGTTGAAAATCAGTAAATATGCATTTGCATTAAAGGTCTCTCAGTCATTCCTGTTGATAAAAAAGTTGAGAAAGAATGCTTTAAGTACATTTGCTTTGTCAAGAACTCTGGTTAAGACCAAATTAATATTTAATAATTAGGCTTGTTTTTTTAAAGCATCATACATTCTTTGTCGGGAACCTTTTAAAAAGTGGTTTCCTTTGTGAAAAGACTCAGCTGACTGCCTTGGAAGTCGATTTTGTGTAAAGTGGTGTACCCCTGTGTGTTTGGCAACATTTAAGGCATCTCTGCCTTGGTATCCACTGTGAGGATGCCTTTGCCTTTTTGCACAATGAATATAGATGTGGTTTCTACATCCAGATTCACAGTACAGAGTGCTCCGAGAGCTGTATGACAAGAACCCATGAACCCACCAATTCAAACCATGAGCTGTTTGCTTATATTTTAGATCTATTTTCCTTTGTCGTATTCTTTGCATGGGTTTATCATGTGTTAAACCTCTTCCAGAGGGGAGCTGTCCCACTGAAATGGGTGCCTAGGTGAACAATAATTTATTCTAGTGTAATGTTTAGTTCTCAATATACATGTGGTTTTTCTTATAGAGTACGGAAATTTCTTCATGTCTTGCATATAATGCTTAGTATGGACTTTGGGAAAAGAGCTGATTCCTCATTTTTAAGTAGAAATATTGTCTATATCATAGCTGTTATTCTTTCTTTCGAAATTTCAGACTTTGTTGATGGACCTATACATCACAAGGCCTTACTTATTTCTGTGACTGTCTGTAGTTTGCTGTTGGTCCTTATCATTTTATTCTGCTACTTTAGGTAAGTTTTCAACATGTAGATATAGAATTTTGCATTTACCTTATCATCCTCATCCTAATATTCTACTTTTGTTTCTTAAAGTTTTTAGTCACAACTGTCTTTGACCTAATGAGATCTGAAACTGTTATTGTTGAATATGTGTCTTAGCAGCATTATATGTATATGTAAAAAGATACCTATCTAATTTCTGCTTTAGATATCAAAAGGACTCATAAATATTTAGTCCCTAAGGAAACTATAGAGAAGTTGAATTCAGGGACTTTTTGCTACTAACACTTGATTGTAAGCAAATAAAAGACCATATTGAACTTAGAGTAATTCAAGTAAGTCTGTATTTCCCGAGGTAAAAAATTCATCTTAATATTGAGATTTTTAAACATAATTTGTAGATTAAGCATTAAAATCAAGTTTAGTTAGGTGTGATTAAATTATTTTCAGTCACTTAACTGTTTTCTAGTTCATAAAGTGTTAAAGACCTTTACATACTATTTGCCTTTTGAGCAATTTAATATTCATTTGTAGTATTCTGCAAATGGATCAGTCAATTCAAATGAATTTATAGTTGAGGACAATTATTAACAATGTTTTTAAAGTTTAATTTTATTTCATTTGTTTATTGTTTTATACATTATCTTATATGATAAGAGTTAACTATAATGTTTTCTATAAACCAAGAACTTTTGTCTTTAATTAATTAGAGGCTTTATAGGAAAAGATTTTAGGAATAAATATTGTAAGTGGGAAAACAGAATATAGTCTACTTGGATATGTACAATTAAACAGAAAAAAACTTTAAATGTTGGAATACTAAAAAACATGAAGTTAATTAAAAATGTCAGCAAGGTAATTGCACTTTGTATTTTTGAAACTATAAGTAAGGACAGTATTTGGTATTTGGTATTATATATGTGTTAAATGGTATTATGAGTCAAAATCAATATATTACAAAGTTTTACCCCTGTGTTGTATTTTGGTTTCTAAAATTATCCCCTTTGTGTTTAGGTATAAAAGACAAGAAACCAGGCCACGTTATAGCATTGGACTGGAACAGGATGAAACTTACATTCCTCCAGGAGAATCCCTGCGAGACCTGATTGAGCAGTCTCAAAGCTCGGGAAGTGGATCAGGCCTCCCTCTGCTGGTATGAGAAGGAATGGAGAGGAATGTCTTCAGAGAGGAAATGTCAGTACATGCAGGGTTTCATTTTACTGAAACAGATAGGGCTGCAGACAAGGAGAAAGCTTCATACAGCCAGTTAGACATCGGATCTCAGATGCAGGGTTTGCTGATAACATTTTGACATGCTGGGGTAAGGTGATTGTTTTTTAATGAAAGTGTATCATTACAACCCAGATGCTCAGACGTCCTGATAAAGAGCTGATTAGAGAACAGTAAACATGGGACCATCTTCCCTCTGTCCCCAGCTAGGATAGCATTACTGCACTTTGGCCTGGCTTTTGGAGACAAAAAGGTTACGGTCACCTGGGAGCTGAGTGCTTCTCCAAAAGGAGGAAGCTGCCTGTCACCTGTGGGGTTTGTGTTTCAGGATGAGGTCTTAGCTTTTCCAGTCAGGAGAGGTTTAATTTTCTGATGGTCAAGCTTCCAGTCTTGATGAGAAATATGTCAAATATGAGGCACTTGTCATGAGAAACATGAACTAACTCTTTTATGGACCACAAAGAACAGCTATTGCAATTCATAATGGAAATAGTTTTAATGAGGAATATTTTTCTTTCTTTCTTTCTTTCTTTCTTTTTTTTTTTTTTTTTGTACCAGGGATTGAACTCACGACCTTGCGCTTGCCAAGCAGGTGCTTATGCTACTACGCTAAATCCCTGGCATAGGAATATTTTTCTTAATAATTCTTTTATGATTGATTTTCCTGGTCTTCTTAGTCTGGTTTTGACTTTGGGTATCTTGTTTACTTGACTCATTGGATGATGTTTTATTTATTACTCTAAGAAATGTTTTAGAGATGTGGCCAAAATCAAATTATGTAGGTGTTTGAGGCATTGTAATAAAGATTATGGCCCTTAAGATTTAAAAAAAAAATTAGTATAAATTCTAGTGACCAAATACCTTGATTTTAGAATTTTTAATGTTGCAAATATAATTATATTTTAAATGTATATTTTACTTATAAAGAAAAGCGTAAATCGTCCATTCCTATTTGATAATGATGGATTCAATGTGTCTGCTTTTGAAATTGTAGCCGATTTGCCCCCTCATTCTTTTCCCCATCTAGCTCTCCCTTCTTGTTATTCTGGAGGTGCCTTTCTGAAGTCTTTGATCCTGCTGTCTTCCGTTGCTGGCTGTAACACTCTGATGCCTAGCGCTGTCTCTAGATCCCCTTTCGCAGCCTGACCCACATGGCACCTTTAGCCCCGCCTGCCCGCCCACTCTGGCCTCTGCCTGTCTCAGCCAGAACCGAAGCTCTAGCATCACCTCTGAGCAGTCATTTCTCAAACAGGATCTGCATGCCCATCTCTGTAAATGTCGGCTCTCTGTGGCACCTTCCTACAACTTTGGGCTCCACACCTGCTTCCCATTTTACCTATGATGGCTTCTCAGTTACCTTGGAGCAAGCCAGTTTGTATTCTGTTATAGCAGTTTCTTTTTATTAGTCATGTGATAGTTTAAAAAATACTTTAAGTGGCATTAATGTCTCTGGGTCTGTGGTTGAACTGTGTTACCTTTGGGGGTGAGGCGAGTACATATTTATTATTCACTTGGGATCCCCAGGAGAATATTTGATTCATTAAACAGACCACTCAGTCATTTGTTTAAAAAAACCAAAAGAAAAAAAAAAAACACCACTTTCAGCTCTTTCTTTTATCTACAAAAATACTGTTTCTATAATTTAGACACCAAACAATATTATTTGGAATATAGCCCGTAAATCTTAAGAATGCAATGCTTCTCCGTATTTCCTGTTCATCTTTTAGATCTCTGGTAAATGGGACTAAGTGATGAGGGTTGGGGAGAGGAGAAGAATAAGGGTGTGTTCCCTATGTGCAGCAACTCCCATGGGCGGTGTGTTCATTATGTGCTGCAAAAATTGAAAACTGCTATCATTTCTCACTCCAGACAGTGGCCTTATATGTTCCCTCTTACAACTCATAGTATCCCTATGGGGAAGTACAGCCATGTGTCATGTAATGACGGGACAGCTTCTGAGAAATGCATCACAAGACAATTTTGGGGGGCTGGGGATTTAGCTCAGCGGCATAAATGCCTGCCTTGCAAGTAGGCAGTCATGAGTTCGATCCCTGGTACTGATAAAAAAAAAAAAAGGAAAAAGACAAAAAACCCCCAAATACTTAAGATAATTTTTTTTTAAACCGGTACCAGGGATCGAACTCACGACCACACGCTTGCAAAATCACAAGCCCCAAGACAATTTTTTTGTCACGAGAACATCATAGAGTGTTTCTACACAAGTTAAGACAACTGTGACACCATGTAGTGGTATAATCTCTTGGGGTCATTACTACATAGTCTTCAACGTAAATGTCAGTGGGGAGCACACAACAGTTTTAGAAACACACCTTGTGTTATGCGACAGGTGAGGTATGTCCACCAGCTGAGTTACAGAAGCTGTATCTGTGCCCAGGTGATAAGCCTCCTGAATCTTTGCTCTTAACATTTGTAAAATGTGAAGCAGATGTTAACGAAAACAATGAAATGGATTTGATTAGGCATTGGGGAGGGTTCTATAGAGCCTGGTTCACTAAAGAAAAATTTCAGTATTACAGCTTTTAATGTTTGGTTCTAAGATTTGGTTTGTAAGGTAAATGATATAGAGGTGTACAGTAAACCCTCCATGTATTGTATTATATGAGTGACTACCTTACCATAACAATGATTTGTTCTTTACCTCAGCGTAACATTTTACATGCAAACACATATTTGAAACTAGTATGTATCAAATGATTTTATGTGTGAGCTTAGTTTTGGATTTTCACTTTTTTCCTTGAGATATCCATTTCTTCATCAAAAAAGAGTAAAAGAATTGTGCTTAAGAATTAAGATATAGAACCTGGGATTTGGCTTAGTAGTATAAGTGCCTGCCTGGCAAACAAAAGTTGTGAGTTAAGGCCCTGGTATCAAAAAAAAAATAGTAATAGTTAAGAGATAGTGTATGTTTCTGTTATCTGAGTCAGATATATGTGTATTTATATATGAATATATGACAGATCATTTAATTATATAATAAATAGTATGTATTACTGTAATATCTCCCCAATTTGACCTTGTAAAGAAACAGAAGTTAAATTACTAAATATTAACCTTCTTAAGTGAGAACTCATGCAAAATTTTTTTGAATATATAGCAAAGGTTTTCCAACCATGTATTTGTACATATGTGTGTGTATGTGAATGTGTGTGTGTTGCTAATTCAGAGAGTGCACTATTATGACCACATGTTATGTGGTCCATATACCAGGATGTATATACCATATGGTACATACCATATACCATCCATATACCAGTATGTACATGGACTGAGGCATCTGATAGTGTCTGATGTTTAGCACTGAATAAGGAAATAACCCTGAAACAGCAGTAAAACCTGAGTCTTCAAGCATTCACATGGACCCAGTACTCATGGAGTAATTCTTTTTTTGGAGCTACAGTTACAGTGATTGTATGGCATAGGTACAGGTGCACTACCATTCCATCATTGTGACAAAAGCTAAGATAATTGACTTTGAAGAGGAAACATACTTTGGCTCACAGCTTTAACAGGTTTTAGTCTGCAATTGGTTAGCCTGTTGTTTTGGGATGTGGTAGCAGCATATCTTCCTGAGAGCTGTGGAGACATGGAAGTGCTCACCTTCTGAGCAGAAAGCAAAAGAGACAGGAGTTCCACAGTCAACTGGATCGTATGGTCCTCCTGACACAAGAGTCCCCAGATTCCACCTTTTAACAGCTTTATCCCTCCCTAGTGTACAGAACTGCAGACACCCCTCAAGAGCAAACCTTAGAGAAACACTTTTTAAGACCCAGCTTATTGCAGGACATTTTATTTATACAATCATTTCAAAAAATGATAGTCAGAATGTAATGGAGAATAAAAATTTAGGTACAGAAAGACTAGAAACATCTGCTAAGTCAAATAAGCACTCAAATCAGTTTCTCAACTTTTCAGGTTATATTTTCAGATTCTTTGATGCTATCTCAAATAAGAGTGTGCTTTAAATTTCTGAATATAAGTTAGCAATACTTCTTAATCTTAGGGATAAGGTGTTTCTGTTCTATCAAGCATTGCCAATTCTGTCAGTACTTTAATTGAAGCACAGACATTATCATTAGAAAAGAAGCAGATGCAAAACTGTCCATGTTAGGAAATGTGCCCTAGATTGACAAGAGCAATGCTTTGTAACATCTGTATATTGAACAGTAAGTGTGGAAAATTTCCTTTCAAATGAGTAGTTTTGCTGCTGTGTTCATGGCTCCCAACTTCTTACTGAGCCTAACGCTTCTGCCACCTTATGTAGGGACAAGAGTGTAGGGAAAGTTAGTTCACAGCACAGTGGAAGGGAGGGAAAGGACAAAGGGGGCTCTCTGCGTGCACTTGCTTGTTCCTTCCATTGAGCTTGTTTCATAGCATGTTCTTCATTTCATTTTGTTTTGTTTTCATGGCACTGGGGATTAAACCCAGGGACATGACCAATGAGCTATGTCCTTAAGTCCCTTTCAAAATTTGGGCGGGGGGGGTGTCTGTCCTTTACCAAAACACTTTCTGTCTGATATTAGGGGTAGTAATGGTTCTAACAGCAAGTAGCACTACCTTTTAAGTTGAGAAAAAAACATCCATTTTGAAAAAAAAAATAGAGCTGATCTTTAGACACCTGTGGTTAAACAAGACTAATGTCCCCCTCCATATCCTTCTCTGTAAAATTTGTTATGTACAGGCAAAGAATTGTTATGTCTGCTGATCAGTTGACTGTGAGATGAGTTTTTCTGGTTGGTTTTGGTTGTGTGGTTTCTAAAAGTGCAAAGACAAAAAGAAAAACCAAGTGTTTACTTAATGTAAAGCATGTATCTTAAACAGAGTACTTTCCAGTTCTCTGATCAGATTGTGTGAGTTTTAACCTAAATTCTTTGTTTGTCTTTTAAATTCTGTGAACAGCCACAGATGTTTAGCAGTCTTTTCATTCATAGAATGACTGATATAAGTGTTCTTAAAATATTTGATTTTAAGCGCAGATGAAAGGAAGATCATGTATGCATAGACAGTCAAATTTGATGTCACTTAACTCATATTTTCTCTTTGTCTAGTTACTGTTCTCTTCATAGCTCTTTGGAGCTGCTTACAGCTTAAGTAACCTTCACTCCAACTTGTTAATGTACATTTTTTCTTTAATCTGCCATTTTGAATTTTTGACTGACAGCTCTTCCATTTGAAAAGCGTAGGAGTTTTTTTGTTTTGTTTTGTTTTTTTATTTTAAAGAGAAAAACCACGCAAAACAACATAGAACAAAGCCAGTCACAATAACCCAGCATACGTAACACAGGACCCCAAAACAACACAAAATCAACAGTGGTCACTGCAGTTCCTCTTGCTTCCCCAAAACAGCTTCAGATACCTTCATACATAGTATAAATCAAATAAAATAGAACAGAGTAGAACCAATAAAAATAAGAGAATGAATACAACAAAAGACCCCAGAACAAGACAACAGTAAAGGCAAAATGGCCACCATAACATACCTTTCTACCATTGAAATAGCTGCCCATGACATTGGATATAACAAAACCAAGCCAAAGAAAACAATAAAACCCAACCCAACAAAACAATGAAAATGATACAGGACTTCAAAACAAGATAATAGGGAGTCAACAGTGGCCACCCACCCTCAAAAGGAGATCCACCATAGATGCCACATTGCACACCATGATCCTCTGAATAGATGATCAAACCCCTGGCCCCAAACCTCTAAGTCAGTGGAACGCCAAACACCACAAGCATCAAACTGTACTTCAGTAGCAATGGTCACAGCCTGTGCTTCTCCAGATCAGCTGGTCACCTGTGGGGTTGGGGCTGGGGTTGGTTCCTCTTTCCTCCCAGCCCTTGCACCAGAAAAGGCCCAGTATCGCTGTCACTCGCATGGCAGAGGACTGGTTTGTAGGGCGGCTTGCTTCCTGTTGACTCCTTGTTTTCTTCCTCTGCAGTCCCTGAATGGGGCTGACCCATGGGAAAAGACTAGGGTGTGGCTGTTCCCCAGGCAGCAGCAGTCTGCACATGGTGCTGATTCATAGGGAGGGCTTGCTTCTTGTTGGTTTCTTGTTCTCTTCCCCCACAGTCCAAAAAGTGTAATTTTTAGTAATGTCTTCCTGCTTGTTCATTTTTCATTTCATCTTCTACTTCTTAAATATTTCATGTAGTTATTTGACATTTCCTGTCTATTGTAATACGCAATCTGAAGGTGTTAAATCTCATGCTGTGACTTTCCTGACTTTCTTTTGTAGTAACTGTTTCTGTTGTTTGAAGATGTTTATTCCATAAGCTCTTCTCTCATATTCTTCCTCCTTTTTCTCCATCTATTTATTTTTCCCTCCCTCCCCTCTCTTGTTTTCTTCTTTGTGAGCCCACCAGTGTATAACAGTTTTTCATATTGCAGCCATATATCAAGTGTTCTTGAGGCAAGACCTCCTTTAAAGTACTATTCATCCTATCATAGTTTTGGAAGGAAAAGTATTTTACTTTTCTTATCACTGGGTCAAAATATCCAACACTCAAAGTTAAAGGAACAAAGGATAATTTAACTCACAATTTGTAGAGGTTTCAGTCCATTATCAGCTGCTCCAAGGCTTGGTAGCTTGGCAGAGGGGCATTGCAGAGGAGAAATAATTCATGCTAGACAGGAGGTAGCAAAGTAACAAGAGATAGCCACAGGTCTTTCTATCCCTTATGTCTTACACAGGCTACTTAGGTAGATAAGACTCATACCCTTTACCCTAGCATTGTACAATGAATAAGTTTTAGCATCAGACACTCTAGATCCAACCATCTCTTATAAAAAAGCCATCTATGGCTGCATGAGGCTTTGGGGGGCATCTAAACACAAGTCATAACAGTGTACTGCTAGTCCCCCAAAGATTCAGGCATATTCCTTTATGGAAAAAGCATTTAGTTCATCTCCAACAGTTCCCAACATCCTGACAGTTTGAACATTGCTGAAAAGTTCAAGTCCAACGTCTCCTCTGAGATTCAAGGCAAGCTTTTAGCTGCAAGCTCCTGTTCAAATGAAAAGAAAGTTAGACACTTCCAACATTTAATGGAACAAGATAGACATTTCCATTTTAAAAGTTACAGACAGGGGAATACAAAGGAATGGGACCAAAGCAAGTCCAAAATCCAGCAGGGCAAAATTTAAGTCCTGTAGGTACATATGCAGCACCCTTGGGCAATCCGTGAGAAGATGTGAACTCTACAGGGCTGGGATGGCTCCACCTCTACATCACCTCTGGTATTTGTAAACTCATGACTTCTTTGGCTGGTTTTGCTCACTAATTGCAGGTTTCATTGGACAGTCCACATTCCTGGCTTTTCCAAACTTCTGAGGTTTCCACAGTACCTTCAGCTTCACACTCACAGCTTCATACACTGCCCTCTCAGGAGCACAATGCCTGGCCTTCAAGGCCTTCTTCTTCCCGACCCCACAACTCTTGTATTCTGCATGCACCTTAAACCAGTGCCACATGGTATTGCCAAAGTCTGTGGCTGTTTGGAGCAGTAGCTAGGCTTGCTACTCTCTTGCCTGTAAGAGTCCAGTGTTTATGAACCCAAACCCAAGGAACAAATTCTCTAGGCTGCCACCACTCTGGAATGTAGTGCTCTGGTGCTCTTTTCTTAAAGGAAAGCCTTTCACTTTTGCAAGTTTCAGGTTGCAAAGGGTGAAGTCCTGATGCTGCTTGTGATGGCCTAAGCCATCTTTCTATTCTTCTGTTCCTTCTCAGCAGTTAAGATGTCCTCTTCTCTGTCTTTTCAGCCCACACCTTTACTGTGGCTTTCTATCTGGGAAAACTTACAACATTGTAAATTATTCTGCTGGGCTTTTAGCTCTTGAGTCTCGATACAGGTTTGACAGAATCTCCCATACAGAACAGCCTACAGTGTTTTAGCTCTACTCTTTCAGACAACATCTCCAAACCTTTCTTAACTCTACTCGTACAAGTCAGCTCCAAAGGCTGCTAAACCACATGGTCAGGTACAGTCATAGCAGCCACTCCACTTCTCTTGTACCAAATTCTGTATTAGTAACTTTTCTCATTTCTGGGACAAAACAATTGGCACCTAAAGTTAAAGGGAGAAAGGACTATTTATCTAACAGTTTGTAGAGGTTTCAGCCCATAGTCTGTTGGTTCCATGGCAGGGTGGCATGCCATAGGCCTCACAGAGGAGAAACAGTTCATGGAGGCAAAAGCTACCAAAACAACAAGGGATGGCTCTACTCTTTCTGTATCTATCCCTTATATCTTATCCAGGCTACTTATGGCAAGTAGCATATACAGCCTTAATCCTAGTGCCCAGGATCCTAGCGTTGTACTCTTAAGTCAATCTTAGCATCACATACTCTAGCTCAAGTTAGAAGCATGACCACAAAAGGCTTTGGGAAGACATCTAAACACAAACTATAATAAAAAGAATGCTGTGAGAGATTTCCTCATATTTGTAGTTTGCTTTCACAAGAGGGATGGCATGCTACCAATCTAGCACAACTTTAGTACTATTTGATAGTACCAACTTAAAGCCAAAACATTAGGTTAAGTTCTTCTAGTTTTAAAGGGGTCAAATTTTAGACTCTGCATATCATGCAACTATTATTCTTTGCCCAGTTACAACCTGTATTTTATAAACACTTAATAAATCATTTCCTGCTGTGGTCTCAAATCTTTTTCTTTCTCCTTCTCAAATTTTTCTTCTTCCTTTATGTTTTTCTATTTCCCTCTGTTTTCCCTGCTTGGTGATTTTGTGTATCTCCTTGTGTGCCAAATAGTACATTATAATTTTGCTTTTTTTATTGTGTCTGTGATCAATTATATGATGGCAAAATTCTTTCAGCATATCTAATAACCTGTTATAGTAGTGAGTGAGGATATCCTGTTCTGCCAAGTACTGGATATCCATTCAAGTTTTTCCTTTATTCAAATTATAATAGATAAAATGAAACATTTGCTAATTTGAAAATAGTGTTTTGAGCATTCAGAATCCCCAGGCTCAAATACATTTATTTGTAAGAGAATAGCATAAGTTAATAAATATAAATAACCTGTCTATATAAGAAACTTACTGACTAAATTATTTTATATGCATTAATTATTTCTTCTCTAGAGGAAGAAAAGATGAAAGAGATCTGCAGCCCTGCGCATACTGACAGAGTGTTTTGGGATTTAACAGGTCCAAAGGACAATAGCAAAGCAGATTCAGATGGTGAAACAGATTGGAAAAGGTCGTTATGGAGAAGTCTGGATGGGAAAGTGGCGTGGTGAAAAGGTAGCTGTGAAAGTGTTCTTCACCACAGAGGAAGCCAGCTGGTTCCGAGAGACAGAAATATATCAGACAGTGCTCATGCGGCATGAAAACATTTTGGGTGAGTAAAAGTCTGTATGACAGTGTTTGGGGTTTTCCAGCTTTCTTCTGTTTTTCTGTTAACATCTGCATATTAATTTATCTGTCTAGACCCATTATGAAACATAGGCATTCTCTTCTTAGTATTGGTCCAAGAGCCTCACACAAGAAAAGTGGGGGACGGTACAGGAGGGATGAATGAGGTACTTTTGGGAGTGCGTGGTGGGCTGGACATGGGATACTCTCAAATGTATTTTCTGCCAAAACAGGAATTGCTAATATAATACCAGAATTTCGAAGGCTTTCTTAAGGATTTGAAGGAATATATTTTTGTTTAAGTGTTGTGCAAAGTTAGAAGCATTTTATTTATAAAGTTTATTTATATCGAGACTTTGTGTTGAGAATTGATTTACTTATTTTCTCAAGCTGGACAGGATCTGTCTGGATCATTCAAGAATGGGTGATATGTTTGCCTTAAGCAATGTTTGCATTAAGCAGGACTGTTTTATAAAAAGTGCTTACCTAGAACTGTTATACCATAAAAGAATTTATATATCAGCAATTGATCAAGAAAGGTGTTGTGTTTACAGATGCAAATTTTTAATCTTTCTGTATCCCTACAATTTTGATTACCTCTGGTTAGTATTTGTAATTTAACACCATTGTAGACATAATCAGGAGACTAGGTAAAATGCTAAAAGGAGACATCTAGACCAAGAATGATATTTGAAAGTATGAATTATTCCTGATTATATTTCAAGAATGCCACCAACCCTTTTGTCTTTTTTCTTTTTAGGGTTCATTGCTGCAGATATCAAAGGGACAGGGTCCTGGACCCAGTTGTACCTCATCACAGACTATCATGAAAATGGTTCTCTTTATGATTATTTGAAGTCCACCACCCTTGACACTAAATCAATGCTAAAACTAGCCTACTCCTCTGTCAGTGGCCTATGCCACTTACACACTGAAATCTTTAGTACTCAAGGCAAACCAGCGATTGCCCATCGAGACCTGAAAAGCAAGAACATCCTGGTGAAGAAAAATGGAACTTGCTGTATAGCTGACCTGGGCCTGGCTGTTAAATTTATTAGGTTAATATCAGAATGAACAAGTGTATTTCCTAACATTATTCTCATTCACTTTGTGCAGATGCTGTGTACATTCTGTAGCTCGGTGCTTCTAGGATATATTTAGTAGATGAGGAATCCCCTTCATTTCAACTCCTTAGAAAGAAAAAAAAATGTCACCAAATGTTTTCCCTGTTCCGCAGTGTGTTTAGATCATGCTCTTGGTGCTGTGCTCTGCAGTGACCTGGCATAGAGACTTCCTATTAGGTTTGCGGCTGATAGGAAACTATAGGAAAAAAAGTGGTGAATACCTGGAAACTTGTGCTCCGAATTCTGCCAAATGCATGAAGATGGGAAAAGATTCATGTGAGCACTGACAGTTGCATATACAGTTTCCTGTGTGGTATCAGAGGGAGAGGTTTCATAGGTGTTTTGAGAGAAATGTCAGAAATTAATAAAATACAGGTAGTATCATACTGTGGCGTAAACAGTGAGTGGAGCACCTTGGCCAGAGACCAAAGTGCTGACAGTGCTTTTCAGACCCCTTAGGCCCCCAGATAACATTCATAGCTTCCTTGATATGAGGAGTGGACAGGCTGGTGGCTGGACTCGATTTTGCTTACCTTCATTTTTTTTTTTTTGTCTTTTTGTTTTTATCGGTACCAGGGATCGAACTCACGACTGCCTGCTTGCAAGGCAGGCGCTTATACTGCTGAGCTAAATCCCCAGCCCCTCACCTTCATTTTAATCAGAGTAGCTCCTTTTATCTCCATTGCAATATAATTAGAGGAAAGGTACCTCTGTTCTGGAAAAAAAAAAAAAAAACATACAAAATGAATTTGTGAACAACCTCCAATATCAAAATAGAGCTACTGCTTTATAATACTCAGTTTAGGCTCAGTCTTTATTACATGGTTGGACTTTCTTTTGGGACTTTCCCAAAGAGAACTCTAGCACATGAGAAGGGCACAAAGCAGGAGTCATGAGAGAAGAGTCAGTGTTTGAAATAAAGAACTCCCAGGAAAGGCCTGTTGAGTTGGTACTTTACTCTTCAGGTAAAGGCCAAGGTGTGATTTAATAATGGGCCCTCAATATGTGGAAGTCAGCACTGTTTAGAAGATGGCCTGTTGAAGTTCTTGATCTTTAAAAGCAAAGCAAAAGAAATGATTTGCTCTAAAGGTTGAAGTTAGAAAATATGAACCTTTGCCAGTAAATATTATTAAACTCTTTTTCTTTTCTAAATTCATTTTTTAATGACCTGCCACCCTAATCAAGTCTCTACCTCAAAAATCATCCCACTCCTCAGACCAGGAGCCTCTTTCTTTGCTCTGTGAAACATCTTCAGTACCCCAGAGGGCCATCTGCTTTTCTAGCCTGGTCTTTGCAGTGTCTTCAAGTTTGGCTTCTTCTTCCCACTCTGATGACCCTGCTGCATTGACAGAAGTGCCATCTTGGTCACTAGAGCCTCATTTTTGCCCTGCCCTCATCTTCATGGAATTCTGGCTTCCCCTCTGTTCCTGGTGTGCCTTCAGTGGCCAGGTTTCCTCCTCTCTCTCTTCCCAGGTTCTGCTCCTGTGTTACCTATCACACATTTTCCCCTGTGAGATTTCCAGCTTTTCTTTCTAGTTCTCTGTTTTCTTGCCCCATTTAAAATGTGGGGCCCCTCACGTCTTCCTTTGTTCCCTGATTGCTGGTTTCCCAGCTGACTAGTCTGACTTCATGGCATTCCTACTTGTACCTGGCCAGGGTGCTGTCTGCACCATATTTCTGGACTCTGGGGCAATGTATCTTTCAGTTACATCTGCTTTACAGTCTCTTCTATATGTTGCTGCCAGAATGATTTTCTCAAAGCCTACTTTTGGACATTATTATAATGTCTTATTTCCCATGGCTTTGGGCCAAAATGGAGTTAGAGGCCCTTGGTACAGTTTTTGCTGGTCCTGGACTACATTAGGTCCATTCCCACCACACCACTTACCTTTTGCTTTATGTATTCTGAACACTGTGCCACCCGCATGCCCAGGTGTTTTTGACAGGTTTTATTGTTACCTGCATACTCATGTGCCCCTCTCTAACCACCACTACTCTCCACAGTTTCTTCATCAGAGACATCTTGCTCTCAAACAAGCCTGATTTTCAGTTAATCTTCTTGTGCCAGTGGGACCCTCTATCTATTATTATGACATTTCTTACACTGTTCTATAACAATCATTGGAAGATTTGACACTCCGGTGCAGCATAAGCCTTTACTTACTTAATGTGTATTTTTAAGATTTGCACCCTATTTTCTTTCCCATTACTAAGGTATTGCTTAAAATTTTTATATAATGAATAAATGAATGATTCCATATAGACTATAGAATTAAGGAAGAAAGTAACTTTTCTTAGCTCCAGAGAATCTCTACATTCTGGACTAAATGTGTCTTTCCCATTTCGTATTCTACCAACTCTCTACTTTCTGTGTTTCTTTTGTGAGATGGAGTGTGTGGTTATTTTTGCCTAATGTGCCCGTGCTTCCTACCACCCAGCTTGTGATTACACAGTCTATAGCTCGGAATGTGCCTGCCTCTCCAGGTGTCTTAATCTTATTTGAGACATGCTTCTGGGTCACTTTGTCCCCAATGAGGAATAATGGCACTTGACTCTACACTCCTCTGGTCATCTCCTGGCAGCGGTCTGCCTGGTATTACAATTATTTTGGTGCATGCTTTGTCTTTCCTATTAGTCCTTAAAATCAAGATCCACACCAGATTTAATACAGTGTTTCCCATTTGAACTGACAGCGAGTCACTCATTGTATTTCTGTATTGTTTGAAATAAATAAATGTAGGTGATAGCAATAGCTATTACCTTGATAATATGCTATCTTCTTGACAGATCTTTAAACAAAGACTGTCTCTTACATTTATGAAACTTAGCCTCTCAACTTTTAACGTAAACTCGTATTCTAGGAAGTGGGAGAGATTCCTTTAAGGGATACTTAGTGATAGTGGCCATTGCCAAGGTAGGCAAGTGATGAGATGGTGGCCTGGATGTTGATTAGATGCACACACTCATGTAGCTACAGACCAGTGGTGGACATACATCTTTCAGCCCACTTTCTAGTGCATTAAATGGACGTTGCATTCGATAGTGATAAAAGTCCATTTTATATTTTTCTTTCCTATATTTTAAAGCTTATACTTCCTAGTTTTTAGCCTATCTTTTAAATAATGTAGCTATATGTTTCTTTAGTTTTCACTCTTTTCCTGACCATTTCATAATGCTCATATTGTATGTGTGTAGATGAATAGGTGTTTGGAGTATGCTTTATCCCAAGTGGAGTCATAGCAAACAGTTGAATTTTCAGACTTCATAGGTAACCATTCTGCGAGAACTGTACCTTTTCCTTAATGTCTACATGGTGTTAACTGTTCTCTTAGGCCTTTAAGTTATTTCTGGGAGGTTCCCAGGGAAACTCAGAGTCCAAGAGAGATAGACAGAGACACCGAGAGAGCACTAAGGTGGTGCCTTAGAGATTTCCTGCTGCACAACATTTTTGCCTTGGTTTCTCCCTGCAGTCTTTAAAAATGATGCAAGTGCTGATGCATTTCCTGCTCAGCTGGGATTCAACTTGAGCATGCCTAGCAGCAGTCTCATCTCCCTGCCTCTCCTTTGGGAAGGGAAGACAGTGGTGCGTGCATCTTGAAGGCCTGTGTGCTGCTTTTCACATTTCACTCTAGAGGATCAAGCAGCCCCTTCTAGTACTTCAGTGTCAGAATAAAATATTTTCCTAGCAGGTAAATAAATCCTGGCCCGGGCCTTTAGAGGATTAAATTTAAATAGGGAAACCTACGGTGAAGACTAGACTGTTGGACTATTGGTCCATCTGTTTATTGATGACTGTCAAGTTGTCCAAATACAGAAGACATGGGTGACCCAGCCCAGTGGGTACTTAATTTCCTGAGCCCTTCCAGTGTCATTGCTTTTGGCCTCACTTTTGCTCTGTTCACTCTCTGGGTTGCCTTTTTCTTTTTCTTTAAGTGGCATGGCTACATGACTTGCCAAAGACACAGAATGTAGCAACTCCGTCTGAAAGAGTTGTTAGTTGTAAAGTTCTGTTTCTGAGAATTCCTGAGACTTCTTGAGATTTAAGGATGTACCATCGAGCTTCAATAAGTGCTACACAACTCTCCTCATTGGCAAACATTGACTGGACAGAGTTCAGCTACACTCAGCTTATGTTGTCACTGTGTACCGATGCCCGAGGGGCGGTCAGGGAGGGACCTCTCCCGTGGGAGTGCTACACTCCTATTACCCTTTCTTTAGTGTGTCTGCGTGACACCTGTGGACAGGAAGAGGACCTCTGAGTCTTGATGTTCCCCTTCCTTTCTTCATGCTCTGGCTCTGCGCTGTCGTATGCCTGCAGTGTCAGTGTCCTTTCTTCCCTTCCTGGAGCTGCACATAGCCCTGCGAACTCACAGCCTCTGTGTCTGCCCCAGTTTGGAAGAGCCACCCAAAGCCTACACTTGGAGGAAGCTCTCTAATCATCACTGTGGCTCTCTCATTCCTCGAGGATTTTTTTTTTTTTTGTTGCCACTGCTAAACAAATGATTTTGGTCAGAAATAAGAGTTTAATTTCCTTGTCTCTTGAGGTATTGCTACCTGAAGGTAGCCCTTTGTTTTGAGATTCAAACACAGTTAGACATTAACAGCCCCATTCCTGCCTAGTGCTGTTAGAGTTGGGCATTATTCACAGCATGTGTGAGAGTCCTGGGGCGCTCATTTCATCTCTGGCACATCAGTCTTACATTTCTCACATGTGCTGTACATTTTCCTTATAATGATGACTTTCCCCCAAAACTACCACTAGCTGAGGGCTTCTTTATTGGGACTTATGGCGCATAAAATTTCAACTGACATTGACACCTCTAGGTCTTATTCTCAATTGTTGTGTTTCTGAACTTCTCATGATCTTAGGCCAGCAGGGAGGACTCATCTTCTTGCTAGTGGAAAGCCCCATTTCCCCATCCTCACCTTATTGTGGAGTTTTTACTTAAGAAACTAGATATTTTTATTTTATCTTGTAGTTCAGCTGTCCCTTATTTCTATGAAGAAAATATCTATGAAAGTATGATTCTAATACAAAGCTTTTTCCTGGAGACAATTTCTGTGACATCAAATTATTTTTATTTTCTTCCACATCTACCCAAATCTGCATCTCACTGGTATTATGTTTCCAGGAACAAAGGCCCTGTTGGGTCTAAAGGAATATTAATTATATAACGGGGTAAAGTCCCCCACTTCTGTGCTTCTCTAAACCCACCTCTACAGTTGGGACTGCTCTGTGTAGAGAGCAGTGACCCTGCTTCATGGGAAAGCAGAAGGAGCCATCTCCCCTGAATTAATGCAACACTCACATTTCTGACAGGATACTCTTAGCTTTCCTTCATCAAAACTCATCCTTTCTGTGAACTTACCCAGCTTATAGATGACTTTGGATCATTGGAACCTCATGCTTACATCCTAGCTGTTAATACTTAAAATGTACATTTTTAAATTTCATGATCCTGTTGGGTTCTTTTTATACACATGCACAGACATTCACCCCACAACATGCATTCATGATCTGTATTTGTGATACACAGAGAAGTATTTCTAAAAGACACCTGTGTAATCATTTAATATTAACAAATGTTGATAAGTTTTCCTTTTTCCCGGTTTTTTAAAAGAAAGAAAATGTTGAAAATAGCAAATTCTATTCCTGTTTTATTCCCTTTAACCCCTTTAGAAATAACCATATCTTGTTTCCAGTTTCCATGTATGATTTATGATCTGACCTGTGGAGTTCCTGGAGGCTTGGGGCTCTTTTTCCACATCTGCACCCTTTCTTCAGGGCACATCTTCCCTTGCTAGCCTTGGTTCTCAGCTGCCACACTGCCCCGTAGCAAGGGGAACCAGAGGAGACTGAAGATACTTGGCCTTTTCTGTTTCCTTCTTTTGCTCTGACCCCTTCTTTCTGTTATACTTTATCCTCTTCTTAAACATGTGATACCAACGTTCACTAAACGTTCTCTTTTCCTTCATGATTGATACCCTAGAGTTAAATCAGGTTCTTTTCCACTTGGGTCTTGAGTGTGAGCACAGACACTTTTTCTGTATTACAGTATTTGAGGACATGTAGAATGGTGTGATGGAAACCTCATGAAGACATGTAGCTGAGTCACCCTCATGTGCAGAAATACCCAGGAGGAAGGGGCAGGGCTGTGGGTCTCAGAGGGACTGATACACTCCAGCGTCAGACATGAATTACTTACACTTTTAGTGCACTTGCTATTTAAATGTAGTGCAAAAGGCATTTGCCATTAGGTTCATACTACTCTTAACAAAAATAATTTGCTCGATAAAATTCTGTTTGTTTTCCAAGGTACTGATAATGTCTCATTTTATAGCTTTCCTACAAAAGATTTTTTACATTTCTCTATGAATTGTCCACTGGAAAGATTACTGTAAATAATGGGCTTTTTCTTTTTTATTTTCCTGCCGTCTGTAAGACACACCTTGAGTGGAGATGGATTAGGCTGTCCTCTTTAGGAATGTACCACATGATTATCACAGACACTTGGTGTTCTAAGGGAGTGACTAGGAAGACAATTAATGTATTTATTCAAATACTAATAAGGAAAATGTATATTCAGATTGCAGATACTCCTAGGGAGGATTTTTTTTGAATACCACTAGGAAAAAAATCTTGGGTGTTGAGAAAGAGGAGGAGGAATTGCAGTGTCGAGCCATGTGGTTGTGGAAAAAAAGCTGGTTTTCTACATTTGATGGCACTTCAGAATCTGTGATTATAGAGAAACTTCTCTTAATGTTAATCCTTTGGCAGTGGTTAGAGCTAAGAGTTTAGAGATGTCCTCTTTGGTAAGCTTATCCCATGTGTGTTGTTTTTCTTTTAAGACAAAAGATGTTAATATGTAAGTTGCTTTTTCTAAGCCAAGACCTCAGTATTCAGGTTTAATTGTAATACTGGCACTGTGTGATAAGCGGGTTTTGCGTTGCACATTGGATGCTCATTTTGAAAAGGCTTACTAACACTAACTGATGTATAGTGTAGCATCCACAGACCTTGATTGTGTCATAAGGTAGTGATCATTTTCCAGTTTTCCATGGATTTTCCATGTCATGTATCCTGTTATCACTCCCTGAATTCTTCCTCCCCGCAAAGACAGATTTAGAAGGAAAAAGTAGGAATGGAATTGCCAGGACCTTCCTCACTGATGTCCAGAGTGTAGCTTTTGTCTTTTTAAATGTACTCTTAGTTTCTTTTCCCTGTACATGTTCTGGAATGTAATTCAGGCCCTTAAATATCCTCTTCTCATTTGCAAATCCCTAGATTTCTTTTACTTCCTGGAGCCCAGGATTCCTTACCTGGAGTCACCAGTGTCTTCCTTTAATGATTGCAAATTATCACACACTCATTCATTAGATAGCTGCTGTGTGCTGAGTGGAATGAGCAGAAAGAGTAGAAAGAGAAATTACAGGTTACAGTGGAGCTTTGCATGTCTCTTCAGTATGACGTTCGCCTAGTTGATCATTAAGCTCCTCCCCAGAGCACTGTCCTCCTTTACCATCTATGACACTTAAGTCTACTGGTCTGTTCTGGACGTTAATGTTTTACCCTCTCTCCCTGGCTTAGGGAAGCACCCAGGGCTCTTAAGTCCTGTCTTTGCAGGTATGAGGGGTCCCTGCTATTTAGTTGGGCTTTTTAAAATATTTTGTTTTACACATCGATTTTATTTTAGAGAAGTACTCTTAGAAAACCACAGAACACTAGTGAGTACATCACTAATTTGAGAGAGGGCTTTTACTGGAGATGAATTCTAGAAGATCTAAAACTGAAGCTTTATCTTTCTCAGTGACTGTAAACCTTGAGATATGCAGAGGGTCATCTGCCACATCGTAAGTTTTCCCATGACACTACATGTTTTATGTTTTAGTAGAGAACGAGGAAGTAAGATCAAACCCAGCTTTTTTCTTTTTCAAAATCCACTAGTGTTTTGGAAAATTTCATATTGATTATCTATGATAGGTGTAATACATGTGATGTTTAATACATGGATCTACTGCTTCTGTTGAAGAGAAATAACATGTTAATATATGAGAGGCCACAGTGTATGATGGAAAAAAATACATTCTTGGGAATTATGAGGTACAAAGGTGTAGCCATTTTCCATAACCTTTAGCTTAATAATGAGGTTTTGTATTTTCCTGTTTTATGCTTTCATATCTAACCCACCTGGGGGATCTTGCATTTCCTCTTAGTCCCTTTGCTTTCTGATGTCTGCAGTGCTTATTAAGCTTCTAACCCGTGCCCAGTGCTGCGTGGATGGTGGTTTAACGCATCTCACTGAACTGTCTGCTGAATGGTTCTGTAGTTTCAAACCTGCACTCAGGACTCCCGGCCCGGCTCCCTGTTCTGAGGCAGTGGCTCTGCGTGCTGTCTGCAGTCCTCTGTCCTCTGTCCTCTGTCCTCATCTTCTCCCAGTATCAGGGCAAGTAGTGAAGTAAGCTAAAGATGCTGCATTCCATTGTTTTCTGCCGTTTTAAAAAACTAAATGCTATTTGGTTTTCAATGAAACATTACTGCTAATAGCATTTTTATATGTGCTTTTTAAAATAAAATATTTTGGAGTCTGTGTTAATTCTTTTTCTTTTTTCTACTTGTTTCTAGATATAAAAGCCTTATAACATCTGGATTTAAAAATTCTGTTTTGGGACAGGGCATAGCAGTGGTAGAACTCTTGCCTACCCTATGTGAGATCCTCTATTCACGTCCCAGAACTCAAAACAAACCCACCTTCTGTGTCTTAAAATGGATGACAGAGCATAAATTTGATCTAGTAATATAATGAAATTGTACACGTTACAACTTCATTCTGATTTAGTCTCATCTGCGCTAGGTTTTTACCTGTGACCATTGAATTGTAGTTTGAGAAAATGTCTTTGTTCCCTGAAAGGATTTTGTTTCCCACTTTCCTCCAATGCCTGTTTAAAGAATCATCCCAAGCCATCATTTATTTGTCCTCTTGTATACTGATAATGCTTTGCTCGCTGTTTCCTTAGTGATACGAATGAAGTTGACATACCGCCCAACACGCGGGTCGGCACGAAGCGCTACATGCCTCCAGAGGTGCTGGATGAGAGCTTGAACAGAAATCACTTTCAGTCCTACATCATGGCTGACATGTATAGCTTTGGACTCATCCTTTGGGAAGTTGCGAGGAGATGTGTTTCTGGAGGTAACAAACCATGACATCTTTGAAAAGAGATTATGGGATGTTCTACAAATTCTTTCTTTCTGGTCATAGATCAAATATATTGTCTGCAGAATTAGAGTTTCTTTTATTTTTCTCTTTATTTCTGCTGATACAGTTGTACCCTTCCAGGAAATGATATTTTAAAAATGATAGTAATCTTTAACTACTTCCTTTCCTCTACCTGTTGCTCAAGAACGACTTCCAGACACACACTTGGCATCTGTGCCATTTGAAAATCACCCTCTGCTGGTGCGTATCTTCACATTTCCTCCTTCTACAATTGCTCCCTAAGTCAACCCATTTCCTACCCTTCTGACTGCTTCTTACCTACCTGCTGGCCCGTCCTCAGCCCCCGTACCCATCCTTTTGACATTTCCTCTGTGGAGATGACCATAGACATAAATGTGGGTGCACATTCTTGTTCCTTATGTTCTCTACTCCACTACTCTCTGCAGAACTTCCTTATAAAGCACTTAAAGCATCACTTTTTATTGGGAAATTAAGGCATCAGAATATTTTTATTGCTCATGAAATTTTTCTATAAGCATAAAACTCCCCTAATATGACAAAGTATAATCAATAAGAAGAAATCCGTAAATATTCCAAAATATTTTGCCTGGACTGTTTTGATAGTACAGCCTTCATCTGTCTTGTAGAAGAATCTGTCTTGTAGAAGATTCCACCTTTTAGGCATGAAGCTGAATGTTAGGCTCCTCTGTTTTGAGCACAGAATACACTCTTCATATTTATTATTATTATTATGATGATGATGCTCATAGCTATGCTCATTAAAAAACTTGATGCTGTTGTCATTCCTCCTAATGGCCAGTTTAAACTTTGCAAGGAATGAGTTTCCTGCATGTGAAAGCATAGGATGCATGTAACATGTACTGGGAATTATTCTTGTACTGCTTTTTGCTGCCTGTAACATCTTGGACAAGTTGCTATACTGTCCTTTGTTTCAATATTTTCTTAAGAATGAGCTGTATAATTTGTGTTTAGTACACAATTATGGAGCTTTGATGAATTAAACTGCCTAGCACATAATTTATACTCAGTGCATGTTAGAAATTATTGTTACTAATTTTCATTTGGGTTGGTGGAGCCATAACACATGCAGGTTAATATTTAAACATGGAGAAGAAGCAGTCAATCAGTAGTGTTTATAGTCATAGATCGTAGATGTGGAAGGATCATCGTCAATGATGCAATGCCTTCTATTTACCTTGGGAATTCTGAGCCCCTTCTAAACAATTTGAAACAAAACATGTTCCTTTTGAAGCAAGAGAACTCTTTTGTCCAAAGGAAAGTTAATGCTGGAAATTTTCTCTAACTAGATAATGAAGTTCCCTCCATCATAAGTATAAAGAAGAAAAGGAGTAAGGAAAATATTAATTGACTTAATGTGCATGCATTGATTTTACACTTTGTGACGAGGAAAGTAGTCTGTATCTGAATAATCTTCTTATTCTTATTAAGATAGGTTATCTTAATAAGATAGGTAGAGAAAGGTAGAGGTTATTTTTCTAACAGTGTTTTCTGAACATTTAAAGCAAATAAGTGTGCAAACAAGAAACCCACACTGGAAAACTTGGAAGCCAAATCGAGGAGAAATGACCCTCAGCTCTAGCATCAGTGAGGTTCACATCCACAGTAGGGTCTCACATGACTAGGATTCCCTTTAAATATAGGGGTGGGAGAGGTATCCCTACCTGAAGTCAAAGTTCCTGTTCTGTCTCTTGAACACACTATCTAACCCCTTCGAACAAAATTTCCTCATTTTGGATACTAATGCTGCTCATAAAAGTGTGTGTAAGAATTCAGTAAGATAAGTTATGGGTGTAGCATACCATACTCCATGCTTGGTGTAGTAGGCTCGCAATTTTTTTTTTTTTTGCCAGAGAGGTGATGCATAAAAATTTCTACTCTTTAACACTAACCTTTATGAAGGTATTGGAGTGGAGGGGTGTTGTCTATTTAGTTCAGGCATTTTTGAATGTAGGAGGCACAACCAGATGTAGGCCTTTCAGACTTCAGAAGGAAAAAAGAGAGGTTTCAAACACAGAATTAAATGACAGCCTACTTGGAAATTTGCTAACTTGTTTCTATGATGTCTTAGTTACTTTTCTCATTGCTGAAACAAAATATCTGACACCCAAAGTTAAAGGAAGAAAGGTCAGTTTAGCTCTCAGTTTGTAAAGGTTTTGTTCTGTAGTCAGCTGGCTCCAAGACAGGGCAGCACGGCAGAGGAGGAGTGGGTCACAGGAAGCAGGCAGGTGACAGCATATTAGCTCTGTTTCTGTGCCATGTGTTTTATGCAGGCTGCCCACCCTAGGGTGGACACGACACTCACACCCTTCATCCCAGCCCTGCACACTTCCAGATTCAGCCACCTCTGAAAATCCCCACCTGTGACGCACGAGGGACATCTGGACACAAGCCATAACACATGATAAAGAGAAATGAGTGCTGTCATTCAAAGCCACATTTTGATTAATTCCTAATTTTATATGGTTAGTTGTGCTTGTGTCTGTTGTAGTTTATGTCATGCCTCACTATCCATCCATCAATCCATTAATGGCACCAACATTAGCTTCTGAGGAGTATATGAAATGAATTAAATAGATGTGATCCACGCTCTCAAGGTGTTCCACCTTTTAAGAGTTGAAAAGGAAAGAGCTGAAACGAAGTCAGGGCGCTCATGTCAGGCCCTGTGCTTTTATTATTTCAGTGCTAGTAGTGGAACCCAGTGGAAATTAAATGAACTTAGACAATATATGCTTTGGGGTCTGCGGTTGCCATAGGGACTACAAGTGATGAACAGATCATCAGCTGGAATGTTCTAAGAAAACTTTTGAGCCTTCTGTTCCTTTGTGACTTTACATGGGTTTGAGTCTACAAGAAAGGGTATAACAGACCCCAGGTTTTGCCAGAGTAGCCCCCTAGTGAATTTGCCAATGTGATATGTAATCTGCCAACTTGATAGTCTCATCATTTTCTGGTGAAAAGCAAGAACATTTCTGTAATAGTTGAAGGTGGGAGCTGAGGGTGCTCTAGAAAGTGACTTAGAGCTGTGTCATCTTATCTATGGAAGACAGAGTTATTGGTAGGAGTTCCTCAGGAGAACAGGTCACCTACCTATGTGAAGTGAAGAAGGAAAAATAAAAATTAACTATGATAACAGAAGCAATGAAATATTTATAATACAAAAAATTAAGATGAAAATAAAAATCAGATAATCTTCAAACCTGAGAAAATCATGGTTAATATTTAGGGGTCTATGTAATTTTCCAAAATCATTCTTACGATATTATAAAAAATGTAAACTGACATTTTGTTCAAGTAGTATCTACTTCTAGACTTGACATGATATTTGTGGTCTCATACTACAGTAATAGAACAGTCATGCATTATGCAGTATGGATTCTGAATCATCTCCCAAATCTGAGATTTAATATAAATTGTTATAAATTTTACAAAATTAGAAATAAATGAGATGCTTGCTTTAGCTTTTAGAGATGCTTGCTTAGCTTTTAGAAATTAGAGAAAAGGCTTGGAGACCTATGATAATACTTTTCATTAACTTTCCTATTCTTTCTGTCTAGGTTAGATTAAGCACCATTGGGTAAATGGTTTCAAGATTTACTTTGTTGACCTGAGCTTGTCTTTAATATTGATAGTGACAGTGATATTTAATATTGACAGTAGTTTTTGAGTTGGAATTTTTTTCTCACTTCACAAAATATAATAATACCAGTAACATATTTTCAGGAATCGTGGAAGAATACCAGCTTCCCTACCATGACCTGGTGCCCAGCGACCCTTCCTATGAGGACATGAGGGAGATTGTGTGCATCAAGAAATTGCGCCCCTCATTTCCCAACCGGTGGAGCAGCGATGAGGTAGGACTTCAGGTAACAGTGTGGCTACCGCTGCTTCCAAACTGACTTTTCCTCTTTTGCCAGAATTTAAAATATTCAGTATTAAAAGTTTTCTTTGTTTTGATGGTGGTGCAATACTTCGCCTCACTGCAGTACTTTGTATGGAGCTATGTGCAGTGCGTCAAAACATCTTTTCCTTTTTGTCAATTTTATTTTGCCTCTTGCAAAATATATTGCTGAGTCAGCACTGAACCTGCACGACTGATGGCACTGTTCCCTTTGTCGAGGTGTCTTGGTGTTTGCATAAAAGCTGTTATTTCTTCCTCTGTGTGTTTTCAAATCATCATTTTTCCTCCATAACAATCCCAGATACAGTTTACTGCCCTTTTAAGTAGAGAAAAGATAGGCATCTGAGTTTTCTATGTAATTCAGCGATACAAGTCAGCCCTAACTGAGCTACCTGACTGCGCTGCAGATTTTTGTTAATAAGGACAGTGAGATGTGCTATAACCGAAACTGTGTTCAGGGTGGCTCTGAGGGTTTGGCAGTGAAGCCTGTATATGTCAGAAGGGAGCTGCCAGGAAGGACAAAGTAAGTGGGTGGCCGTGCCCTTCCTGCTTTGACTTTGGTTCCTGGGTCTCTCCACCGTCCACTGTACCTCATGCTTGCCCGAGGCCTGGAGTCTTCCATGAGGCTGGAACATTCAAGGGGAGTTTCAAGCTTTTCCCGAAAAAGGGAAAAAAACCACTCTTGTCAAGCATGCACCAAGCCCAGTGCACACAAGCAGGCAGAACACAATTCACAACTTAGAAGCTAATTACTTAGTGTGAAATTCATCTCAAATACTTTGGGTTCATCAGTGTTTGTGTCACATTACTGAAATGGTAAGCAATATACATGTTTTCTAAGGAGCTGTGCAGGAATCATTACAGGAATTACAGTATTTTGAAGGCTATCAGTATTACCTGGAATTTCTTCAGTGAGGATTTTTAATGAAGTAAAATTGGGCTTTTCAACAAGACCAGTAATTGCTAGACCACAGGAGAAGGTTTCAACAATGCCCTTGCAGGTTATTAATCTTGTTAAGCAGTACAGTATGATTTTAATATCGTAGTAGGCAGTGGGATTTAGAAATAACTGTGTTTGTTTGAATGTACAGAATTAGATAAAATATTTAAACTTACCAAGTGTTAGAAAGAATCTGAGAGCACTGAACAGGATACAGAGTCCCTTAATATTTTCATGTTTGTTTAATAGTGTTTTCAAAGCTATTCCTCTACAATCAGCAAAACTACCAGATTCGTACTGTCGAGAAGACATGAAAATTTGATTCATCATTTTGCATGAAAAAGAATTTTTATGGAGTTGCATTTTATATGGTCTTAAGGGGTACCTTTAGAAAATATATTTAGATTTTATGATCTTAAAACTAACAGCCAGATATCAGTACCAACCTTGCAGTACCATGCATTTCTCTGACGTGGTTCCAATGTATCTTTCCTCTCCAGTGTCTCAGGCAAATGGGAAAGCTCATGACTGAGTGCTGGGCTCACAATCCCGCATCCAGATTGACGGCCCTGCGTGTGAAGAAAACGCTTGCCAAAATGTCAGAGTCCCAGGACATTAAGCTCTGATGGAGAGGGCAGGACACACTTCCAGTGAATGCTGACGGGTGCTGCGCTGCGTATGGCAGAGCGCACACTGGGTGTTAAAGCATCTTCAGTACCAGCCTTGAACACCATCCTCTTCCTCTTCTGCAGGCTCAGACCTCACCTGTGTCTTGGAGAGCAGTTGGTGGAGCCAGGAGCCAGGAGCTCCTGTTAGCAGGTTCCCCAGGTCTGTTGGAGGAGGGAGACATTGGGTGACTTGTTCAAGATATGCATGTTGCTTTCTAGGAAAGCCCTGGATTTTGGGATTGCCATTTTTTAAAAAAAGATACGTTAATTTTGCCAAAATAAAGATTGTAGATACTTCAAGGTTTATAACTATTATAGTTTAAAAAATTAAAACAAAATTTCTTCCCAGTAACTGTTGGAAGGTAAATTAAGATACATTTTTCCATTGGTAAAATACCATTGTACTTGGCAAACACAAGAGGGTCTGTGCAGTCGAACAGAGACTGGAGCCCATCTCTAGCACAACCACCCAGCCTCCTCACACCGCTTGTCCAGCCTTGCCTCTGGGGCCACCTTGCAATGCGAGTGCACCAGGGACCACACTTTGGAGTTTCTGAGATGGGCTTTGCAGCTTCAAACAGTGCTCAGTGCGGGTCCTGGAACTCTCCTGCAGTGCGCGTGGGTGTCCTTCAGAGCCACTTTGGTGTCTCTGGTCATGGTGGGCAGTTCATTCATGGTAAAATCCCTTTGTTTCCGTGACACAAGCAAAGCCTATTTTTTTTTTTTTTTTGTGCAGAGAGTGGACTTGCATGTTTTTAATCTCTCAAGTCAGAAGATCAATATTTTTAAAAATTGCCATAAGTTGTATTAAAGACTTAGTGCTTTAGAATAGCATTCATCTGTTCTTACTGTGTACAAACAACGTGTCAGTGAGGTAGGGGAGGAGATGGAGAGCATGGATGGCCTGTTTTTTCCATTTGCAAAGGAGCTAATCTCAGAAGCACAAGAAAAGGATGCACACCTTATTGTATAGATAAGGATGGTTCGTTATTGTCTCTTTTTTTTTGTATCTGAGTTGAAGGATAGAGGGAAGCACTTGTCAGGTTACTTCACTGAATTTTAATTTCAAAATGGACAAAAATAACCTGCATATAGAACAACAAAAGAGAGTAGTGGAGGCCACGAAATATTGCGGCTGCTGTGATTTATTATTCTATAAAAGTTAGAGATGGACTGGGGACAACTGAAGTGATTATTTACACTTTAGGAATGGCAACTCATCTGATTCTCCCGATGTGCTATTCACTATTTATTGTTTTCCCTTCTACGTAGCACTATACAGAACATCCCTTCACAGGGTTTTGACTTTTGAGTACCATGAGTAAAATCACTGACAGGCCAGTTTTCCTTAGCAGTAGGTATATAATGAAGCTTAAAGCTATCCTCACTCCTTTTGATTTTATCCATTTTATTTTCTTACTATTGTTGTTCTTTACTTGTTAGAAATTCCTTAGTGCTTGCTAAGGAATTTGGAAGCACTTCCCCACTGGCCTTTGAAAAAGCTATTTCCTTCCAGAATACTCCAGGGGGCAGTGTTTCCTAACACCCAGTGACTGCAGGATGGAGCAGTTTTGAGAAATTGACAGCTGAGTGGAAAATGAAAAAGCCTTCCTCTCCTTTCGGAAGTCAGCTTGCAGCTGGTGACTTGCTCATCTAGAAGACCTTGTGGAGCCAGGAGTGTGAGCGCATCATGCTCACAGTTTGGAAAACACAAGAAACACATTGACTTCCCAGGGCTTTGTAGCCACACTTTGTTTTTTACTAAAAAAGAATTTGGAATTGGAAAGGAATTATTTTTCAGAGTGAGAGCAACTTGGTATGGATATACTTGTAGTCAGAACACTGCTCTGATTGATGTTCAAATAGCCTCAGTAGCAATGTAAAGGTTTCTCTGTTGGATTGTATACTGTGTGATAGTTTAGGTGGAATATATATGCTTAGAAATAAGTCTGAGAATTATCTGAGATTTTTTTGAGAAATTTCAGTGCCTCTAATCAGATCATCTAAAAACAAGTAAGTGAACATTTATTCCAGTTAAATGGTTAAATGGGCACATTATGGTATTTTTCACATTTTCTGTGATTTGAGATTGGGCTTATCTTCTAGATATAATGTTGTTTACTTTCTGGTTAGTTCTTGAACATGAGAAACTTCAAATCAGACCATTTTATAGGAAAGTGATCACTATTAGATTTTTAGGGTTTCTGTAAAAAAAAAGGAAATTTAAAAGTAAACAAATTTCTTCAGTATTATTTATTTGGTTGTTTTCATGAAAATTGGTAGCTTACCTTTTAATCTCTAACTTGATTTAGTCACTGTAAAAATTTTAAAATTATTCCCAAGATACCTAAAAAGACCCATTTAGGTAGTATGTCTTTGAATGAGACAAGAATTTATTTTGACTAGATTTTCTGTGTGTCTTACCAAAATCTTATGTAACACTAAAGTGCTCTTAAAGACTACCTACTCATTTCGTAACAACTTTTATGATTCTTAAGTGTCTAGCAGCTCAGTAGTCAATTTTATTATTGTTTTATCTTTTGTTAAATAAGTGGGAACCTGGAAATGAGTAAAGTAGTTGATTGCATCTTTTCAAACAATTTCCAAAACTTTCTTCTAACTCCTCTCCCCTAAAGGTATCCTATGTTGTGTTGTTAGGTAAACTTTGTATGCTAAGATGTCCGGGTATATAGCTTATGTATGTGTGTATATATTATATAAATATAGATGTATATATAAATATTGATTATGTTCAGTCTGGAGTCTGGCACAACTCCATTATGTGGGTTAGAGAGTAAAATATTATGGCTGATAAAGTACTAAATGAAACATAATATTTATTTATGAAAGTGTGTAGATTGTTGGATAAGAAGTGCAGTGTTGTAAACACTGTGTATGAGGAGACAGGCCTTGGCGCTGCTTGGAAGTCAGGAGTGACTGTTTTGTGTTCTTCTTTTTCTTTTTGTTTTAATTCCTCAAACAGGAAGCATCTTAGAGAACATGCTGAGATTTTATTTACAGGGAGTTCTCCGACACATTTTAATTGGTGTGTAGTCAAGTATAACAAGTGCTCACTAATGACTGGATCTCATGTTCCAGAGCCGTGCATATTCATTAGGGCTTTGATGTTAGTCTGTTCTGGCTCCTCTTTGTTTGTTGGTGGAGACGCAGAGAAGGACAGTTTTTTAAACTTGAACATGTTCAGTAGTTTCACCTCCCCAGAAAGAAAACTCAGTCCTGCACTAGTGAAAATGACAGGAACAACATCAAAAGTGATTTAATTTAACAATTACAATCTCTCTTGTAAAACAGAACAAACAAAGAAAATGCTATATATTTGGAGAAAAGCTGGCAATATATAGGGAATTTGTTGTTTGTCTCAAAAGAAGAGTCATTTTTGTTCTTTTGGGGAACCAGTGCCTTACAGAATTTGTATATACTGTAATTATTCAGGACAAGGGAACAAACAACTGTATTGTATTTGTTACAAATTGTATATGGCTTTGTTTTAATGTTCCCCTAAATAAAATGGTTTCATTCTCCCCATAGAGAAAACATGACTGTCAGCTTGTTTGTGCCAGTTCTTTTTGTCTTTGAAAACCTCACATTGTAACAGGTGGGAGGCAGCAGTGGAACAACAGATGCAGGTAAGTGTGTGTGTGTGTGTGTGTGTGTGTGTGTGTGTGTGTCTTTTATGGCAGGAGGACAGAAGAAATGGTTTGCCCACTTCTGTTTTCTGTGAAGTTAGGAGGCATGGCCATCTGATACGAGGAAAGACAGGCCAGTCAGTAGTTTCAGAGATGTGCAAAAGGCTTAAGACTGTATTGCAAAAAATTACAACTCACTAGGCAAATCAGCCGGCTGCTGTGGGCCGGTTCTGTGGGCCAGTCGAAAGCTGGCCACTATGTGGCCCATAGCCCGGAGCCCAGGTCCAGACTGCAGCCAGCCCATGTGTGATCCAGGCTGGTTCTGTGCCCCTGGGGACATTCTGAGCTCTCCAGAGACTGTCGCTTCCCTTTGAAGATGAGACTGTTAATATCTAACACACAGAGTCGTTCTGAAGATGAAATAATCCTGGCACCGGGCTTGTGGTCAGCACCCAGCTATTACTGTTAGCAACTCTTACAAATTTATAGCACCCTTTTCTATAAGGCTTGTGATTTTACTGGCAATCCAAATATAGGCACAATGACTGGACTGACTTAAGGTTGGGATTTCTCAGTAATAGATGGCAGTACATTGTGGAAAATAGGAATTATTAATGTAGAAGAGCTATGTGGTACAGGTAAGGAGCAGGGCAGGCATTGAGGCAAGGAGGCAACTAACAGGCTGGAAGGCGTGAAATCAAAGGCTGGGTCCTCGAGAGTTCCGGCGGTGTCTTGGTTGCTGAAAGAGGTGCTGAGTCAGAATCTTGATTTGGGACAGTGAGGCTGAGGGCCGGCTGAGATGTGATCAAGGGAGTGTGTGCGTCTAAATGAGTGGACAAGATCATTGATGAAAGTGGGAGCCAAAGGCCAGGCTTTGGACTGTGTTGTCTCTGGATGTGGCATGCCCGGAATGATGACAGGCTTTGGGGAGACTAGATTGGTTCTGCAGGGGGCCCCAGGAGAACAGGGAGGCAGGGAATGGAGACAGGGATGCGGCTCAGTGTTGTGGTGCACTGCGAGTGGGGTTTGTGTGGAGGAATGAGGATTTCGGAGCCACCAAAGCATGAAAAATGTTCCTCCCTTTCCCAGCTGCGAGGTACCTGGGGTCTGTAAGGAAGAGGCTTCCGTGTTGCCTCAGAAATATCCCAAGACACAGAAAATTGTGTGCAAAGGTGAGGGGAAGGAAGGTGTTAGGGCTGGTTTTGCAAGGACTGTGAACTCTAGAGCGCAGGTAGATGGTTTCCTGAGGACCCACTGGAGATTTGGGAGCCCTGTTTGAGTGTGGGAAGCACAGAAGGGTTCATACTGTGGATACACCTGAGGGGCTGAAGCACTTGTGTGTGATTTTCCACGTGAGCCCAGAGAATGCATTTTACTGTTGGGTTCAGATGGAGCTAGATCAGATCTCCTCATTTTCTTTCTCAGTTTCACAGAAGTATAATGTGTCTAAACTCTAATCTTCTTACCTGTAAACTGGGATAAAAATACCCATCCCTACCCTGAATTTCATGTAGAATTGTCGAGATTAGCTATGTGAAGTGTGGGGACTGCACCCGGGGACGTGGTTCTTTCTTTCTGGAATTGGCTGCGTGGATATAAACAAGTGACATTAAAGACGTGCTGGTGGAACACCTCTGTCATACTTCTCTGTGTTGTGGTTCAAGCCAAACTCTTCCTCCAGGACTCGAGGGTAGACAGATAGTAAATCCAAGCTGTTGGCTGCTCAGTAAGGAGCAGGCTTGGTTGTCCCATCTGTCACACTGGCCACATCCAGATGCCCCAATTTTGGAAACTATTTCTGCTAAGCAGATGGTAAGGTCAGAATCAAGATTCACAAGGGAGAGCAAAGACTAAGGACAGGGCGTGATCACATTATGAGACATTCTGTGTCTGCAAGTTGTGGCACTCATGCTAGGGGAAAGAATGGGTAGACACCAGGAAAGCCACTTCTCTCAACTCTCCAGGGGCTGGGCATGGAGAAGGCTCCTCCTCCAGGCCCTTTCTGCCCTCACTCTGAAGACATTCACATGCTCTGCTAGGCCTCCTGGTCTCTCTGCAGGTGTCCCAGCTACTGAAGTCCCATGTGACAGACAACTGTACTCATCACAGGTCAAATCTGTGTTACTCTACATGTTTTCTTTGTGAAGTTCAGATTTTGTTTGCCTTTTAATCAAATTTTCATCCTTTCAGCCACAGGCCTTCCACTGATTCTGTCCAGATCCCAGTTTACATATTTCCAATGCTGCCAACGCCCTGAAGGAATGCTGGAGTTTGCAGTCCAAGCCCTGAATCTGTTTTAAGGCACTGTCCTGCAGCCCCAGGCTGGGACCTTTCCTTAGCCCTGGTGAAGTTGCTTACAAGCCAGCCAGCTTGAGGGGGTGGAGGCAGTGACAGTAACAGTCCACTTGAGGACATGACACGGGAGGAAGCCCCCTCACCTAGCAAGGGCTGATTGGCTTAGGTGCCGTTTTCTCACCTTCCCCCGACTTACCATAAGGGAGTGACAGGGTCCTGTACCACACTGAGCATGTCTAGTGGTGTTCTCCACAGTTCTGGACCTCACCTAGCATTTCTGTCTGGCAGTAGACAGTTTGCAAACTTCATTTAAAATTGGACCTCCAACGGTGGGGCCTGATGCCTCCCCCTATTTCCAAGCCTCGGGAAAATGTCAAGGCAAATGTTCCGAGACCCTGGCGCCCACTCTTTCCTGCTTTAGTTCTACCTAGGACCTTTTTAGTCTTGATGCTTAAGCTGCACCTAAACCATTAAACGTGAATCTCTGATTTATATCCCAGACATAAGTTTTATTTTTATTTTTGATATTTCTGGGGCTGGAACCTGGGGTCTCATGCATGTGAAGTAAGCACTCTACCACTGGATGGGTTTTTAAATCTTATGTAATCTCATTCTGCTGTAGTGTTGGAGAAACATCTGAGGGGAATGTGACTGCCCCGTACAGAACTTGGGGGCCTTCTGTCCTACTGAAGAAATACATACCAACTCTTAGCACAAAGGATGACTTTGTTCAGAAGAAATAAGAGAAGTGACACACTCTATTGCTTATAAATATAATTTATTACCTGTTTAAAAATTCTTTCTTACATTTTGTACATGTTGGTTGACAGAATAAATGCAGGCAATTTACAAACCAAGGGGACTACAGGAAAAATTGGGAGAGGCAGCTAAGGAGAGAAAAGAGGCACACCCAGAGCTCGTGCCCCTCGCTTCTGTCACACAGCAAGGCGACGAACAGATGGGCACCTAGAGCGCACACCACCTCCGCCAGGGAGTTTTAGAAAAGGAATTGCATAGAAGATACAGCAAGAGGAAACTCCACAACAAAAGCAGTTTTTTGAATGTGAGAAGCTAAGATGGTGGCGTTCTGCTTAAAAAAAAATGGTGAAGCACAAAACCTCAACCTGACATTTCTGCAGTTGAACCGCTCCAAGAAGACGGCGCTGACACAGCCTCTGCAATATGGACTGCTGTGGATTTGTCTCTGACAAACACTGGTTGTCTTCTTTGGAAAGAGCAAAGTGGAAGGTGACCAACTTGTGACAGCTCAATGTTAAAGCACAACACCTACAACACTGTGACATCCAGCACACACACAGTGATGACAGCTGGGTAAGCACACTCTGGAGGGTGAGGGTGTCACTGCCAACAGAAGTGTGAATCTAGGACAGGAGCAAGTTCTAGTTGCAGTCCTGTTTCTTTCCCAAGGCATAGAGAGTATGAAAGGGAAAAGGCATTTTCCACTGGTTGTAGATTTGTTTTTTTAATGCTGTCTTTAAAAAGGTCTGACATCTAGGACAGATTGAACCGGGTTTCTTTGATGTTGCTTCTCCATAGTGTTGAAGATCAGACACTAAACACTAACCACCAAGAGCTTAGGGTGCTGATCAATGAAATCTGTATATGGTGCATGTTCCAAAATGCAACCCAGTTCATTCAGCCCTGGTCCATATTGTCAGGTTCCCAGCAGGTCTGCCAGTGCCTGCTTCAAAAGACTTTGGAATTTAAGGATGGCACAGGATTCTGCTTATTTGTAAGGAACCCCTGAAGTGTTATGACCTGCAACTTGTAATTGTGCCAAAGCACAACTCTGAAATGGTCTGATGAGAAGCCTATTACAGTAACATGGCCGGTGGGCAGCTGATTGAGTGGGCCACAACTGTTGTCATCTTCTACAGGGATTTCCAAGATCTCTGGACAAATCCCTTCAGGATAGAAGAGCTTGAGTGTACTGAGGACTGGGACAGGGCCTCTGTAAATGTTTTTCTGTGTGTTTATACATCGTGCAGAGCCTATCCCTTTGGCCTCTTAATGCTTTTCCTGCAAGATGAATAGGCCTGAGGCATACAACACACTTGGTGGAGTGAGTTGTCCTACCATGGATCAGAAGGAGGCACAGCCCGCCCACTGGAAATTCTGGAGCCACGAATGCTCTTCAAGATAAATTTTCAACGTAATATTTCTGAAAACATGAACAGTCATATGGCTGATAAGATGAAAGAATTAGGACAGTCACTGTTAGCCTGTAGAGAAAATCCACTCAGTGACATACAGGACCATACCTCCAGCTTTCAAAAATAGTTTTTCATGTCACAATCCTGGAAATATTTCTGACTTCATTTATTTGGCCTGCATGCACATGGGCTTAAATTAACATTGGTTATAATGTATTTATTTCCCATATTCCTTGTTTCATTAAAAATCATTAAAGGGGCAAGGGAAATCTTTCAAAGTGATTATTAACAGTTATGGATTATACAAATAGATCTTAGGGTAGAGAAACAGTATTTCATTGCACAGAGGGAAAGTTCTAAGGATTTCAGTCAACATTAGCTCAGTACATTTAAAAATATAAAAATAATACAAAAGGAAAAACAAAGTATAATAGTTGGTTCTACGAGGCACTCGAAAGGTAAAAAATGTTATTACCTTGAGATAATTGATAAAAATATTTCTTACTGTATCTATAAAATCTAATGCTCATTGGCTGTGATCATTGGTACAAATAACTAGACTTGAACAGTGCCATTCTGACTCACAAAACTTCTCAAAGGTGATGGCTAGTGTGTTTCTGTGGCCTTCTTCGTCCTGTCTGCCCTTGGCTGAGCACTGAGGACTCCACACAAAACTAAGGACTGGTCTAGAATGCCTGTCAGCAAAACAGAACTGCACATTCAACCAGACTGAACACAAACCTTCCCTACTGTCTTTACATACACTCGCAGGTCCTTGTGCAGTTTCACATGTGACTAGCCCAGGGACAACCCTTACAGAAACCAGAGCCTGTGGGATCTGGGGAGGCAGTGTTTTCTTAACCAGCTCACATCTTCACACATGGAACACAGCCGTGTGCATGGCCCAAGAACACAGCTGTTGAATTCCTGCAGAGACCACAGAACACTAAATTGAGAGATTCCTTTGTATTTCCCCAGGAGTCAGAGCAAGGCTGAGTTGTACCTCTGAATGTTTGCTCTTAATATATGTTGCTCTAGGAGAAAAATCTTTTGAAGCCCATTCCTGAATACCTGCCTTTCACAGTGCCCTGAACTCGGGCTGTGACTTCTCCCTAAAGAATGGCTCTGCTCGTCTAGAGAACAGCAAATGATGATGAACGTCGGACTTCTCACCTCCTGACAATGCCCTGCCCTTGGAGAGGCTGCATTGCCTGCTTAAGGACACAGGTCATCGGGGTAACCAGGCGAGTGTGTATGTGGGGATGTGTTGGTGAAAGGCTGCTGGCTGTGAGATGTTCGGCATCACACATGCTTGTTAGCATTGGGTGCCCAACCAGCAATTCTGAATCGAACCTTATTCCTCCCAGAACACTAAGAAAATGTGTATTAATGTTGCAAAGGTAAAATGAAAACAGGACAAAGCTTTTGGCATTAGGTTTACAAGTTCAGAAGCTTCTTTCTTGTCCTTCATCAATAACCACAATTTTCTCTTCCTTAGGCACAGTACTGCCATTTGCTTCCATACGACTTCTTTCTAAGCAGATACCTCCTACATTTCCACAGGTAAACAGCAGGGAATTAAAAGTGATTTAAAATATACAAAGTCCAATGAAATCACAAACATTAAAATGATGACTTTCAAAGACATGGGTTTTATGTTCCTATTACAAAAAAGCAACTTAGGACTTGGATAAATGAGTTGATGATATATTAGACTCATAATGACATTATTTTGAGAAGGATGATTTAAGTGAAAAAACATGAGAAGACTATTACAGATTCAAAGTGACCCTCCCTTCCCGTCTATGTGTCACGAAGATCCCACTCACAGGCAGGTACTCATTCTGTCAAACAGCCTTTAGTGCCCTAGGAGCTAACCCCAGGGTATAATGTGTGGCAGGCCACTAGATGGCACCATGCACAAGTGATAGTTTTCCATCCAACTGAAGGAAGCGGGGTTCTGCTCACCGCTGTGGGAAACCGGAAATGGCACATGGGATGATGAAGTGGCTCCTGTGAAATGAACTGTTGTGTTCGAGCCTTGTAAGTTGGGGAGCAATCTAACAGCTATTACTTTTCTCCAAAGAGAAGAAAAGCAGACTTCTTAGTGAAAATCTTTTGACATATGGAGTATTATGTGTAAGGAAGTTGTCATTCGCTTGATAAGAAACAGCAGTTTTGTGATAGATGTTTACCTCTCATGGAATCAATCACTTTTCCCTTTTCCAGTGGTGGGAGGTTTAACCAAAAACCAAGCACCTGAAGTGAATTCCAGCACCTCTTAGTGGCTTCAATACGTGTTATGTTGAGCATTTTTCTGTGTTATTTTTAATCAAAGCTTTTAGTAAACATTTGGAAATGCATTCATCTGGACAGCTAAATTTTTGTTCACTTCTGCCTCTCCTGTTGCATAAAAGTTTTCTTGAACTCCCAGTGCTTGATTGCCAGATGATTACCAGTAATGAGCAATCCTGACAATTTTATTTCAAGGTGCATTAATAGACAATAACTCTTTGCTCATTTTGCTTTTTAAAATTACTTAAAATTTTAATTTAGAATACAGCTTTAGTCATCAGTACAAACATTTATCCACTGAACTTGACTAGTGCAATCTCCGCCTTCCACAACCAGTGGAACCAACATTTTTATATGTGGCAACTTTAATGAACAGCGTGGTTGGAGAAACAGTTTATGGGATATCTGTCTAAAACCGAAGATAAGAAAGAAATGATATGTAAGACAAGGCTCCACGACAAGGCAGCAACGATTCCTTAATGAGAATGGAGGAGTCTGAGAACATTAAGAAGTAAACAAACAGGAGAGGGAAGTGCATGTGGAAGGAAGCAGAAGATAAATGAAATGATTTAGCAGCATGGACTCTGCCCTGCAGACTCCACGGTCATGTTCTGCAGGTTCCCATTCAAGCCTGGGTGCTGCTTGCTCAGTCTTGGTTTGGCTATGGGGCTGTTGTGGACTCTTTCTTCTCGCTGCTGGGTGAACTGAGTCCTTCTGTTAAAGAGCCTGTGATGGTCCCAAGGAAATTGTCATTCATACTAAGTAGTCTGTTGGCTAACATTTTATAGGATGAAAAGGACTAATTAGCCTCTGTAAGTGCTACTGAACAGTGTTAAAGCAAAGATTGAAGAGAAAAAAAGTAGAGAGTTTCTACTGGCAGACTTGTAGGAATGGTCTTGATGTCAGCAGTTCGAAACAATAAAAAAATTTAAAGCTAGGTAGGCTGGAAGGCTAGGGGTTCTATGAGAGGACAAGAAAATGATAACTAGGACTGACTGTTGGACAAACACATTGCAGATTAGAATAATTTTCTTCCAAGTTAAAATGATTTGAAAAGATACTGCGGCCTGAGAAAAAGACTAGCTGAGTATTTAAATGACTCAAGTCAGAGGTCACTGTCATTTTCAGATAGATGGATGAGAGACTGGACGCCTCACAAAGGAGGGCACCAGCTTAGAATCTGAAGATACGCTCATCTCACCACCTGTTTTATGGGTAAGGAAACTGAGCTCCAATGAGTTTCAAGGTTTTCATAAAGTAGCACCAGACAGTGCCAAATTCAGAACCGGTTTTCTAATTTCCAGCTCCGAGGCAATTCTCTGAACCACATTACCCTCAGGTAGACAGGGCCCGTGGCTGGTGGGAGCCAGGCCACACAACCACAGTAATAAGTGAACTTCAAGGAGAACATACCTGATAGGACTCAAGAGAAAGGCCCTGTTGGAACAAGATGAAGAAACAGATCAAGAAGGCGGGTGACCCTGCCTACCTTTTTCCAGCAGGATGACAAGGGTCAAAGGCAAGTGAAGCAATGCCTGTTAATGGAATTGGTGATCACATCCAACCTGATATGTGAGAGAGCCAGACAGGTCTAGTGAACACTAAATACTAACAGCAGTGCTAATGAAAACCCAAAGTGAAAAGAAAATTCTTTTACTGCAATACCTGTAGTTAATAATAATACCTTTAAAAAACCACTTCAAATTGCATATTACAAACACACAAGTCCTGAAGAAGTATTTGTGTGGTTGAACATGAATCGCTCTCTTCCCTGCAATGCTACATGTTTATTCCCAAAGGGCACTCGACAGCCCTCCACCAAGGCATAAGGAATCTTAGTCATTTGTCTTTTGCATGTCAATGCTCCAGTTCCCTGATACAGACAATAACACTGGTTCTACAAGTTCTAGAAACAGAACGCTCATGGGAGGATTATCTGAGACATGTGATGTACATGATTTGTATCAAAAGTCTGTGATTTCTCTGTAAATTACTAATCTGAAATAGACACCACAAACCGTCCACAGCTTCGACTTCAAATGATCTGAACAAAAATAGAATGAGCCATGGACAGTGTCTGCATCCCTGTCCAATTTGATGTAAACAACGTTTGTAGAAATTGGGTTTGTTAAGAAAGTTTATCCATATATCTGGATAGCAATAAAAAGCGTTTCCTAGGAAACTGTAAGATCCTGTACCATACAGCATACAGCCCAACTAAGAGGAAAATTAGGTTGATTTCTAAATTCAAGGTACAAATTTACACAATTTTTAACTCCTGTGATGCTGTCCGAGAAAAGTGGGCGTGTACATTGGTGGTCGTATCTGTTTTCCTTCTGCTGCCATCTTGCCTGTGAAGCTCACTGGTCTAGTCTGCATTTCCTCCCCAGCTGTGTTTCCCTGGACGGCCACAGACTCTCTGTGCACTCTGTCCTTCATTTTTAGTTCCAGTGTGGTCAATACTGCCCTTCTGCTGCTAAAGACACTACTGTTTCATGTCGTCCCATTTCTTCCAAGACAGCTGCCAGCATGCTCAGGTTTCCATCTGGGAAGTTCTGTGCTTCCCAAAGATCCAAGATTACACCGGTTGGGCTTGATTTGGTGGCAAAGTAATTCAAGTACCTGTAATTGGGAATGGGAAAGTGTGCTGAGAGGCATGATTTATGGACCTGTTTTCTCTTTTTCTGAGCCTTAAAATATCTTGATCCCACTGTCGTTTCCAGTGAGCCACCTTACATAAATAGCCCACACCTAATTAGATCAGACCATCAGGAGATGTGATTTTTTAACTTTACACCTCAACTCTGAGTAAAACAATTTAACAGACACGATGTCTGTGGGTGACACCACAAGGAGGAAATCAAGAGACTTTATGTTTTCCTTTCAGCTCAGCCTCTGAGAATCTCTGACAGGTCATGCCACTCCTTTTCTCGGTAGTGATGGCAATGTTTTACAGTGTCCAGGTGTTACGTTCTCTTTATGGCTTACTATCAGGGCTGTGTTAGCAGGTTAATTAGGCTCAGTTCATCTGGAGAGCAAAACAAAATTACTCTAGTGAATGGATGTATTAGGGGGATTTAGCCCATCAGCTTGGCAAAGTGGATCACAAAACTTGGTATTTACACGTGTCAGATAAACCCAGAATATCTCTGAACTCTGTTCACAGGCTTATGGTGCGAGGTACATAGAAGGTGCTTAATTCTACATTTGTAGAATAAAAGTGGATGGGTGGGGAAATGAATGCTGTCTTGCGTGTAACAGTTATCATCCTGGAGACCTGTGTCTAAAAGGAAGCATCTGCTTGTGGAGCCTGGCTACACCCACCTGTCCAGGTTGAGCTTATGGGCCAGCATCCGCCAGTCATGGCCTCGTGTCTGAGGTGCATCCAGGCTGCTGCAGAGCTTCTGCCGGATAGGGAGAGGGATGCTGAATGCGCTCGGCCCTGTGACAGTAGTGATGGTGCTGGCTGGATCCAGCAGCGGCAGATCCATGCCAGTGGGTTCCTGCAGGAACAACACAACATTATTTCTGAATACAAAAGGAAGCCCTGTTGAACCAGTCAACACAGTGCCTTGCTTTGAGGGAAGAGGTGAACAATGAGAGCTATCATTCTCCTTCTTGCCCTCAGAGTTGTGAGTCACTCTAGTAACCTGGCTGAGACACAGGTACATTTGAGCTAGTTTTTCATAGACTTAAATTTATGGGCTTTTAGTCAAGGCTGAGCTAGCTGTAAAGCTCTGGTATGATTCAGTAAGGGCTTTTTTAATGGGACTCTAGAAGGGATGGGGAGAAAAGAGGAGAGAGCAAGAGAGAATACTCCTTGGGGATCATATTTCAAAAGGGGAAAATGTTCAAAAAGGCAGTTCTTTGAGAATGAACAGATCTGAGATTAGGAAGCTGGAAGGCATAGCTTCTAGAAACTGTCTGACCTTGAAGAAGATGCCCTGGGAGGGGCCCAATGGCTCTACTGCTAGCCTGCAAGGTGACTCTGACTCTTACAGGGTAAAATGGAACAAGGCTGAATGATATTAAGACAAAAACTTTAAGAAAATCAGTATATTGCCGGAGGGCAAGCTGCTAATGGCATCCTCCAATTGCTGAACATCCTTCTTTTTTTTTTTTTTAGTCTAATTTTAGTAGAGAAAACTACAAATTGGCTCTTAAAATAGTTTCAGCTCATAATACAGCACAAATGCAAAACTCTGAATTTCATCTGCAGAGAAACTCTAATCATTCTCTAATCACTTCTGCTGGTTAGAAAAGCAAAAGCAACTACTGCCTGGGAACTATTAAAGCAATAAAGAAAATCTACTAAATCTCAGGGTACATAAGTAATTGCTAGAGGGGAGTAGCCACAGAGAGCTTCTGCCTTCATGAAGTCTGATGTCTGGGGCCTCGTGCTAGGCTGGGGTCAGTGCCCTCTGCCCATGTGTGAGCACTAGTGCTGGGAGTTGGGGGGAAAGCGGGGAGGTGGAGGGAGGGGTGGTTGAAGCTGCCTGCCTTGCAGGGTGACTTGCAGTGTGTCCTATCTCCTAGGCTTGTGTAATCCCACTGCAAAAGGCCAAGCCAGGAGCTTGGACAGCATTGTAGAGCAACACTAATTGTGGGGGCCGTCATGTGTGCAGAGGCATTGGCTGCTATCACAGTGTTTGGCCTCATAATCTAAGGCTTAGCAGTCTATAGGAGTATTTAAAGGACTGAGGTATGGAATGGAGACCCACAGCTCTTCCCCCTCAGCACAGGGCTCTTTCCAAAGGAAAGGAGGAGAGAGTTTCTGAACTCCAGAACATAGACTTTTCCAGAAAGGAAACCAGGAGGGTGATCTGAGTTTACTAACAGATTTGTATGGGAATGTTTCAACCCAAGTGTCTCAATGCTTATGTTAGGCACAAAGCAATGCAGGGATGAGCTGAGTGGTGGAGGGAAAGAAAAATCTCATGCTCTTTCCACAATTTAGTACCATCACCCATGTTGAAGTCTTCTTGCTTTTCTAGACAACAGGACTAATTTGAAACCTACCAATCCTCTGATACAGTGCTGCCCTGACTATTCCTGGATGGCTGTGGAGGTAGCAGTCTGCATGGGGAGGAACCAGCTTGTCATAGTGCTGACTCGTGTCCCCAGAGAGTCTCCTGTTCCTATGAGCCTTAGTAACTCCCTACTGCTGTATGTCCTCCAGACTCGGCTCCCTACAGTGTTCATGGGTGTGCGTGTGTGTTTCCCCCTTCCTTTTCTCTTACTGTCTCATTTAGAAGTGTAAAATGGCCCCTCCTGCATGAAGTCTCCATCAATTTTTATTATCTTTATCAGGATGTTATACATATTAATGGGGTTCTGTAATATTTCCATACATGATTGTGTATGAAACATACACAATCAAATCATGCCATCCTCATATCTCCTTCCCAGTTGAGTAATCACTATTCTAATGTTAAGTGAGTCATCTTGCATTTCCAAATATGATAGAAAACATGGAGTATTTGACTTTCTGTGTCTAGCTTATTTCACTCAACATACAACCTTTAGTTCTATCCATTTTGCTACAAATGACAGAATTTCATTCTTTAGATATGAAAAAAATGTATTTCCTTATAAATCCACCTTTTGAATGGTATTTTATGGGCAGTTCCACATGACATGTAGGAATCTCTGTGGTATGCCAATTTTATTACCCATAGATATCTATCCAGACATGAGATAGCTAGATCATATAGTACATCTAATTCAAGATTTTTGAGGAATCTCCATAACTATTCTCCATAATGGATACACTAATTTACATCCCTACCAACTTTATACAGGAAATTGGTCACCTTTCCCCATATGCTCACCAGTATTTGTTACCTTACTGTGTACATAATAGCCATCCTAAGAAGGGCAAAATGGTATTTTATTGTAATTTTATTGTATTGTCTTGATGATTGATTAAACATTTTTCATGTATTTACTAGTCATATTTCTTGCTTTGGGAAGTGTCTAGTCAAATCATTTGCCCATTTCAAATTGGATTTTTTAAAAGTTTTTTGAGTTCCTTATAGATTCTAGATGTCACCCCCTCCATCTTTTGAATAGCTGTCAAATATTTCTTCTGTTCTGTAGACTGGCATTGCACTCTATTGATTGTTTTTCTTTTGTGGTAGAGAAACTTTGTAGTTTGGTGTAATTCTAGTTATTAATCTTTGCTTTTGTTTGTGGTGCTTTCACTATTCTTAAACACAATCACTGCCTATACAATTGTCTTGAAATGGTTTTCCTTGTTTTTTTCCCCCTAGTAGTGTCAGGTCTTACATTTAGATCTTTGATCTGTTTTGAGTTGATTTTTTAAAATATTGATTAGAGTAGGATATAGGTATCAAGTTTCCACTTCCTGCAGGTGGCTACTCAGTTTTTCTAGCATTGTTTATCACAGGCAATCCTGTCTGTAGTGCATTTTTGGTGCCTTTGTTGCAAATTAATTTAGAGTAGTTATGTGGCTTTATTTTTGGTATTTCTATTCTGCTGCATGGTCTGTACATCTTTTTTTATTCCGGTATTATTCTGCTTTGGTTAGGATAGCGCTATAGTAATGTGATGCCTCCATCTTAGCTTTTTGCTTAAGATTGTTTAGCCTATTTGGGGTTTTCTATGCTTCCATATGAATTTTAATTTTTTTCTAATTATGTAAAGAAAGTAAATGGTATTTTGATGAGAATTTTACTGAATCTGTAGATGCTTTGGTTAGTGTAGACATGTTAACAATACTGACTCTTCCAATCCACAAACGTGAGAGATTTCCATTTCTTCATGTGTTTTTTTCAGTTTGTAGTTTTCATTGATGACATTTCTTTCATGACTTCTTGCTCAGAAAATTCATTATTTATAGGAAAGCTACTGATTTTGTATGTTGATCTCTTACTGAATTGATTTATCAGTTCTAGTAGTATTTTGGTAGAATCTGGGGGATTTTCTGTGTATAGATTCATATTATGTACAAACAGGTATAGTTTGACTCCCTTTTCTATTTGTATGACTTTTATTTCTTTCTTTAGCCTAACTGTTCTGGCTAAAACCTCTAGTTCTATATTGAATAAGAGTGGTGAGAGTACATACCCTTGTCTTGTTCCTGATCTTAGACGAAATGCTTTCAGTGTTTCAGCATGATGTTTGCTGTGGTTTTGTTATATATTGTCTTTATTATGTTAAGGTAAGATCATTTTATGCCTAATTTATTCAAATATTTTCTCATGAAGGGACATTGAATTTTATCAAGTACTTTTTCTGCATCTATTGAGATAATTACTTGATGTATACCCTTCATTCTATTGATGCAGTATATTATCATTTATTGATTTGCATATATTCAACAATCTTTGTATACTTGGGATGAGACCAACTTTATGATGGTGAATGAATTTTTGATGTACTATTGGACTCAGCTTGTTAATAATTTGTTGAGAATATTTGTATCTATGATCATCGGGAATACTGGTGATGGTGTTTTTGTTGCGTTCTTTTGTTTTGATAGCAGGGTGTCTTAGTTATTTTTCCTCAATGTTGAGACAAATATCCATCGCCTAACATTAAAGGGAGACATGTTTATTTGGATCATAGTTTGCACAGGTTTTAGTCCATGGCTCTAAAGCAGGGTGGCACAGGGGATAGACATTGCACAGGAGAAACAGTTCATGGCAGGCAGAAGTTAGCAAAGCAAGCAAGAGACATCAGTGGCTTCTGTTTCCTTTATTGTATCCAGGTTATCAGGATTAGGCCAGTGCCAAAGCAATTAGTAATCATCCACCCTAATCCAAGCATTGCACCATAAGTCAATCACATTGATTGAGTCAACTCTGAAAAATCACCACCTATGACCACATGAGGCTATGCAGGGACACCTGGACACAAGCTACAACACAGGGTAATGCTGGCTTTATAGAATGAATTTGAAAGGTGTTATGGTTTATATCTAGATATCCCACAAAGCCTCATGCATCCAGGGGTCAGGCTTTTAGTTTGTAAATGCTTCATGGTCCAGTGCTGGGATAATGGGTATGAGTGCTATATGCAAATGAGTATAGCCTACATATAATATAAGGGACAGAACAAGTCTTCTCTCCATATTCCTCCCTCCTTTGCTTTTGCTGTCTTCTGGCCACCATGAACTGTTGATCCCCTGTCATGCAACCCTACCTAGGAGCTAGCTGATTATGGACTGAAACCTCCACAAACTGTGAGCTAAATAAACCTTTTTTGCCTCCATTTCATCATCAGTAAAGAGAGAAAAGTAACCAAGACAGGAGGCTTCCCTCCTTTCAATTCTATGGAATTTGTAGTGTGAGAAGTAGCACAATTCTTCTTTGGAAGATTCCTCTATGCTCTTAAGTAGTGAGAAAGATTTCTACGGCCTGCTTTGCTGGCTGGCATTGGGCCACAGAGGTGGCACATGTGAGGTGCAGAGTCTGTGCCTGATGTGTAGTAGGTATATTACATGTGTGTGCTTCCATGTTTTCATAGTGCCACCAACCCTGGTTTGGGCTGGCCCTGCCTGGTATGATGTGGCATGGCTCACACTACCCTCACACTGGACCACTGACAGCTCCTACTTTTGTGTCTGTAGGCAGACCCCGGACTGTTCTGCCTTTCCACTGATACCTGGAAAACTAGTCAAAGTCTACCTCCTACTCAGCCTGTGCCTCATGCTCCCAAAGAGGCTGTGGAGACCTCATTCAACCCTTGTATATTTTTTCCACATTCTCTCCATTCTGCCTTGTGATTGCATTTCTGCATTACTTCTCAAATTTCATGGAGCTGAGAGTATTTTTGTCATTGTTAGGACCTATGCATGTAGAAGCTACCAATATTTGTTTAAAGGAAAGTATTTTTTCCTAATATAGAAGGAAGATGAATCCAGTTCCTAGCTGTGTGGAACCACATGGAGCAATGTTCTGGGCTGCCTTCCAACAAAACGTGACTGGGATGAGTCTTATTACTAACTCCTGAAGTTGAGGGCCAATTAAACATGGGCTCAGCTCTCAGGAAGGTCTGCTCACACATTCTTGTTCCTCTTTCTTAGTGCACGAAGAGCACTCCTTACTTTACAAGGCATCAACATCCTGAGCCTCCAACCCTGCCTATTCTGCTTGTTTCTGTTGATGTAGAGGACATAAACTCTACAGGTACTGTTTCATGTCTCTCTTATGAGGGGGTTGACAGTAGCCTTCAAGTAAAATAAAAATACCCACATATATTTCATCTAATAATTTCTGTTGCCATTAGTTTTTCCTTTACTTCCAGGTAAGAATAGAGATTACTCTCACAGAATGCTTATTACAATAATTGTTTATGATACAGGTGCCATCTGTCTTTGATGTTATGATTCCCTTAGTTATGCATACGATTTTTCACCATTAACTAAGCAGCTGCTGTGGTTGACGGCACACAACTCTGTGCCCCATGTGTGCCCAGCAGGTATGCTGTGCCCCACCCCCACACCAACTCTTTTGTTGGGATCTTGCTGTGTTTCCTAGGCTTACTTTGATCTTTTGTGCTGAAACTGTCCTCCTCCCTCACCTTTTCAGGTAGCTACAACTAGAGGTTCATGTGACTGTGACTACCTTCTTTTTCAAAAACATTTTGAAAAACTAGACTTACCCCATGGTCCCTCTGAATAGCTTATAGAAATATAAGAGGTAGGTAGGTAGAACAGCTATAGCAGGATGATGTTACTATAAACATTTGTCTTATTACTATTTTAAACATTAAAGTGCTATACACAGGTTGTTAATAAAGGTCATAAGACCTAGACAAATTATAAGAAATTACCACCCAATTGGTCATAATTACCTCAAAAGCGATTATAAGGTGATTGATAACCTTAAAATTGCAACCTTCCATGGTTCAGAGCCAGAAGCCAAAGCAGACATATCATAAACCTGGGGACACACACCTCCTCCTTTTCTATGGGAGCTATTTGTATTTGCTTCTATATATTTTATTTATATAGGCAGTTTATCTTTTTGTTCATTTCAATAGAAATGGAATGTGAGCTTAAATAGACATACAGAGATGGTGGTGTTTACACAAGCACTCTGTTACCCCAACAGCAATTAAAAAATGAAGCCATCTTCCTCATGATATGAATCAAGTTCTGTTTCCACAATTTTCTGCCATTCACTTAGCTTCACAATGGGTCAAAAATGCAATTTAAACATGAGGAAATGGTTGCAAAAGGGAAGAAATAATTTCACATGTCACTACAGAACTGTCCAGTTGGATACCTGCTGACTGATCTTTTTTTTTAACAGAAAAAACAGTAAAACAAAATTTCATTATAGCTAAAACTAGAGGCTTAAAATAGAGAAAAGAAGAAAAATTTCTCTTATTGTTTTCATTTTGACATTTACTTATGCCAAGACTTTTAGACTTTTTAGACATTTTCATTCTTAAGCTTCACCTCTGAGAAATTAGAGGCTTTTAAGGACTCTCTGGTGAAGGGCCCAGAGAGGGGCAACTGGCCACTCCTGACATCAGCACACCCTGTGTCATGCATCCACCCATCTTTCCTGTCCGAGGTAGGCAGCTGGCTCTTTGCCTGGCCATGGGGCAGGGACTCTGTAACTGACAGTCTGTGAGTGCCGAACACTGCTGACATGCTCATTCCAGGAGACAGGAGTGGAACTTGGACCCCTGCCCACCTGTCACCTTGTACTGTGACCCTCGGAAGGAGCAGGATTCAGAAGAGAGCAGCCTTTTCTCTGTCTATGGCTTGTGAGTCACACTGGATCCCTTCTCACAATTTGTGATGGGGATCTAGTCTCTGGGCTCCCTGGAGAGAGCATCACCTCCAGACTTGCAGCCCTCTCTGAACACCCGACCTGCATTCAAAAGCTCACCACAGTGGTGGGACTCAGAAACTCAGAAGTGAGGCAGCAGAGTACCTGAAGTCACCTCCACTCTGGCCACTTATGTCCCTCCTCAGCTGCCTGTGCCTATCACACATGGGCAAGGGCTTCCAACATGCCTAGAGGCCTCAGTGCTGCCAAACCCCAAGGAAATCATCTTTCTTCCACACACCATAATCACACTATGCACACTGCCCTTGGTCTGTGAGGGCATGCCATCTGAGCCAGGGACAGCGCTGAGCAGCTCCCTTTCATGTGTGGCTGCATCTGATCCACCTTTCAACACACAGCAAACACACGCTGAACACAGAGCAAGCATCAAAGGGCCGGACCTCCTCCCCCCTCCGGAACTCCGCAGCCTTTGTTGTCTCTGGAGCTGGGTGGTTATTGAACTTTGCAGACCTGCTGGGCCTGGAAAGTGAAAACACCCCCCAGAGCCAGCAGGGGTGGTGCTGTGTGCCTGGGAGATAGGGCTGACCATCCAAAGGCTGGCGGTTGCCATGGCACCGTGACACCGATATCATTCCTTATGAATGTCACCAAGTCTGTGACTAAAGTTGTTTATGAGTTAAAAGTCTCATGAAACTGCAGGAGGAAGCAATGACCGCACCTCTGCAGGCTGTGGGAACACAGTGGGAGAGGGGGGAGTGGGCTTCAAATGCTACAGGAACAGCAAGCCAGGCCAAGCTGGCTGACATTTTGTTGGTGGCTATGCATGAGACAGGGGAGGAGGAGGATTTCCAAACCATGGCAGCCTCTGTTGCTCTGAAAGACAGCTTGGCAGAGGCTGCATCTGACATGCTTGCTTCTTCACTGCTCTGGGTTCCATGGGTCCAGCCAGGCTCTGGCTGGTACTCTGCTTATAGAGGAGCTGAAGCAGCAGTGATCATTATCATCACTATAAGATGATAACACTCAACTGAAGATTGCAGAAATTCTGGCAAAGAAAGGCAAAAAATGGTGATTTCCCCAGGGACAGCATGTAGATGTTCATTCTGTTTCTAGAACACTTCCCCTACTGTGAGAGAAAGGACATTTCTTCTAATGTTTGGAAGATGAAGTATGAGAGAGAAAGATCAAGAGATTTCTCCTTAAATAAACATGGAGAATCAAGAAAGTAAACAGGTGCGGAGACTTCCTTTAACTTTTCCTCCAGCCTGCACGGGGGCAAAGGCAAAGGGACAGATGTGGGACAGATGTGGCATGGTTTGGAAAGGTACCTGCAAACATAATAAACTCTTACACTTGAGAGGTGAATCTGCCTTCAGATGAGAACATGGAACCCTATCCCCTGGAAATAAGACTTGCTTTGGGGAAAGATTTCCTGCTCTCTTCTTCTATGGCTCCAGCTCCCGGGTGCATTTAAAATACGATTAACACTGGGCACTGCAGACAGCTTTCACGGATCCTGCGGGGCCTGCATCAAAGTGTGTTTCGCTGAGCTGGCCCGGCGCGCCTTACCTCAGACACAGTGCAGTTGAGCTGGAAGATCTGCCCCTCGCCTTCCACCTGTCGCACACACAACTTGCAAACCAGCTCCACCGTGTTCAGGCTAAATCTTTCCAGAGTGAAGGTGCAGTGGAGGTTTCTTTGAGAACCATTCCAAATATGGTAAAAAGGAATCTCCTAGAGGAGACAGAAGTGTTAGTCACAGATGAGGGCCTAGTACTATTACTATCTGTCAGACCCAGCTGCCATGTGGCCTTCTCAGAATGACACATCACCTTATTTTATCTTCCCAACATCTGTAAGTGCAAGTAGATCCTGCCTCCATATTTTCATGAAAACATGGAGGCCCAGAGAGTTTAAATAACTCACCCAGAGCCACACAGCTAGTAAGTGGCAGAGTTGAGATCTGAACCCAGCAAGTCAGCTTCCAGAATAAACATACCTAACCAGTCTTTCATTTGAAAAGGAAAAAAATATATTACAAATGATCTTTTAAAAAACCTTAGAAAGTTCCCAAAATAAAATCCACACACACCATCATTGCTCATTAAAAGGAATCCCTACTGTGACATTCTGGAGAAAAGCAAAGGAAGCCTGAAGGCTACTGCACTAATGCTGTCCCTTTCCCTCAGGCCTCTGTCCCTCTCTGCTCAGGACGGGACATGGCTGGGAACTGCAGGCTCGATCTGCAGCCACAGAAAGTTTTTGATTTAAAGAGTACCAACTCCCTAACAGACCCTGATCTGCTATGAATCCAGGCCACTCCCTGGAGCCCATCCTGGAAGCTTGTAGCCATCAAGCTCAGGCTAACACAGGCAGCGAGGGGGTATGGTGGCTGAGGTGCAAACTGGTGCCAAATCCAGCACAAATGACAATGCCCTCCTCCTGGGACATATTTGATATTGTGGGGCAAGTTACTTAACCTTCCCAAGTCTCAGTGTTTTCAACTGCAAAAAGAGACGGTAGAGGTAGCTAAGTCACAGACTTGCCGGAGATGACAGAGAGAAACCCAAGTACCTAAGAGTGTCTGGTGGCTGGAAAGCACTTGGACAGGGTTAGTGGGACATATTCCATGCTGGCATCATTGATAAAACTGAACTCATCATGATTGCTTACAGGAGTCAGGAAAAGAAAGACCTACGGGACTTTTAGATAGTGCCAACAGGGAAGCAGGAAGAAAACAAGCCAAGCAAAAGATGACATGAGAAAGTCAGAAGCCCAAACCCTCCCTCTGGGGCTCACCAATGGAATTGGCCACCAGGCCAGTGGCAGTGTGGGACTGGGTAGAATTCACCTGTGAGGAGATAGGGATTCAAGCTCATCCATCTCCATCACCCAGAATGTGGAGGTCCAAGGGCATGAGACCAGGCAACTTCCCACACTGCAGGCAGCTGACACAGTCCTGTGATCTCCCCAGGGTCCACAGATGGCACTGGGGCTGGCACCTTTAGCCTGTTATTAGTCCTGACTGGATTTTACTATCATGTGACATTTCAGTTCCCAAAGGAGTGTTGCCCCAGTCAGGGTGCAGATCAAGGCCTCATTTGTGTCATGTCACAGGAATACATTTGGGACTGTTCTTATCAAGTCAATCAACATTTACTGTGAAAATTAAAATGACAGAATTGGAATTTTCTTATTTACTCAGAATAAAATAATGATAGTACTCTCCCTTTTGTGGTTCTGGGGATTGAACTCAGAGCTTAGTGCATCTTACGTGAGTGGTCTACCACTGCACTACACCCCCAGCTTCTCTTTTGATCCTTTGAGAGAGGGTCTTGCAAATTGCCCTGTCTGGCCTCCAACTAGCAGCCTTCCTGCTTCAGCCTCCTTCATAGCTGAGATTAAAGACATTTATTACCATGTCCAATGAAAGTACATTATTAAAGGTAGAATTTTCTTTAAAAATATGATATGTCTATCAGATACTCTTAGAAAAATCCTGATTTATCCAAACTATGCTGAAGAATGAATACTGTTATAAGAATAATTTCATGAAAGGGCCTTTGTTACATGCCTATGATTTTAGTCCTCTTTCTTGGAACTTTGTTCACCCTTACCTGATATTTAGCCAGCAGTTTACTCTTCCAGAGGGAATGGGCAACGTCATGGACCGACAGGCGCAGGTTGTGGGTGCTGCCTTTGAAATGAAGAGACTTGGGGTCTTCTAAGAGCTGTCCTCCCATCTGTCTCTCCAGCTGTAAGACCTCCTACAACGACATGCCCCAAACAGAGTCACCCTCCTGCCCTGCCTCACACCAGTCCACACTGTCCTTAGTGAGCATCTTCATCTCCTGCAAGGGTGCCTAGCATGTGATCATGAGCCCTACTCCTGTGGCCCAAGACCTTCCACCCCATAGGACAGGGCTGGGCCCCCCTGCCAGGCCTGGCCAGTGGCTTCTGAGGTACTTAAACACAGGCCAGTAATCACCAGGACCCCAAGCTGGAGGAGACTCTGAAAGAAACCATAGGTAAAGAATACACAAATGGATAAGAACTAGATTTTCCAGTTAACTTTTAGGCAGAAGGGCAAATAATTTAAAGACAAACTCATGCATTGGATTTGATGCAAACAACCAACAAATACTTGGAATGTTTCACATATTCAATTCTTTATGTACAGAAGTAAAGTAAAAATTTTTGATGAATATCAGCCATTGCATAATTCCTAATTACTAAAAAATTAGAACATGTCCAGAAATTAGAATATGTCCCATTTGAGGAAAATATGCTGGTGCAAATTAGCAAGGTTTTTAAACAACAAATACTGAACTAAACAGTTACTCAGATTAAACCTACAAAAGGAGCATTCATTTCTCAAGAATTATGGCTGATGAAAAAATTGCTCCCTACTTATAAAGATATAACGGGAAGACAAATTCTATATATACTTCCATTTCTCAGACTAGTTAATAGGAGTTAATGAAGCATCTGCAACTACAGCTGCAATTATCCAAGTAGCAGCACGCCACAAGTTATCAATGAACAAAGTACCCTGGGTATCCTGTCCTGTCCCAAGCATTCCTCTGGTACTTCTCTATGCCTTACTAGTTTATATACATACATATATATATATATGGATTGGTAGATTTCATATACATGTATATATGTACAAATTTCTGACCTTTTAAAAATATGAACACAGGACAATATTGAATTTTGTTAAAAGTATAATGACTTTCTTTGGTGATATTTGAGCAGAATGCAGGGAGTTCAAGAACATAGGTGTTCACGCAGAAGACCGCCTCGCCACCTGCATGCATTGAGTGTCTATCAGGACACCTGAGACAGGTGGATTACAGTGCAGAATTTCTGATATGGGAAACAGATTGTCTGATACCCAGGAGTGTTTCCACTTTGCACGTATTGAATGCAGGTGAACTCACTCCTGTCCAGTAGATCACAGCTGCCCAGCATCAGGAATGAGATGAAAGTAGCTCATTCCAAGCTGCCTCTTTAATGGTGCTCAGTCTCTACCATCTATGGGTCAGGCCACTGTACTGAGCAATGTAAGCTGCTGAAAGGTCCTATGAGGACCTGCAATAGCAGGAGAATGTGGAATGTGGTCTCAGCCAGGGAGTCTTCTAATTACTGCCTGATGGAAGTCATGAGGCAAGAGAACCCTCATGCAGAGCAGCTGCCTGACCGTACTGACCTGCTCTCTACCATGGCCGTGAGGAGTAGCTATTACTGTGACAGGCGCCTGACCAGTCAGCCACCCACACTGACACACATGTCATGTCTTGTGCCCTGACTGCTGTGCCTTTATCTGTAGACTTCCAGTGTCCCCTGTAGGCCACACAGATCCATCCAGCACTGAGTCACAGGGTGCCTTCCCAGAACATCTTGCCTGACATGCACGACCCATTTCTAGGCAAGAATCTGGCCACATGGAAGTGGGAAGAAGAAAACTGCGTGGTGACTGCTGTTTCCTTGGCTCCGGCAGGAAAGTATAATGAGCTTATGTTGATCATGTTTGGCGTCTAGTTAGCATAATAGAGAAAGCTGATGTTCCCAGTGAACCTGGCACCTGACAAACTTTAAAGCTAAAATGATGTTTGTTTATAAGCCATTAGAAGAAAAGAAACATAATTAGAAATCTTTGAGATTACAGCCATGCCAATCAATCAGTTCTAGCTGCTTTCCAGTATGCCCTAATTACCTCATCAAGACGTCTAAAGAGCAATCGATAGTAATTATCTGATTACTATAGATCTTCATTACATCCAAATTATCTCCCTGGGATGTCTAAAAGAAGACGCATTGTTATCGGGGAGGTAATTGTACCTGACAATGTATAATCCGCACCCAAACTCTACAAGCAACACAGACCATCACAGGACAGGGCAGTAGTGCTGTTTTCATGGCCGGGAGTGCCACAGAGAGAAACCTTCACTGCCTATTGGCCATGACTTTGAAGTCAGGATCTAAGAAGGCATTCTGAGTCTAAAGCCTGCTTGGAGTCATCCTAACCATAAGGTTCAGCTCTTGGTTTTTCAGCCATAAAGTCTGATGTTGTAGTGAAGAATTCTCCTGGTGAGGGTAGTGTCTAGATTGGCTTGGATCCTTTTTTGAAGAGAAAGACCCAAGAAAAATGTGCAATTTTAGTGAGAATGGGGACAGAGAACACACACTGTCCATATCCTGATTCCTCCATCTCTCCTTCAACCTGGAGATGCCAAGCTGCTGCAGAGAACTGGGAGGAGTCTGACCCCACCCAGCCTTAACCAGATGGAACCTTCTATGACAGATGCACTGCTCATCAGTATGCACATATGCTGGGCTCAGAGGTCTCTGAACACACCCACTTGCGTGTTCCTACCAATCAAGAACTTGATTATGTACTTTATATTGGTTGCTTTATAAAGTATGCACATGCTTACATCAGCACATCAGTGTGTCATAGGTTAGATTACATGAAGCTAAACTCTGAACTCAGTGAAGGAGACCATGTACTAATAGTGTGATTTGGGCTTCGGTGGTTCTTTGGGTTCAAGCTGTGTGAACCTCACTCCTGGAATTTCCTGACCCACAACCATCCTCTCCCTAGAATCTAAGGGAAAAATTGTCCCAGGAGTGAGTGATTTAGCACAAAAAGAACCTTTACTAAACTTAGATTTCATGCTTTTCTGAAAAGTAAGAACTAGTATCATTATATTTATTATGTTTATTTTCAAGAAATGTAAGATGCAGGTGAAAGATAAGAATCAAAGAGCTAGAAGGCATTCAAGTACAAATTAAAGACAATAAATAAAACAGGGCTGGGAATAGAGCTCAGCAGCACAGCACCTGCTGGCAAGTGCAAGGTCCTGAATTCAATTCCTGACACAAAAATAAATTAATTCACTGGAAACTAAACTAATATAAAATAACACATTCCTGTATAATTTGTCACACACAGTGAAACCCATATTTGGTTTTTGTGTCAGGAGACAGATGTGAAAAGCCCATATGACAGGCTGGCATCTTGGGGTTCAGTTTCAATATTGCCACAGTGTTAAGGGATGTCATTTGGGACATTTGACATATGCAATAAAAGATTGTACTTGAAATATGCTGTAACTTGTACTTCAAAAAGCTTGATTTTCTGGATTCTTTCTACATTTAAGTCATCTTGGAGTTAGAAAATCTAATACTACATTAATATATATGAGATATGAAAATGTTAGAGGACATAAAAATAACAGACATACAAATCTGTACAGTATAGCTTCATTGTTAAATGTTTTTACTTGCCTTAATCTTCTTGGGAACATGCATTCAACACCTATGAGACAAGGAAGGCCTTCCAGGAATCATGGGTGTCTCAAGGCAAATTCCTGTTCCTGCCTTTGGGGACAGGGTGACCAGCACGTGAATGTATAACCATGCTGTGGTGTGCGCACTCTAAAACAGCTTCTGGACAGACTGTTTCTGGACCTCAAAGGTTAGGATATTTCACAGACTTTAAAAGGGAACAGGAACCACATATATTTAAGGTTAAATGATTTAGAAAGACTTAAGAGAAATGTTGTGACCTCAAAAAGAAATGCCATCATAAAACTTAGGATCATCTGACTTTGCTTTTAGAACTATAAATGTCAATGTCCTTTGCAGAGATTGGTCCGAGGCCTCCCTGCTCAGTAGCTTGTCTGACTCTGGCTAAATCCATCTGCTGCATTACTGGTTACATGAAAAGGGAGTCCTTGTCATGTGCGGGGTGCCATGTCCATTCCTTGACACATACGGGGAGCTGCACCCACATAGTGGTCGTGCCGTTGGATGCAGGCTCCTTAGAGCCTGGTGTCCCTAAGATCTGAGCTGTCCTGGACAGGCCAATTCCAAAGTGAAACACAGGCCAGAGTGAGAGCTTAATTGGCTCTACCAGCCTGTAAAGGATTGCTCCAAAGGTGGAGACAAGGAGTTGCACAGAAGAAACAAGCAGCTTGCACAATAACCAATTAAGCCAAGACATTATTTATGCCATGCCATTAGCCCACACTTTTTAAGAGACACAATTAATCCACACTGTTTTAAAGGCCTGTGAGTGTGAAGGGAGCAGCTCCGACCATTTAGCTCTTCTAGGTGCCCCGACAGCAGGATCTGTCACAAGGGGCCTGATAGCCAGAGGCAAGATTGGGGACACACTTGGAAGCCTGCTGGCTGCCACACCCAGCTTTTTCCATCCTCACTTTGCACTCTCTGGGACAGCCAGGGATAGATGGTTTCTACCTCCTCTGCTTCTGTTGTTCTTCCCCTTCCATCCTTTTAAGCCCAAGGGAGCCCCACCCCCAGTGCTGACTCACACCTGTTGCTCTGGAGTCCCCAGATGCCACAGTACACATGCAGAAGCCTGAGGAACATATTTAAGAATCCACATCTCTGCCAACAGTGGTTAGATGGAAGCTGGACCCACAGCTGGGAGGTCAGACTTGGTGGCATGACCTGAGGTTCGCAGGCTCAGAGCCACTCTAATAGGTGTGGTGCTTCTGGCACTCCTGGTGATCAGGTCATCTCTTTCTGGCCAGTCTTCTCCTCCCACTCAAGCACTCTCCTCTTCTGTCTATCTTCTGCTCACCCCTATCTGGCTCTCTTTCCTCCTCCTCCTCCTCGACCAGCAGGAGCTCTCCCTCTCTGCATTGCCACTGTAGACAGCACCCCTTCACCATTGTTGCTTTCACCTAAGCCTCCTGTTTCTCAAGGATAAGGATCTGCTCGGTGCCTTACATAG